ACAGCTGCTTTTTTTTTTGGACAGTGGACTCCTGCTTTTCATTTATTTTCCTTTGACTTTCCTCTTCCCTAATAGCTTATAACTATTCTCCTCAGAAATATCTCCTAAAACATACTTAAAGGCTGTTTTGACTGGAAATAAAATGAATGAAGGGTGGAGTTTTGCACAGTACTGTATAGTGAGAATGTGAGGGCTGTTGTTGCAACAGTATAACAACAACAAGAAAATGAAGAATATAAATATTAAGAATAGTACTTGAGATAAATAACAGAATTAAAGGACAAACCATTCATCATTTGGATGCTGGATGTAGAGACTGTTTTATCTTTCTGAAGTTTATTCAAAATTTGACAGTGCTTTTCTTCCTAAACTAATTTAATTTTTCACTGTAAAGTTTATATAAGTTTTGATGAATTTCTTACAGTGTCTGGACTTACTAGGTTATATGAATAGCAACAATGAAAGAAAGCAGATGAGATTTAATGCACTGCTATTGACAAAGAAAACAGTAATTGCTGTAGCTTATTAACCCCTTAACATTCTAGGCTTATTACATACTAAGGCTTATTATTCATTAACTACAAGAAACTTTAATGCAAACTAACAGAGCTTTTCTTAGGTTATAGAAGTGTGTAATGAAAGTTTGGGCACGTTGGCAGGCCCATGGCTTGGTAAGGGGTTAACCCAGAAATTGTGTGATTTGATCACTGACCTATTCAGTTCATGTAAATACTTGGCATAATTTTCCCATCTTGACTCAGATGGGTTTTCTCTGGAGTTTTGACTGCTGCTTCAGTCTTTTACATTACAAAATAAATTAACAGTCACTGTGCTGGAGAAACAATGCCTCTTAAACATAAAAAAGCACCTACTGCGCTTGTGTCAGTGTGTCAAGTACCTGAGCAGAATACATGCTGTATGGTCTAAGTGAGGGATCACATGTCCTGATATACTCCCGTGCTCCTGGCCTCTGAGGCACGGCAATTTATGCCGCGTCACTGGGATTTTCTGGTATCTCTTTGCTTTGGAAGCCCCTGCACAGCTCTGCTAGTCTTGATTGGAGTCTGACTTAATTTGCTGAGTCATGCTCCACATTAGTTTTCCCTCTGCCTGGCCTCTGGAGCGCTCCATACTGCAAGTTACAGACATGATCACACCTAAATATCACATTCATAAAGTGATAGTTTGGTGAAAAATGAAATCTGCAGTTTTACCCTTTACCCTGACTGTGGTTGGTCAGCCAAGTATGCCTGGTGTCTGATGTCTTCTTGCTTAGTTTTGTACTAGAGCTACAAGGCTAATGTGTCTAATATAACATAAGCTTATACCCAATTAGACTTTTGCTCCTGACAATGTATGACTTACTGGTATCTATAGAAAGGAAAAAACAGTAAATCACATATTTAAAAACAGAAGTAGCAGCCATTTTAAGCCCTGAATTTTTCCATACTTTTGTCCATTTTTATAGATAACAGTGTGCTCTCAAAAAAGGAGGTTCAAGTTTTCTTTAGTAAGGGGATTGGTTCTGTTTAGAACCATGAGATTTTATGCTTAAATGGTTCTTTTCATGGTGAAAAGGTTATTCGTCTTGATGGAGAATGTGTTGTATATCGTTCTATATAGACCAATTTTGAAAATGATTCTATATAGCACCAAAAAGGGTTCAAGCTTGACATCATAACAATAGAAGAACCCTGTGCTCTAGTGCTATGCAGGACCATCAAAAAAGGTTCTATATAGAACCATATACAACACATTCTCCATCAACCTGAAGAACCATGCAAAGAACCATTTAAGCATGTAAACAGGTCTATATATATGTATATGTGTGTGTGTGTGTGTGTGTGTGTGTGTGCGCGTGTGTATATATTTATATATATGTGTATATATATATGTGTGTGTGTGTGTGTGTGTGTATATATATATATATATGTATATATATATATATATATATATATATATATATATATATATACATATATATATATATATGTGTGTGTGTGTATATATCCTTTGTCTTTACTGAAGTACCCTTGAAGAATCTTTTAAGAGTGTGCCATAACCAAGTTCATTTGAGATTCCTTAACAATTTGACATGGTTTGAGGCCTGTGTGTGGTAAGCACACAGTTTGCACAATGCTTGTTAGCTATGCTGTACCTCCGGTGAAAAACTACAGAAGCTGGACACTAGAGACAGGTAGTCCAACAGGCGAACATTATCCATGTTCCCACTCTCACACTAAGACCAACTGCCTGAAAAAGTCCTCCTGGCTGACTGGAGATAAGAGCTAACTCCTACTTCAAACATGACTCAGCAGCTCAGAGCCTGCACCAGCCGCTCCTGAGATATGGCAACCTGGTCAAACGCTAGGATCGCTGGAGAGGAGAAAAGGCAAAGTTCTCTCATTTTCTTATTACCTCACCAACGCAGCCATGAAGCAGTGTACCGGAAACATCGTTTAGAATATAATGACAAAATACGGGAATGAAATGAGTCTATTTATTTTAACCAAATTTGCTGTCTATCTCATTATTTATTGACAATTTCTATAAATATTAATGCAAAAATTATATCTCTTTGGATGAATAATGGCAATATCATCTGTGCATCCTTCCTGAGTCAAATGATTGGTTTTTTAATAGTAATAGAAGAAATGTTGAGCAGGTCAGATCAAAATCATAAGCTAGATCTGCTTTTTAAGGCTGAGTACCTGTAACTTGTTCACATGCCGCCATGCAAAAGAAGTAGAATCAACTCTCAACAGTTCATAAAGGGTTCTTGATAGTTTTACAGCATTTTACTACAGCCATGCAAGCATGGAAACACTTTGTGCCTGCTGGTTCTTTAGATGTAGTCTAAAAATTATAACAAAATATGAATATTTCAATAATTTTAGAAGTTTAGAAAGCGCATTATATTTGCAGTCATGAAATCATGAGTTCAGATCTGGTACATGTTTTGAACAAAAACAATGTTGCATTGTTGCAGTTCATTAAATTAAAACACCTAGCCAGAGCTAATCAATATTAATCAAATAAATGAAGGGTTCTTATGCCTTTCCGTCTGTCATTGCACCATTACACACCTAAATATAGGCATCCCTGTATATGGAACTTTCCAGGGTGGTTCAAAGGTAGACATCAGGATAGCCTCAAGCAATGTACAATGTTTTTTTTTTGGTTTTAAAGTTGTAGGAAGAAGCACACAAATGGTTTGAAATGAGATCATAATGATTAAATAAACAGAAATGTGATATCTGAAGTGTGTAGGCATGAATGAACACAGCTGGTGCAATAATTAGATGCAGCCTACTAGTGGTTTTAATACATTGCCTAATGACATCATTGTCAGTGGTCTATAGGGTGAGCATTATCAAACAGAAACTTTTCACACTACACAAAGGGTGTATATCAGACAGATGCTACGAGCTACCAAGAGTCATAGGTCAAGCAATAGGAGCTGAATTGACTAATGGAGAACAAAAGTTGTGGGAAAGTAGAAAAATGGAGAGAGTTAGAACAAGTGCAGCAGAAGAAGAACATGTGCAGGCTCTCAGCAGTGAAGCCCCCGAAGATGACACACCTCTCATGAGCTGAGACACAACGACACTACCACACAGAACGTATTCTCAATGAGCTCGATTTGAAAAGGGGTGACGTACAGGCCGACAGAGTGAAGCGAAAACAGCTTCTTAACACTTTCAAATCAACACGCAGGGTTCCACTAATACAGCTGTAGACTGTAGATTGAGATCTAGTGAAGGTTATAGGCTTTATCTTAGAAAGAAATGCTATAATATACCACCACCAACAATAACAATACAACAACAGCAATAATATTTATAATAATAATAATAAAATGCTAAAAAAAACAATATTTGTTTGGCTACAATAGGCTGATATTAAATAAAATGCATTTTATGTTAAAGTAACAAAACAAAAACATTTATCTTCAAAATAGTAACTTTACAGGAGAAAGAAAAATGTTCTCAACTTTTGTTGTAAGTTAATGTAGAGACGTTTTAATCCAAGCTGATTTGGAGCATTTCTATTGGTCCGTTCATCATAACATGACATTTTCACAGAATGAAAAATAGAAAAATAATAATGATAATAATAAATAATAATAAATGATAAAGATATTTTGGACAGCAACAACATGTTGACTTCATACTTTTAAAAAATAAAGGTTCCTAAATGATCCCTGGCTTGTAAGTACAGTTCTAGGAAAAAGCTTTAATTGGCATAGAACCTTTACATTAAATGGATGTTCTTTGAACCTTAAAAAGCCTCTCCATTCTCAATATCTCCTTAACAAAAGTGCTTACTTAAAGAACCATACCTTGAAAGGTTCTTTAGGGAACCAAAAGTGGTTCTTCTATAGTATTGAGCCAAAGAATAGTTCCCGGCACCTTTATTTTTAGATGTGCACTCTATTGGAATGGAAATATGTGTTCATACAGTGATACTATTTTGAGAATAACAATAGTAGTTTTGTAATAATAATAATAACAATAACAATAACAATAATAATAATAATAATAATAATAATGAAGAAGAAGAGGAGGAGAAGGACATCTCCGCCACAGAACGCCTCACTGAAGGCACATTTAATTGCTAGAAATCTGTTCTTATCTCCCACCACAGCCTTGTGTGAGGAAGATCAGGTAGCGAGAGAATAGCCCCCGCTGCCCCCACCCCCGTCCCACTGAGAGAAAGAAATAAATAAGAAATGAAGGGGTCCAGCTCGTCCTGCCCGCCTCATCCCATCTCATGCATGGCTGCCAGTGATGCTGAGCTGCCAGTCAGCCTGTGTTGGCACGGCACGCGCTGTTGGGGTGTTAGGGTTGGTGCTGGTGTATGTGTGTAAAGTGGGGGGGTGAGGGGGGGTTAAGAGAGGGGGTTCTGCGCGCCTCGGGCCTCGGGAAAATAAAGGGCTGCGCGCGCGAGAGGCAGGGCGCCGCGCGCAGAGAGCCGGGCTGTGATGTTGGGCTGGAGGCAGGAAGTGCCGTGGAGAGGGGAGGAGGGAGCGGGGGCCGCCATCATCCACGGAGCGCTGAGGAGCTGCGCACATGGAGGAGCGGGCCACAGCTGGAACAGCTTCATACTGCAGAGCCCGGGACTAGCAGGTAGGGGCCATTCACAGCGGGACACACACTCTCTCTCACACACACTCACACACACAGGGCGGGTTAAAAAGTGTTAGAGCTGAAGTTTTGGTGGAAGGAAGAAGACCGAACTGGCAGAGTGGGAAAAGATCCTGAACTAGAATAACATGTTCAGCAGGTGTTTAAAGTGAAAGACGTTCCCAGCTCTCCACTCACCCACCTCATGTTCTGTTGATCCGTGCGGACCCCCAGAGTGGACAGGTTTAGTAGAGGAAAGTTTTTGGAAAGTTTTTTTTTTCCTCGAGTTTTCCACACAGGAATAGTCTCCTCTCCCGAAAGTCCAAAAAAACATAATCATCCTTCGTTCTTCACCGAGTTTCTGAGGGTGATGATCTTAAGGCGAATGTGTGCTGAACGTGGCTGAAGGTATTTCGGGAATATTCTCTGTTCGGAGAGCTGCTTTCGCTCCTTTACGGAAGCTCCTCGTCTTTACGCACCTGTTGCTCATTCCGCTCTCTACTTGCTGTGTGAACGACACGGAGGCGATTAATCTCCAGTTTTCTTTCGTTAAAAAGCAGATCTGTGGATCTCACTGTATATAAAGTTTATTTGTACTCTCCATTGGCCAAAATTTCGAGGTAAATTTTTTTTTAAAGTGTGAATTTTCAATAACAGACAGATAGAGAGGGTGGTGGAAATAAAGGCGAGGAAAAAACGAAATAAATAAAGTTAAAAACAGAGTAATTTGTTTTTTTAAAGTGTGAGCTGCTGCTCTCCGTGCTTTCTGTCTGAGCTGTTTCTCTGTAAGACAGAAGTGAAGCTGTTCTGCTCTTGTGGGCATTAAAAACTTCACACGTTTATTCACCAAACTTTACGCTCTGTGTCGCAGCAGAAACCGAAAATAAATGTGTGAAGAAATTTAAAAAAGGCTTCACATCTATAGACCATGAAAATAAATGTTTTTTTAAAAAACGCCTACATTTTCCCGTTTGATTTCCGGTAAAAAGCATGAAAAAGAAATATGACATTTTCAAAACTATTTTTGTGGGGAAAAATGTGATACATCACTTTTTTGATGATGACGATGCTCATATTCCATATATAGCAAAACGAAATTTCAGCTAAACATCATATAGAATTGAATTTCTTTAAAGCCGTTTAAATTTCTATTAACGGGTGAATCAGCACATCGAAATCACATGTAGCCTTTCTACGATTATATTCCCTGAACCGACACCAAACTAGAAAATATACTTTAAAAAAGTAGATTAGATTAAATGAAGCAGACGGAGATGAAGTGGTGAAGGTCCTGGAGTGAAGAGGTGCGGATGTAAATGAGGCTCATATAATGCTTCACTAAAGGCTCCCCACATCTGACAGATAGATAGATAGATGGATAGATAGACAGGCAGTCAGACTGATAGAGATCAGCACTTGCACCCGCTGCTCTGTTGAAATCCCCACTGATGCAACAGAAAGGAGTGAATGTGAGGAGCAGGTTTGGAGAACTTCACCCACCTCCACTGGCTTTAGGAGCTTTACTGCACTGATCACAAATGATCATCATCATCATCCTCATCATCATCATCATGTGTTGTCTAATAATATCTAAAGCTCTCTCTAAATACACACACATGGTGTGTGTGTGGGTGTGTATGTGTTCAAAATGCATCAGAACTCTGACACATTCATAACAAATGTAACATTAAAGACTTCAACAGATTTTAATATCACCATGTTTGTGGCTGGAGCCTAATTTCTTAACTTCGGTGACCTATTTTGTGACCTTTAAACTTTTTTTTCTTTTTTTCTAAGAAGTTGAACACAGCTAAACTAGTGCTGGCAGTTTCCATTAGGAATTGTAATAATTAAAGAAAATAAAAATGTATAAAATGTATAATATGATAAAAAAATGTATGTTAAAAGATTAGAGCAATTTAGCTTTACAAAAAAATAAAAAGGAAAGACAAAAAAATACAAAAGAGAAAATTAGTTTTATTATATGAATCCCCTGTGTGAGTGTGGTTTACAGTGAAATGAGACAGCAGCTCATTTACTGACATCTTTCAGAAAACAAATTGCGTTAGGCCTTGGAGAAAGGAATATCCCTGACATTCACAAGACATATTTAGAAATCAGGGAATTTACAGGTCATTTTTTAGGGTTTAGATTCCCTCAGTTCCCTCAAATGTTCCCAGAGCTTCTCCCCAAAGCAGAAATTCCACAACTTCACAGAAGCTTTTATGGTTAATAAAGACTTCATCTCAGCTTCTTTACTTCCCGTTAGAACCCTGAGTCAAATGAAACCCTGTTAACTCCACGCAGCACTCTAGAGCAGTTCTTCTCACCTCTGAACGCCTCTGACCTGAGCCATGTCATTTTGTCTGTTTAACGGTTTCGCAGTGCGTAGTCTCCACCCTTCTCCTCTTGAGCTTTTTTGTTTTCATGTTTAGCACTGCTTCTCTCTTCCCTCTATACACTCTCTCTCATACTCTGTCTGACACACAGACACATACAGACACACATACACAGTCACATCTGCGAATGGTGTTTAAAGGTATCTTTTTACTGTCACCAGGTTAATGGTACTACACTTTTTAATGTCAGCAAAGCAGTCTGTCTACACTGCAGTGTTCTCTCCATATCTATACTCGCATACACATGCAGAGAAACTGCCAGGAGAACTGAACAGCAGCAGAAAACAGCACAACATCAATTTAAGTTACAGAAAGTCACATGAGAAGCTCATACAGCACTGTGCAAAAGTCAGAGACCGCCCTTGATTTATTTTATTTCCAGTCAAAACAGACAAGTTATTGATTTTTCAGTGTCAGGAAAAAAAGGAAACAAAACAGAATATTACATAGAAGCCTCAACAACTGAGTATTCAGTGTTCACTCTTTACCTTTCTTACTGCTTCCATTCTTTTCGGCTTGCTTTCAGTTTCTCAAAGAAATCACTTGGGTTATTTTTCCACACCTCAGTCTTAGAAGTTGGTTGCATTTTCTGGTTTCCACCATTCAAGTGACCTTAAACACATCCAGTTATGTTGACATCTGGGCTCTGGGGTGGTCAGTCCACCGTTCCACCAGCACCTCTGCTGATTTGCAAATTTTCTTCTTTTTTTTTGTTTAATTCCTTTTCTCAGTAATGGCTTTTTGTCAGTGACACATCCTTTCAGACCCATAGAGTTCAGTGATCTTCTCACAGTGGAAGGATGGACAGAAACACCTGCAGATTTACTCAGATCTGAAGTAAGAGTGGAGCTTGATTTTCTCCTCTCTCTCAGAAATGAAAGCTTTAAGTGCTGTTTATCTGATGGGGACAGTTTTGGTGGTCTACCAGATCTCACACCGTAGTTAGACATCCCATCTTCTCTGTATCTTTTAATCATTTTTTGAACTCCAATTTTGGAAACTCCTTTTTTTCACTTTGACTTTCTCCTTTTTTGTGAATTATCTTATATCGAATCTACTCTGAAATATTTCCTGAAAATGAATAACTTGTATTTAATGGTAGTTTCGAGTAGAAATGAAATAAAGGAAGGGTGGTCTCTGACTCTGAGTGAAGCTCAGTACCTTCACTGTCTGTTGCGTTCAGTGATGGGAGTGGGATATAATTTCTTTGCAGATGCTAGACATCAGTCTACCACACTGTTTCTTTCACTCTTTCTTCCTGCTCTCTATAAAAGTCCCCACTGAGGCATGACCAAATTAAAATTCAGAGCTCTCTGTCCTTCTTCTGTACACGTTTTAAAAAATCTTCTTGATCACACACAATTGCTCTCCTTTCTGTTATTTAAAAATGAAGTGAACTTCAGTGATGTGTGGGAGAGGCAGCGTTCGTCATATACTTTTGAAAATAAAGGTTTCTAACTGGCTCTTGGCTTGGACATATGATTCTAGGATCTTTTATTCGTATACAACCTTTATATTATATGGAGGTTCTTTAAACATTAAAAGGTTCCTTACACTCACACATCTACACTGCAAAAATGAATTATATTGAAGGTTTCTTTTGGGAACCAAACATTGTTCTTCTATGGCATTATGGCATTGTAAAGAAGTATTTTTGGTACCTTTATTTTTGAGACTATTTTATGAGCGCAACAGCATAAATGTGGGTGTAGTCAGATCTTAATCCCAGTATAGGTGGCCTTCCCAGAAGTATGCTGACACTAATATCAGTGCTAGTGCTTTTGGGAAACTCACCCTCATATGTTTCCCAAAAGTTCTGAAACTTTACAAATTACAGAGCATTTTTTTCCAGTTCATTCAAGTTATGTGAATGCTGTGTAACCTGAAGAGCCTCAATACTTTTGGGAAACTCTGAACATCTATGAGGAAGCATGCCACATGCCAGAGTTCATGCCCCCATCTAGACTACACCACATATTTTGGTTCCCCTTCTGGTAATTGTGTATCACTATTTTTGAAAAAAAATGGTATTTAAATGAAGAGAAAAGTCATCAAATGGAATGTGACAATCAAATCACGTTTCACTACACATACTGAGTTGAAACAGAAAAACAGGACCGTCAGAATTTCACTGTGAAAAATGAAAATGTGATTCTTTTGTATATTTTGAACACTCATATATGTAGATGAACTGACACAGAATTTCCAAGCCTACTCCAGAAGTGAAGTATGTGAAAGATCGGTCAACCTCCACCCCCTGCTTTATCCAAACCATCACAATTTCCCTTCACACCAGCTACCCAGAAAAGGGGGCACAGGGGGAATACCATACCCTCAGCAACACTCACACATACTCTCTCATAACCTGCCAGCACATAGGCACGCAAACCTCCCAGCAAATCATCTGCACCAGTGACCTTTAACCTTCACTCCCGCCGCGGCCCCCTCACACCGTGCAACCACACACCTGGCCGTTACTAGGGCCCTGAGTGTGCAGAGTCGTCGTCAGAAAGGCAGAGGCGTTGCGACAGACGGACGGCCGCTCGCTTCCCGCTATTTGTTCCAAATGTGTGGAGCCATCTGTCAGTGAAAACAGGAAGGCCTAGGTTCCCCTCCTCCCAGCAGGCGTGCTTCAGCTTGCTTGGCTATTTTCGGGAGCTTCACTTCTCCCTGTGTGGCGGCTGGCTGGGGCCGGGCACAGGCCTCCAGCGGGAGCGTCTTGAAGTGGCAGCGAGGAGGCCGAGGCTGTTGTGCCCATCTGCCGCGGGCCTGAGGGGCCGCTGCATTATTAATGGGGCCACGCGCACTGGTGACTCCTCAGATATGCAGGCCTGGCCTGAGGAAGCGCTCCGCGCTAAACTGCCTCCTCCTGCAAGAAAAAAAACAAACAAAAAAATCACTCTGCTGTCCTTCGTGGCCTACTGCATCGTCTTAACGCTCACTATCTCTCTTTGCCTTTTGTCCTCTTGTGCTTACTTTCTCCAGCCTCGTCTTAGTCATTCTTACTTTGACTTTGTTTTTCCATTCTTTCTCCTTCTCTCCTCCCATTCTCTCTCTTACTTCCTCTCTGTCTTTTTCACTTGCTCCCTGCGCTTCTTCCTCTTATTCCCCTGTCACCCTTGTCTTTCTCCTTCTCTCTCACTCTCCATCTTTTTCTCTGTGTCCACTTTTGAGAAGTCCACTTCTCCACTATGTGCCCATGAGAGCGAGCGAGTGAGAGAGAGAAAAAGAGAGAGAGAGAGAATGACAGAGAGAGAGAGAGAGAGAGAATGACAGAGAGAGAGAGAGAGAGAGAGAGAGAGAGAGGGAGAGAGAGAGACTGCCGGGCTCACCCATGCATGCTCAGTAAATTAGAGTGAACACGAGCGCCAATCAGCTGCCTATGCCAAGCACCCGCATCCCCCGTGACCCAGGGCCATCTAATTTTCTGCTTAATTTTGCGGCAGTCAGTTTGCATTTTTGGATGATTATGCGGTGGGAAATTAACAATAAATAACAAATGTGGTCTGAAAGGCTCCTCTCGAGTTTCCCGGCACCCCGCCCCTGAAAGCCCACCATCCAGCTGCAAGACGTAGCCAGCTCAGCCTTAGCTGGGCTGTCAGCCAGGGTAATGAAAATGTCTGTACTTCTTTGTAATGTAATGTAGAGGACAGTAGTGTCTGCTGCTGGAATGGGAGCGCTCTCGCAGGGGGTGATGGAGACACACAAAGAAAGGGCATTCCCCTTTAATCACTCGCCGCCCTCTCTTAGAGGGTTGTATTTGCAACAGTAGGTGTTGATGAAACTGAAACACTTTTTCTCTGTGTCTGTGTCTGTCTGGTTCTGTCTTTTACCCCCCCACACCCCTCACCCCATCCCCAATTCTTTCTTTCTTTCACTCACTGCTGTTAGAGTACCTGCACAGGATGGAGACCGAAGAGGCACAGGAAATGTCCCAAATAGCAGGTATAGCACTCTCTCACAACCTCAGAGTGTGGTAGGCCTCAGCTAACCCAAACCCTGCTGAGTTCTCAAAGTAGTTCTTGTATCAGTTTAGAGGCATCCAGAAAGCTGACTTCATTTGACTTGATCATGTGCTAAAGACAAAAGTTACGGCGAGCACTTTCCCAGGAAAAACAGAGAAACGGAAAAGGGAACATGCTCTTTAAATGGAGCAGATCTGTGACCTTCGGGAAACTGATGCACAATACTGAGATTCTTTCACGCTAGCACTGTTATGGCATATTGAACACGGTGCTAAAATGTTTAAAACTGAGGAGGTAACCTGCATATAACACATAAAGTATTCAGAGAAGAGAAACATCAACATCACATCAGTTCTTGCCCAAAACGTTAGAAATTATGTAAGAGCCGTAAAATGGCAACAAATGTTTTGGTATTAACAAATATGGTCGCAACTACATCATTTAAGCTGATGCTGAACTCTCTGCTGTATTTCAAATTACAATGCAAAGGTCCATCCGTCACTTTGATGACATGAGGATATTTCACTCAGCTAGTTCACAGAAGCTGTTCTGTTTAAACTCTTAAACCTCAGTGGCCACTTGGATAAAACACCTGAAACCCTTCTTGTAAGTTAAAAGATAAATTTACCTAAACTGAGGGATGCACATACATGTATTGCAAACTTCTTAACATTCCTCTTAATTAAGGGTTAGATTTTATTACAGCAAAAAAAGTAGTTCACAAGAATGTGATCCTCATGGTTACCATGGCAACAAAGATAAAATCAATAGTCCATATAGCTTTGTGTAAGCACGAAGAACTCTCTCTGCCCTTAAGGATATTTTTTACTTTCCACTGTTGTTTTTTTTCTTACGGTGAAGGGGTGTGTATGGACAAAATTCATTTAATGAGGAACACCTGCATCCAAGATTTCTGCATAATTCACTGGTTAAGATTGAAAACTCAAATCTCAAAAACAAAACAAAAAAAGTTATTCAGAGTGGTTTGATGTGACGTAGTTCATTGCAGAGAAACTTGCAGACTGGTTTCTTTACAGTGGTGGTGACAGAAACCAGGGCTCACAATGTCTGCAAGACAAATATAGCCATTTTCACTATTTGAAATCATCACTGAAACTATACCTCTTCTGAGCTTTTATATGTGATGGTCATACAGTCATATGCAAGTTTGCACACAGTTTGAACACCCCTGGTTAAATTACATGTTTTGTTGTTTTTATTAGTGAAAATGAGTCACATCTCCTACAGAGAAAACACTTAAATATGGCAATTTTCTGTAAATTTTAGTGCACAATATCTAACATATTGGACAAAAACTAAAGCATATTCTATAAAATGTGCCATAACTTTTGAACATGGGCCACATTTGATGTTTTTTTATTTATTTTATTTTATTTTAGATTCAGCAAATAAAAATCAACAAAGTGTTGCCCAGACTTTTGCATATGACTGTAATGATAAAATAATGGTAAATCTCTGAAAAAATAAGTTCCTTTGGGTATACTCCCCACATGTACCTCTCTGCTATAAATGGCTTTTTAAAAATATGTTATAGGCCTCATAAAACTACTGTAAAACAATGTCTCAGACATCAGGCAGCATATTTCTAATAATTTCATGAATATGCACATTCTTTCATGGAGCTTTTAAAGGCATTAAATTCTTCAGACGTCTGGTTTCTATCATGACCACTGTGAACAGTTCTGACTCTGTAAATTTCTCTAGAATGGAACATTTCAGATCAGACCATTCTGAATGACTTTGTTTACACTTTAATGGTGTAATTATTCAGAAATGGAATTCCCCTTTCAGATCCACTTAGGCAAGCAGTCACAGGCTTATTATTTAGTTGTTAATCTTAAGGCTTATTATCCAAGAACTGCTATAAACAATTCAGCATCTACTGTGAAACTAATATTTGAGTTATGTAGGTATAAGAGTGAGCTGACGGGGTTAATTAGTAATACACTGAAACAGTGAGTTTGAGTTCTGTGACGAGATGGAGAACTGCTTCATACAGAGGCTCTTTTTTTCTCATCAGGAAGAGACAGTCCTCCTACAAACGAGGGAGGTGAAGAGCAAGAGGAGGCCATGCCTGTCCCGGAGGACCTGTCGGCCAGCACTGGCCTGCAGCACAACAACCGCACTGACAAACCAGCGGGTGAGTCTCACAAGTGTGGCCAGCACAGCCACTACCGCAGAGTAGCTACAGTACTGAGGAATGGCCACTTAGTAAAAGTTTACCAAGAGGTTTTCAGACCCCAAGACCAGATAGCATGCAATGGTCAAAACCCTGCACAGATTACAAAATAAAAAAAATTTAAAAGAAAAAGCTAAAGGTGGCACTCCTGTTCCATTAAGTTAAAAAGAAAAATGTTAACGCTACACATTCTCACAAAGTGCAAAGCAAAAGCTTTCTTTTCACTTTTTAGTGGCATAAAAAACATGCTGACATGATTTTATCATAAATTTTCATCAGATCAAAACAAAAACGTAACTAAAGCATCACCTTTAACCCAGTTCTTCGTTACAGTTTGATTTGAAGTAATTTCGCAGTGGCAAGGCACGCAAACAAGAGCCCTCTTATCTATTAGAGAAGTGTGCTTGTGTGCTTATCTTGAGAAAATCTTTTACTTTTTAGAGAATACTGGGGTCGTCATGTTGCATACTTTTAAAAAGAAGTATAACGTGTAAAATAGGATTGGCTATTATTATGCCATAGCCTGTTTGAGTGGTTTTGTAGCTCCCCCATTTGAGTCTACTTAACCCAGCACACTAATGATTATGACTCGAGTGCTTGTTTTCCTGCTTCTCCATAATAAGGCATGAAAAAGAGAAGGCAGGAACACCTAGCAAACCACTTTAAAACAACTCCCCTCATTCTACTCTTCTTTGTATCAAATACTATTTGCATTCATTCTTAGAAATAGAAGAATTCAGTGTAATATGTACAATTAAGGCACAACAATTTATTCAAATTACACATGAATTAAGAACATGTATACTACACATAAAACGATCAATGAAAAATGTAGTTCTTTTCATTATAGTCTAATGATGAAAAGGTGTAATTAAAACATCTGATCTTAAGGTTTCTCCACACTTGAGTGGATATTCATTAGCTGCAGATCACAGGCTGATGTATGATTCTATCTGTTTGGATCTGTTTTTGTGCACTGGGTCAAGACTGGCAGTTTTTTAGGTGAAAATGGAAACAAACAGAGATAGAGATCTTGCAGCGTACGTCACTTTAGCTCGGCACGAAGCTGTCCGAACAATGGCTACAGCGCGGGTGGCGTACGAGTGTGAAGTAGGTTAACTAGACGCAAAGGCTGTGATGTGCGCAGGAGTGGAGCTGGCTAAGATGAAGTTAGCAGATGGCCTGTTTAAAATCTTGATGTATTTTAGTTTGGAATTTTCCCCTCCAGTAGTTCCAGATTAGCTTGGACTTAAATGCGCGCCCCAAACACTTTGAAGCTGCAGTAATTTAAAGAGAGCAAGAAAAAAAAAAGAAAAAAAAATGAGATGTCAGAGGAAACTGAAATAGGATGTGCAAGAGTTTCCTAAGAAGAACTTGCCAGAACTCAGTTTCAACACTCATGCAAGGAGATAAAATGTTTAGGAGCAACACCAGGCTAGCAAGGCATCGGCACACATGCACACACGATTCTGCACCTGCACTTTTTGCCATGCTTTCACTTCAACTGTCGAGATATTCACACATGCACACACGCATATGCATACACACACACACACACACACACACACACACCAACACTGCTAGGCTACGTGTTAGCTTATTTTAAATCAAACAGCCCAGCACAGTTTCTTTCACACCATGCTAAGCTAAGACAACAGAGAATCTAAGAAAAGTTGGTCAACATAGAAAACTTTCAAACTATAAATGCCACTACAGCATGTGATACCGGTCATACTGCAAAATGCCAGGTAACAACACAGCGCAGATGCACCAGCTAGCATATGTAGGTGACTCTGACCAGACATATTGTTTGGTGGCAGTGAGGTCATGGAGCACGTAGCAGTGGTACGTTGGAAGAAATGTACACTGTGGGCTCCAGTGGTTACATATGTCATTCTCTATGTGACTATACTACACAGATAACTATTGATTAGTCATCTGTTTTAGTGATCAGTGTGAGGCTGTCGACTTGTTTGTTAACACTTCATTTTTCCACTATTAGTCCAATGTTAAGATGAAAGCCAGGAATGTTTCTTGCAAAGCCAATTAGAGAGTTCTGACATTTGTTCAGAACTACTCACATGGCATGTATATCAGCTGTAACATTTTAGAATGCTAAATAAATTCTAAACATTTTAGAATTCTTTGGAATGCTAGACTTTTTTGCAGTAAGAACTTTGGTCAGATTTGAGCCAGTTCATTGTAAGGTGTATATCTTGCAGGAAAACAGGATATTTGATACAGATTACGGATAATCTTTAATCTGCCTTGCAAGGGTGTGCGTGCCTGTGTGCGTGTGTGTGTGTGTGTGTGTGTCTGCATATATTGCGCTGTCCTTGAAGATGTAATCAGTCAGTGTGTGAGAGGATGTGACTATTATATCTTTGCAGTGCATCACTGCCTCGCAGATTAAGGCAGAAACTTGGTAATGGAGCAGCAGCTATCTGTGCTGATGGTGTACTACTGGGGTGCAGCTTTGCACATTCGATCAGGACTGAGTGTGTGAGTGAGACAGGAAGGAGAAGAGCATCAGAATCACACCCAAAAACTGCGACGGCTCACACTGTCTCTTCATTCGGAATACAGAACACCTAGCGCCAGAGTGCAGCCAATAAACCAAACTATACTCTGTAAGCTTAAGCATACTCTGTATATTTTAATCTGTATTTGTATATACAGTACTGTGCAAAAGTCAGATTTTATCCTTTCATTTATGTAATTTTCAGTGAAAACTGCCATTAAGTTCACATTTTTAGTGTAATTTTTCTCTGTCAGAAAAAAGCAGTAAACATAGAAAAAATATATTTAACAGTGTCTCCAACATTAAGTATAATATCAAAATTATCAGCATTTAATTTGTCCCGTCTTTGTGTTTTTTGCACCCTACTGTCACTTTAACTCCTGCATCCTCCCAGTCTTAAAACCAATAAGTTACACCTGTGTCCTCCCAACAAAATGTGTCACTGGCATTATGTTCCCCCTTCAAACAGACCCTAACACTTACATAAGTAACTACCCAACCACTCCTTAACTTCCCTGCATATTTCTTTTTCATGTGCATCTAAAATGGCTAAAGGAGATATTTTGGAGGATATTAGATAGAAAATAATCCATTGGCATAAGGAAGTGGAAAGTGAAAGGAACAAAGTGAAAAACAGGAGTTTCCGAAACTGGAGTTAAAAAATCATTAAAAAATAGAGAGAAAATGGGAATTCTAAGAACCTTGCAAGGCCTGGTAGACCACCAAATCTGTCCCCATCAGATAAACAGCACTTAAAGCTTTCATTATTGAGAGAGGGGAGAAAATCAAGCTCCACTCTTGCTTCAGATCTAAATAAGTCCACAGGTGTTTCTGTCCATCCTTCCACTGTGAGAAGAAAACTCAATGCTGAAAGGAGGTGTAGCTGTCAAGAAGCCCTCAATGAGAAAACAGAATAGACCAAAAAAAAATAATAATAAAAAAAAATAATAAAATAGCACTAGAACACCAAAACTAGACCTCTGAGATGTGGAGTAAGGTTTTATGAACTGACGAGTCTAAATTTGTGATTACTTGGATTGTGAGAAGTAAAAAATGCAACCAGCTTCTAAGACTGAACTTTAGAAGGGTGGAAAACACCCCTGTAGGTCTCTTTGAAAAACTGAAAGTAAAAAATAGACTGGAAGCTGTAAGAAAGGCAAAGGGTGGACACACTGATACTAAGAAATTGTTAAACATATGTTTCCTGCTTTTTTTTGATGCTGAAACATGAGTGGCTGTTTTTGACTAAATTAAATCTTCAGAAAATGTAAATGTCAAAAGATTCTTTAATATTTTTACACAATGTGGAGGATCTCTAAACTTTAAAAAGGTTCTACACTCACACCTCTCATTTACAAAAATGGTTCTTTAAAGAAAGGTTTTCACTAAAGCGGGTTCTTCTCTGGCATTGTGGAAAGAACCCTTTTAGGCACCTGAATTTATAAGCATGTGGCTATATACTAATACTGTAACTAAAGCAAAGTAACTTTCGATTTTGTTCTTGTTTTTAAAAAATGCTCCTCTGGATCCAAGCCTGATTTTAAGTGTTATTTTTATTGTTATTTTTTTCACACGTGCAAAGTCAGTCAGCTTTTGTGCCATTGCCAGTTTACTGGCAAACACTTTGAAGTTCCTAAAAATGCAAAAGAAGCAGGCCTTTTTTCTCCTTATCAGAGCTCACACGTATACGCACGCTCATGCACACACACACATTCACACTGAGTAGAGCCGTGGTTAACTGTGTGGCTCCACAGCAATGAGTACGAAGCTATTTTCAGTTTGAGACAACATGAGCAGCGCTCTGAGAGGAACGTAGCTGACACCCAGTTTTACACACACACATCGACTGCAGTCAGGCGTCAGTCTATCCCGCCATTAGTGAATGCATCAAGTTTCGGGGTGAGTGTAAACCCACTCTGTGCCGCTTTGTAGAGTGCAAGGTTAAGGCCGTGTCTGACAGGAACAGTAGTCATAGTGTAAGCAGGATGAAGTGAGATCTAATGTCATCAGAATTGTTCTACTTTACAGTAGTGTAGCGCTCTTTGTTTGTCCTTGCATGTGGCTTTTGAAACTTGCTTCCCAAAAAGGGTAAATTAGGATGTGTGACCAACATTATATAAAGTAAAAGCTCCTCTTCCCATCCCCAGTTTAGTCACAACTTCCCCAAATCCATGAGAGACTTCAGCACACCAGCAAGGCTAGTTCCCTTTGCCAGGCTTGGGTCACATATCTCTGGACAGATCACACTACACCACGGGCAGAGGGACCGTAATGAGTTGCAAAGGAGAGGCTTGCGTATCTATTCCTACTTTGACTAAGAACTAAAGCGTCTGGTAAACTTTAAGATAATCATTGTACATAAAATCTGGAGAAAAAAAAATAGTTGCAGGCTTTAGATGAAAATAATTGGCTTGATTAGTGAACTCTGGAACAGTGTGCTAGAGAATAGGAGCAATGCAAGCTTAAACCCAGATTAAAACCATATTTATTCAGGCTAGCATAGTTAATTAGGTCTTTTTTACTAAAGCAATAAGCCAGGAGATGCTATGCAATATAGTAATTTTATCACCTTTAAGGGCTAGGCACAACATAAAGCAGAGCACAACAGCACAACCTCAGCCTTACTACATAATCATTAATCATCATTAATACTAATAATAATAATAAGTTCAATGTCTATAGTGCTTTTCACATACAAAAGGCTGCTTTACAATAAGAACTTTACATAATCACAGTATTACACATTCACATTATTCAGTTAAAACCTGGAAAACAACGCAAATAAAGCTATTCTTTAGTTACAGGAGTAAGGAATTAAAGCCTGGACCCACTGCTGGGCCCTCAACATTTACAGGGTTTTATAACTTGCAATTAGCTTTGAAGACTTTAGAACCAGAACTATCTATTTTATAATTCACATTCTATCATTTGAAATTGTGTTTGGCTGTTTTAGTTTTCCAAGTCTGTGTAAAGCACTTTATGATCTGGTAACTAAAATGAAAGTGCCATGTAAATAAAGATATTTTTATAATGCTACAGAGGAACTTTCTCTCAGGAGAGAGAGAGATAAAGAGAGAGAGAGAGAGAGAGAGAGAGAGAGAGAGAGAGAGAGAGATAGAGAGAGGGAGGGAGGGAGGGAAAGGGACAGATTCTGAGTGCTGATCAGCCGCCATGACTCTCTGAATATCTCTTGTGGATTGAGGTGCTTTTTGCTATCCGTTTGGTGAGCTCACACTTTTTCAACTTCGGGCTGACACTGACTCAACTTCCTTTTGGTCTTCAAATTAGCGATTCTGTTTTGGTGCCTCTCCCACCAACAAAGTGGTTTGCCGCTTTTTGTGGCAATGTTTGGGCTCACACTAGAATCTTTACAGATAACTTAATGCCTTAAATGGCCAGGGCCCACCGGCAGGCCCAAAGTTTTATTACACACTTCTATAACCTAAGAAGCTCATCTAGTTTGCATTGAAGTCCTTGTAGTTCCTGAATAATAAGCCTTAGTATGTAATAAGCCTGGGATATTATGAGGTTCATCTAATGTGAAGTAAAAAATAAAAACAAAAACAGCTATTAGTGCATATTAGAAGAGAAAGAAAAAGCAAACAGTGCTACATGTTCTCCATATGAATCATGTGACACAGTTGCTGATCCCTGTAGTTTACATGAAAAAAACCTTTGTGTCCCACAAAAACACTGTTTCAGTTGCATAGCTTCACAATTCCCTGTCTGTGCTTCCCTTTCTGTCACTTCTCCATAACTCTTGGTCTTTTTTCGGTTGGGCTGGCTCTGTTACTGAAGCTTCCCCTTTCCCCCTAGATTCCTATATTTCATTATTTCCACTTCTTCCTCTTCACTCTGTACAAACTGAGGTGAAGGCATGGGGAAATCAGACATGGCACCATTACATGTTAACCACAGAACGTAAACTCTGTGAGAAACGTTTTAAACAGGCAAGGCCGGCCGGCTTGTTTATAGGGCACAGTAGTGTGTAATTTAAAATGACCCTTATACAAATTGTCTACAAGTGCGTAGTTTTAAATCTATCTTAAATCTTAGAAGGTGTTCCTCATGGTGCTGTTTTAGGATCGCTTTTGTTCTGATGTGTTTCTGGAAAACTCATCTGGGGTCTTTTGTTTTTAGCTTACAGCCACATTATCTTTTTTGATCTTCTTAATCTTTTTCATGTTACAAAATGTTTTCAGTAATATAGACCGCCTTCTTAATTGGCCAGCTCACCTCACAGCCTCGCATCTCTATAGCCTCGCTTGTGTTAGTTCTTGCCTGTGTCTGTGTGTACGTATTTACCACGGTTTGTTGGTCTGGTTTACACCGCTGCACTCCTCAGTTTCACAGAGCTTCCTGTGTCTCTGTTTCCTGTTTATCAGTCACTTGTTTCAGAGAAGTGTGATGGTGAGAGAGATGGTGTATGGAGTTTGAATTTCCCAATTCCTGAGTGAGCAAACTCATACAGGAGCTTACTGTTTGACTACTGAGGTTTGTGTAGTGTTAAGAGAACACATCATACTTATTTTTTTGTCCAGTTTCTTATTCCAAATGGTATACAGACACTCATATCTAAGCTTTTACACTATTCGGCTTTCAGCTGCAACTTTGGAGGTTCTCTTTTTTATCCTTCTGCTTGAAATGTGACATTATGTTGAACAGGTGCAAAGCATAAAAACTAACTCAATAGCTATAGACCACATTGTATTAGCAATGTCAATAACATTAACTTTATATTATGTAGAAAGCTTAGATATTACCTGTTTAATTCCTTTAAATATATAAAAAGCTAGTTTGGTGTTTCCTGTGTAAGTCTATCTGAGTAACATTTGAAAAGGAAATAAAATCCATACTGTAACTCTTAAGGGAAAATCCAATTCACAGCACAGTTCATTCTTAGTTTTAATAAGTTAAAGGGCAGTACCAAGTACAGATGTCCAGTTTACTCTGAAGTATTACATCTTCCCCTAGCCAATTCAAAAAGGTCATATAAGGTAACTTGCCACCAAAGCCTGTACACTGAACATAGATCTGAGGCTCCTGCCCTAGGGCACAAAGAATGCTCAGCTATGGTAGGACTTTGGTAGATGAAAGTGTCAGCTACACAGCTAAAGCGATAGTCAGGGTGACCATCCAGCCTGCCACTTCACTAAACGGGCCCACTGCCCTCTTTTTCCAGCCTGCACTATAAAAGTTGAGGCTCGGAGTGACGAGGAGAACGGGCTGGCCGCTGAGATGAATGGAGAGGAGGAGGAGTGTGTTGCCGAGGACTTGCGCATGCTCGATGGCTCGGGGGCCAAAGTGAACGGCTCCCACGCGGGCCCCGACGGCAAGCCAGCGGGCGCCTACCCCACGGCCGGGGGCATCCGCCTCCCCAACGGGAAGCTCAAGTGCGATATCTGTGGAATAGTGTGCATTGGGCCCAATGTGCTGATGGTGCACAAGCGAAGCCACACTGGTAAGCACAACCGCCATCTACTCTTCCCTCCCTTTACTGTCACCCACACCCATAGCACAGAAGAGCTGACAGTGTGCAGGGCTGGATAGGATGCACAGAACATGCAAGAACAGAGCAGGGGCAGATGCAGAGCAGCTAAGGCCAGGCTGATGAGGCAGAGCGCAGACGTCGATATACATACTCTCGTTTCTTAGCAGGAGCCACAGTGCATTTGGAAAGTGCAACCCCCAAGTCCTACACACGGCTTTGGCATTCAGACAACAGACGAAAGGAAGTGGTTACACCAAACTGACTGAACGTACTGAACTATTACTGTGTTGAACAGACAACAAGTCTAATCGGCCTAAATATCTCTGGACCATTCTACAGTGTTAGCAGTGTCAATAGCATTAGCTTGACATTGTAGAGGCCTCAAATATTACCGTTGTAACCCCTTAAAGTGTATAGAAAGCTAGTTTTCAGTGCTGTGTCTTCCTGTGTTAGTCTAAGTGAAGTCTGCAAAGGAAATAAAGTAAAAATAATCTGTGTATCTAAATTGCAGCTGAGCGGCAACAGCAACAATTAGGCTGAAAGAAACCTCTACTAAATTAAAACGATCAGAGTATTTAATTTTTTTTTCTCTCTCACCCAAGATTGATATTCCATTGTAATGAGCCCAAACCAGTGGTGGAGAACATTTTTCAAAAAGGCACTTAACTTCTGCGCCCGAGGAGCTAATGAAACTCAAAACGGAAGAAAGGAACAGAGGCCTAATGCAAATGCAAAAAGAGCCTACAATAAAAGATATAATGAAGTGCTTCCTATTTAAATATAAATATTGGCTGGTGAGACTGTTCTCCTAAAATGCCTTTTTAATGAGTTTCTCTTTTTTCCGCCGTAGTTTTGCTGCTTCACTGGTGACTCTTATTTTATAGGGCTTTTGTAGAGAGGCTCGTATTAAAGCGGCTCTCCGAGAAATGCCAGAACACGCGGGCTGCCGGGATATTGGTTTATTCCAGAGGCGCTGATCAGGAAGACTGGCTCTCAAACACAAAGTGTTTCCTTCGCTTTATTTAAATGAGCGCCGCATTTGCATTGTGATGGGCCGCTCTTATTTTAGAGCCGAAGAAGAGGAAAAAATGAGATTTTCAGATCAAATTGACCCAGGCAGTGGTGCATTACGAAACTGGCAGGCCGAGGCTGAAAAGCCTGTTGTTGGATGAGAGCGCGAGCGGAGCGCGGGGGGCACGTGGAGGAGAGAGAGAGACTGAGAGAGAGAGAGAGAGAGAGAGCGAGAGAGAAAGAGAGAGAGAGAGAGAGAGAACGAGAGGAGAGGGAGGTAGGGAGAGGGAGGGAGCGAGAGAGTGAGAGTGAGAGAGGTATGCGAAGGAGAGCGTGGTAGAGGGAGGGAGAGAGTGAGGGGAACGCGCGCCCGGCTCGCGGCGCTCGGCTCGTGCAGCGCTCCCGCTGTAACAGCGCTGTAGGGCAGTGACCCCCGCTCACTGTGTAATAGTGCTGCTGTAGAACAGTGTCAGTAGCACTCAGCGCTGATCCATGTAGTGCAAATGAGTTACATGTGGCACTGCAGACATCTCAGTGCGGCAGGATTACAGGTGGTAGCACTGCTGTCAGCGAGCTCAGGACACACACACTGCTCCTCTCCACTTACACCCTCAGATGGCTGTTTAATCCAATAATAGTAATGATGAAATACAAATAACTGGAATAATAAGCACAGTCACTATAACTCTTCTTCTTCTTAGTATTATTAATATTATTAGTAGTACTATGCTGAAAATTGCAGTTTAAATAGCATTTATTTTTTTCATCAAAAACTGTAGTAGTCTAAATCAAAAATAAAACAGTTGGTCTCACTTCCTTTTGATACTGTCTTATACAAAAGTTTGGGCGGCTCCTCGTCCCATTACGTGTTTCGTTGATGTGAAAATAAGTACGTCATCTACAGAGAACACATTTTAATGCACAGTTACTGTTTATTTGCTGAATTTAACATATTGGAAAAATGTGGCCTGTGCAAAAGACACATTTTATATGTTGTATTTTTCCCCAACACCCTAAACTTAACAAATATAGAGAAATCATGCAACAAAATGCCATATTTAAGTCTGTTCTCTGCAGAGGATGTTCATTTATTTTCACTTAGAAAAATCAAAATAATTTGACTGGGGTGTTCAAACATTTTGCATATGACTGAAGATTATCTACAGATGCTTTAATTGCTTTAATCTGGTGAAACCCAACAAGTTTATATCAGCAACATTAGGTTTAGGGGTAGGTTTAGGTTCTGAGTGGAAGTTAAGGTTAGGTTAAAGGTTTATATTTATGTTTAGAGGCTCAATGACATTCAACTTACAGTTAATTCACATTTAATAGATATTTAGTGTGAAGGTTAATTACAGACTAGGCAACGGCGAACTCATCAGAAACAACTGAATACCAGTATGAATATCGATTAATAAAAATAAAAAGTGAAAATGAAATGGAAGTTTATTATACAGCATAAAATGTCAGTGGACACAAATACCATGTACATAGAAAACAGAAAAATCTGTAATTAAACATTTTTTAAATTTTGTAAAATGTGAAAAAATTTTGTTTTAGAGATGAAAGAAACAGGTTGTTTAGTGTGATGTAATGTAACACTGTGCCTTCTGATTTCCCCTTTTCTGACTGTGTTCCATCTTGTTTTGTTTTTCTCTCAGGTGAAAGGCCCTTCCAGTGCAGTCAGTGTGGCGCCTCCTTCACTCAGAAGGGAAACCTCCTACGGCACATCAAACTCCACTCCGGAGAGAAACCCTTCAAATGTCACCTGTGCAACTATGCATGTCGCCGCAGGGACGCCCTCACCGGACACCTTCGCACTCACTCAGGTAATTCACAGCACTCCTGATCAAATTCTTCCTGTTAAACACAGCATTAAAATCTAGGAGCCTCTATCCTGTCCTGGACACTTGTAAGAACCCAGATCTGTTTTGGGCCATTTTATAAATTGATCAAAAGTTCACTTTGTGGAAAAGTGAATTATACTTTATAAAGTCATTGCATTTTGTTGAAGTCAACGCTGTCAACATTATCATGTCTTCTTCAACACCTCCTTTTTCTTTCGAACTGACAGTTGGAAAGCCCCACAAATGTGCTTACTGTGGGCGCAGCTACAAGCAGCGAAGCTCGCTGGAAGAGCACAAGGAGCGATGTCACAACTACCTGCAGTGCATGGGCCTCCAGAACAGCATCTATAGCACAGGTCAGCACATGCCAGCACACAGACACTCTTACCCCCTCTTATGGACACAGAAAAACATTCATCTAATCAAAGAAAACCTACACTAAGATCACATAAATGTGGGTCTTATTAGTACAATTAGTACAAGATTGTCAAAACCTAAACAGAGTGTTTATAGATTACTTTGAGAAGTCATACATATATTAGGTGGACCTATACGTCACGGCTGGTGGCAGGTTTTTCCTTGAATTGCCTGAATGTGTAGTTACCCAAAACTCGCAACAGGAATCTCAAACTTTCTAAAGGACGTAACTTCCTTGAGAGGTTATTATGTGATTTACTGCATTATTCCTATTAGAAGATTGTATGCATCAAAATTTAGACCTTTTAAATAAAGTATGAAAAGTGCGAGGCAGAAACTTTCAATTGAAAGTTTAGTTCACAAAATGCAGATTAATGCAGATAATGCGTTTTATATCTGCAAGCCAGGTGTATTTGTGTATTTGCATCTTATACGTGGTTTCTCTGTCTTGCTTTTTATAGTGAAGGAAGAGAACAGCCAGAGTGAGCAGAGGGAAGACATAAACCTGGCTGCATCTGAGAGAGCCTTGGTGCTAGACAGAATAGCTAACAATGTAGCTAAGCGTAAGAGCTCTATGCCACAGAAGTTTGTGGGTAAGAGTTGCAGTCTGCTTTCTTTATGTTTAAAGGAAGTTGCCATATCTCCCAAAAAAGGATAGCCTTACTGCATGAAATCTGTGTGTGTACAGAAGTATCGTGAGTGCATATGAGGCATACGTTTGAGAGAGTAGAAGGCTGCAATATACAATAAGCAAGTCTAAAATATCACCACTGTGGGAACAAAACCTTGTATCTTAATTTTTGTTGTTTTTCTTTTTTTTATTATTATTATTTTTTAATAAATTGAAAATGCCAGCTGCCCTTTATTTTGTGTCAGACTTTTATGATGATGAGACCATTAGAAATGGTTGAGAATCACCTAAAATAAAATGTCTTTCTGTTATCTTTAAAATTTTAAAGTTCAGAAGTTAAGAAAGTTTTTTTTCCTTCTCCTACTTTTTTGGGAATATGAGATTTTGTTCCAATAGCACCGATGGGTTTTTATGTTTTTATTTTTAAAAAGATTCCTATTATTTTTGTTTATATATTTTAAATATGTGAACAAGGCAATCAGGTATCTCTTTTTGAATTTGTTATTGTTAGGTTTTCATGTATTTGCAAGTATTCTTATGTTATTCTTATTGTATCTTTGTGCTTCATTGTTGATACAGACATTGTATTACTACTATTAAGTTATTTTAAATAGACAGACAATAGAACAGTATTTTGTGTTGTATTGTGAATAGTTAAATTCATGTCTCATTTAACACACACATATATGACATACAGTCATTTGCAAAGGTTTTAACATCCCTGGTAAAATTGTTGTTGATATTCTAAGTAAAAATACGTTGAACACCTCCACAGGGAACAAACGTAAATATGGTATTTTCTAATCATTTTAATGCCCAATTGCTATTTATTTGCTGAGTTCAACATATTGGAAAAAATAAATCATAACTTTTGCAAAGGCCACATTGTATGTTTTCCCCCAATATTTTAAATTCAGCAAACAAACAGTGTGTTTTAAAATGTGCAAAAGTGGAGGATTATTAACTTCTTTTCACTTAGAAAATCAACAAAACATGTCATTTGACCTGTGCAGACAACTGTATATGAGACATTACAGGATAAATCATCATCTTAAATGCTTTTAAAAGTAACATAAATAGTGTCAGTTCTGTGGGCATCATCTCAACTCTGTTTTTTTCTCTCTCTTTTTCTTTTAGGTGAGAAGCGCTACGCTGACCTTCCGTTTGAGGGTGGCTCGGGGGAGATGATGCAGCCTCATGTGATAGACCAGGCAATCAACAGCGCCATAAGCTACCTGGGGGCTGAGTCCCTGCGGCCGCTGGTCCAGACCCCACCCGGCTCTGGCACAGACATGGTGGTCAGCCCCATCTACAACCTGCACAAATCGCAGTCAGCCGAGGGCAACGGCCTGTCGGCTAAAGACAGCGCTGCTGAGAACCTCCTGCTGCTGTCCAAGTCCAAATCGGCATCCAGTGAAAAGGACGGCTCTCCCAGCCCCAGCGGCCAGGACTCCACTGACACGGAAAGCAACAATGAGGAGCGGGCAGGAGTCGGGGGAGGGGGACCAACGGCAGCTGCCGCTGCTGCTGCGGGAGGCCTCATCTATCTGACCAATCACATGGCCCCGGGAGTGCGGAACGGAGGCTTGCCGCTGGTGAAGGAGGAGCAGCAGAGGCACTTTGAGGCGCTGCGTGCGGCGGGCATGGAGCTGGGCATGGGAGTGACCACTGAGGGCTTTAAGGTGCTGACCGCAGAGGGAGAGGAGGTCAGGGCGTATCGCTGTGTCCACTGCAGGGTGCTCTTCCTGGACCATGTCATGTACACCATTCACATGGGCTGCCATGGCTTCCGAGACCCCTTTGAGTGCAACCTGTGTGGCTACCGCAGTCAGGACCGCTACGAGTTCTCCTCACACATCACACGCGGAGAACACCGCTATTGAACATGCACACACACACAATCTCACACACATTGATATAAAGAGACACACAGTCGTTCAGCGTACACCACACAAACTCTTAATCGGAATTTCTTTTTACATGTTGTCTGAACGCTGTATGCATGTTGGAAGGTTTAATTGGACATTTCATTTTGTTACACACTGATTAACCCAGACAGATGTAAATACAATTCACTGTCTTGTCTATTTTTCTATAATTGTTTGAGTTACCAACAAGTGTCAGCGTATATATGTGGAAAGAGAAGTTGCTTTCCAAACACTGGGAATGGAAATGAAGTAGAAATATTATTGTTAATTATTTTGAAGACAAATATCCAAATAAATTCTTCTTGGACTGATGTGACAAAAAAAAGTCTGTTTTTAAGAGCAGCCTACAGTTTACCTAAAAATGCATCACTGTCATAAAAGAATACTGCATAAGAAAATTAGCAACTTTCTTAGTAGTTTGACCAAATCATACCAAAATTTCATGACACATAAAATGTTCACGGTCAGTTTTTCTTGTCACAGCAAAGATATACTGGAATAATGATTGTATGACTTATCATCAGAAGTATTGACATCTTGCGGACAAAGGACTGTAATCCTCCTACCTGTGTAATTATGACCAGTAGCTTTTTGCCCCACTGTATTTCTTTCTTTATCCTGATGTTTTTTTTATTATTATTATTTAACTGTAGATTTTGACAGTATTTTACACATTTAGCATCAGCACCTAAGAAAATACATGCTTGCAAAATATCAATAAAGATATTTTACATTTGTGCAACATCTACCAGTGTGGGAGCTTTCCATTTTAATGTTTTTCCATTTTCCATTTTAATGGTTTTTAATCGAGGTCCATATCAGACTACGATTTACAGTTAAAACAAACTTCAATATGCAATAACTAACCAAGTTCCAAGCTCCAAATTATTAAGTTTAAGGAATTCAAAATTGCACAAGACACTTTTTCTCATGTATATAATTGACCTAAAATGTCTATCAACCCTGGCTGTAGCTGCCAACTGTCGGAGGAAAACACTTGTAGGAAGAGAAATGATTGACACTCATATTATATGAACAAAAATGAATAAATTTAAGAAAGAAAGTTTAAAAAATACAAATCAATCAATAATAGAAGACCAGGAAGAGCAGACATAACTTCAGGTTTGGGTTTCAAATAAAATATAATAAAAAAAAATAAAAAAAAGTTTAATGCTTCATTCAGGAATTCTTAGGTCTCAATACTTTTGTTCATTACTGAAGCATATGAGGTGGGAAAAGGGCACTAAGGGCACAGAGGACATGCCAGTAAACTTAACTGTTGTAATAAAATCTACTTGACATTGTTTCAGCAATGCAGTGCACAACAAACCATGCTGGAATTTACCATCTTATGTGGCCCACAAATTAGGCGTATGTTTGAGATACACCTGATAGGTACGTATCGAACATCAGATAGACTGCCGGGCGAGCGACTGGGGCATCTGCAGTGCACAGAAACACACACACGCACACACACACATCCAGATGGCTCCTGTGTGATTGGGCGGAAACGGGAAGCAGCTGTAGCCAGTGCGGAGTCCCCACGCTTCAGTGGGACCTAACGGTGGAGACAGTGCATTTGCATGAGAGGGATAATCTGGCCAGCACCCACCCACCAGCCCTCCCCACCAGCATCTATCCAAAATCTCACTTCTCCTTTCTACACAAACTAATAAAAGCCGTACTACATTTCTTATTGACTCCACCCATTCATATGTGCTGTTAATAAAAAAAACTGCTGGGTGGGTGGCTAAGGAAAGGTTTTCCCAAATGAATAATCTGATGCAATACATGAGAAACTAATAAAATGTAAGTACACTCTTGAATTGGTATAGAAACTACCAATTAACTGTCATGTGGAGGTTCTTTAGACTTTAAATCACTTGGACATATCATTTACAAATAAAGATCCTGTAATAACCATCGCTTAAAGGTTGTTTAGGGAACCAGAAGTGGTTCTGCTGTGACATTATTCCAAAGAACCCCTCTTGAAACCTTTATTTTTAATATTATATATACATATCAGGTTCTATCTTATGAGGTGCAGTTAAGGTATAGATAAAGACGAGAGCTAGCAGTAGGAGGTGTTTGCACAGCTCCAGAGGAATTCTGGGCGTCCTGTCTTCTCAGTCCGGCTGAGGGCTGCCCCTGCTGTTCTGACAGATTTCCATCAGTCCTCAGGGATGCGCTCACTACTTGCACTGCTGGCTAGTTTTACAAAGTTCCAACACTGTAGCCAACCACATGACCCTGAAATATTCATTAACCGACTTGACAAAAAAGATCAAAAATAAATGAAAGCCTTTTTTCATGGGCTTCCAGTTTTTCTAAGATTGTTTCATAAAAATTACATGACTGGTTCATTTCATGTGAGTACAATCTATAATCAGTGTTGCTATGTCTGGCAACAGCACTCCAGGAGTTTACAGATCAGCCATACTTTTTCATCTCAGCCCTAAGATATTTTAGAGATTTGAGTTCACTGCTGTGTTGTGAGACTTTTTTGTGAACAAAGACAAGAAAAAAAAAGCTACCCAGTTATGCTCAAATGCTCAATAGTCATTGTTGATCTTGGTGTGTGAATCCTTACAAAACTTTCTCCACAGACTAGCAGGTACTACACCATCTTGACATGCCATGTTTATGACAATGTTTGATTTTATTCTTCAGAACAAATTTCAAATGGTCACAATTGAAGAATGGATAAATATATATATATATATATGTATATGATATATATATATATATATATATATATATATATATTTTGTAAGCTGATCTAATTAGATATTTACAGACAGCAGATTTGTAACATACTACAAAGTAGCAGTTTTTGCAGTTTCATGCCAGCATTTAGACAAATCTTAGTTGGATGATATAAATACCTGGCCTTACTTACAGCTTTGCTTAGGCCAGGAAGGCCTACCTCTTGGGCAAATAAATATGCCAATGTTATCCAACTTTCTCTGTTGCATTATAAATGAAGACACTTGTTTTTACCTCCCAACAATTGCCATTATGTTTGGCAGTCATGAGTGGTACAACAGAAGAGAAAAGAAACATGATGGGCTTAATATTGCCGTGAGCACTACCCAACACTTTCTGAAAAAAATCTCCTTTAACAATTACAGAAAAAAATGTTTCAGAGTAAACAACTAGAAATATATATACAATGAAAATAAGATATTAGTGTTAAATTCATGTGATTAGAGCTGCTTTGTGGTTTGGCAGGGGTAATGTTCTCCCCATCACTGGACCAGCAAACTCTATTACTCAAACCATCTGTGGCCACAACAGAGCACAAAAACACTTTTCAACCTCACACCTACACCCCCGTATATCATCACTTAATGAGTCATGACTTAAAGAGTATATCCAGAGATTCTAGTAAACTACACACAGTATCTTCCCTGATGGCACTTTCTTTTGTAAACGCTTTTTACATAAATTTGCTCCAAGAGCAAATATATACACCTGGATATATATATATATATATATATATATATATATATATATATATATATATATATATATATATATATATATATATATATATATACCAGGATATTCCAAAAATAATCCCCAGATTTTCTCTTACAGAATCCATACAGAACACAGCTTATTTCAAAAGTAGTGGCTTGGTTTATTAAGTCATTTAAGGCGATTTCTACAGGAAATTCAGTGATCTTTCCACGTGTGGTAAAAAACAAGGATCACTAAATACAATGATTTAGGACATTACATAGAAAGTACCAGGCTATGTAGTTCTCCTTCTGACGGTCAGCAACATGGGATAAGGAACTGCCTGACGCATTGAATAGTGGGTGAAACTCAAATCTGGGCTTCGGGGGGAAAAAAAGCAGGCTGTGTCTTACAGTGCAATAAACTCAACACTTCCCATTTCACTTAACAGTTAGACATAATTTGTAACCAGGTCAAAGCAAAGGGGGCAAATATTGGGAATCAGAAACAATTGGTCCAAAAATGGTCCTCTGACAAGCTATTGGCCATAACATTTTAAATATACAGTACTGTGCAAAAGTTTTAGGCACCCAAGAATATTGGGTAAAACAATCAGCAGTAAGTGTGTTTTGCCAGTGAGAAAAAAAGATTTTTTTAAATGATATTTGTTAGAAGCATACAGTTAGAAGAACACAGGCTTGGTTCCTGATTTCTTGGCACACTCCCTCCACTGCATGGATTAGCTACATTCTACCAGCAGCACATCTGATTGGAAATGTTTAATCTAACACATTGATACATCAAATCACGAAGTACTGTTCATTTGTTTTTATTCTTATGTTAGGGCTTTGTTTTTACAAGTAAAACCTTACTGCCAAGATAAACCGTTTTACATATAATTTTCTCAGATGCTTAAGACTTTTACATAGTGCTATATATAATGTTAACTCTGACTAAAAGGGGAAAATTCTGAAGCAGTTCTAGATCACAGTAAAGGATGAATAACAAGCCCCACTTTGTTCACCCACAGGGAATTCTGATCATAGTTATTACTCACTTATAAGAAATGAAAACGTTTGAGCCTGTGACCAATTAGGAAACTAATTTGCACACAGTTCACTGTAGCAACTGAAGAACTTGATTACCATCTACACAATTTCTGGGATGTCTTCAAAACTGCTTGTGCAAACGTCGATGAGCTAACAAGAGTGTTAACATCCTAGAACATATGAAGAAGCTCAAATTCCCACAACCATCCATTTACAACCACCACTCATGAAGGGAAGCAGAACAGTAGAGGGGAAAAATACAAAACAATAATGCATGCACACTTGTATATAACAGTGCCTCTCAAAGAGAATCCATCACAAACCCCTGACTTAACTTTTTTATATATAAAAATTTAAGTCATACGTTTGGGAAGGATTCTCTTTTTCCCTCAACTGCTCTGCTTCCCTTTATGAGTTCATCAGTTTAATGTCTTCTCTTTGTAATGCTCTGCATTTTTGTTTTTTTGTGTACTCTTAACATACCAGACCAGCAAATGCTTCATCAGATGATGATTATAATCAGGTGTGCTAGACTAAGGAAAACACAAAACTATCCAGATCATGGGACATGAGACTGATACTAGGAACCAAGTGAGGCTGTGTACTTTGCTGTTTGTAGTCCAGAGCACAGGTGGGGGGGTAAGGAATATGAGGCGTGAAAATCCCATCCTAAATACAAAATCTTTTTTTCTCCGATTTGCCCAGTGCAGTCCCAGACCACATGGTCATAGCCAGAACAGGAAGAGCAGTGCAAGAGTTAGCCTGTGGGCAACTCTTATCATGAAAACAGAATGCCTGCAACATTGCCCAACTTCCCCTGTCAGATCCACATACAAAGACAGAGCAGAACAGGAGAGTTAGCCCTGAACTGAACGAGACTAGTGTCGAATGATAACTGGTAAAATATCAGTGCATACAAAGGGAATACCATCAGAGGTCAACACACTGAACTCACCTCTATCATTTGATAATACAGTCAAAAGGAAACAACATGCACAGATATCCTTCTTCCCTTTTATCATGAACTTTCCTCTGTATTACTAGGAAGATGCTGTTGCTCCACTTAATTTTCTAGGAACAGAAATGAAAAAAGCAATAATAAAAAAAAACGTCTGTGTCTTCTCGTTACCGATTCTGAGATTAACTACAGAGCGCATTTAGAACTTCGAACTGCCATTTAGAATTAAATAGCATAGCAGTAAGTTGCATAGTACTAGATACTCTAAATGGCATGGTCCTAGGAACTATAGGTCTCATTCACCAACCGCTCTTAAGAAGAAATCTCTTCTTAAAACCCACTTATGCAGGTTTTATGGCAATTCTGACATTCACCAATGTTTTCTTATTTGGGTTTTGTTCTTAGGTAAGAATAGAATCTACACACACTCAAAAGCACAAAGGTGTGAACAATTCTGCAGTTTAAGAACACGTCATGAATCTGATGTAGATTTTTTCTTATCTTTTTAAGAAGAAACTCAAAAAATTCAGAACGATACTGGTGAACAAGACCCTATGTTCTTAGAACAGGGAAAAAAGTCTAATACAGTGCCCTGATCCCAATTAAATGTTAACAAGTGTATATAACTCTCTCAAATTCAGGTCCAACTGCTCCACCACCTGTTCCTTACCAGTATGAGTGGTGTGTGACAGCATAAACATCTACACAAAACAAACAAAAAAAAAAATTTCTAATCTTTACGCTTTAATTAGAGTTCAACTGTTTTAAAATATAACTCACTAACAGAATTGTGATATCAGGCAAATGCTAAAAGTAATATATATATAAAATATTAAATATACTAAATAACATAGAATAAAGTCAAATTTAACAAATACATTTATTTATTTTTCATCATGTTACAGCAGAGACAAACGATAACCGTGTTGTGTCACAAAGAACAATGGAACACAACAATAAAATGGTTCAGGAGATTTTTGAAACAGTCACCTATTAACTTTACAACATTAAAGCAGATACAGCCTGCAGACACCGCTCCACATTACCTTCAACAACATTAAACCGACAAAACCACCCAGTGCAAGGCTTATTGATTATCGACCACAGCCGAAAGTCTTGTTCCACTCCTCATAAAGTTCAAGGTCTTTTGTAGACACGCTGGGGCGTACAGTCTTAAGAGCTTCTTGGAAGTCACAGTAACGTATAGGACGCACCTGCTCAGGTGTGATAGTGGCGATGTCACTGAGCTGGATGCTGCGGATTGGGCCAAGTGCTGCCTCACGGCAGAGCTGTGTCATGTCGGCCCCTGAAAACCCCTCCGTGCCTAACACTATGTTCTCAAGCTCCTCAGCTCCCAACTGGCTCTTCTCCCGTGACATCAGGTTGGTCACTATCTGCAGACGAGCGGCAGCCTCTGGAAGTGGGATGTAGAGTCGTTTGGCAAGGCGACGGCGGGCAGCTTCATCAATTTCCTGTGGCCGATTTGTGGCTCCCACCACCAAGATACGATCCTCAGAGGAGGTGGCAGCTCCATCTAGCTGAACAAGGAACTCTGTCTTAATACGGCGAGATGAGTCATGCTCTCCGTCCGTGCGCTGAGAAAGTAGGGAATCAATCTCGTCTATGAAAATGACTGCTGGTTGATGGCATCGGGCAATAGCAAAGAGTGCTCTCACCATCTTCTCCCCCTCCCCCACCCACTTTGATGTGAGTGAGGAAGCACTGATGCTGAAGAATGTGGCTCCAGACTGGCAGGCTATGCACTTGCCTATGAGTGTTTTGCCTGTGCCTGGAGGCCCAAAAAGGAGGATCCCCTTAGGTGGACCTCTGAGACCAGTGAAAATATCTGGCCTCAGCATGGGCCACACTACAATCTCTTTAATGGTGGCTTTGGCAAACTCAAGCCCAGCAATATCATCCCATGCCACAGGTGGGCCATGGTCCATAATTTCACTCATGATCAGTTCAATTATCTTGGGCTCAAAGTTCTTTAGTCGCTCGTCAATGGGCTGGGCGTCTTGTGGTGGGTCATCCCTTGCACTGCCTTCCTCCTCCTGCCTTGGCATGGGTGAGACAAATTTGGAGTAGGCTCCCCGTGACCGGTTTGCCCCGAGGCATTTTTTTGTTATGGTGCCCACATTAGCTGATGGGCCCCGCTGGCCCTGTTGAGAATGCTTTTTCTGCTGGTCAACAATAAGCTGCTCTCGTGCTGTTTTAAAATTAGTGCCCGGACCCTCCTCCCTTCTCCGTCCACCACCTCCAAGTTCTTGCCCTCCTTGGTTTGGAAATGGGCCTCTGTTGCTTTCAGTTCCTGAACTGTAAAAGTTCTTCCTTTTGGAGGAATTTGTAGATGAGAAGAACACAGACTGGTGATTGTTAGCACTGGACGTGCTTGTGTTACCAAAGCTGGACTGTGGAAAAGAACTTGAGTTGATAGGGGAATTACGAGTATTATGACCAAAGAGAGGTGTGACCCCTGCTTGACCTCTTGGGATATTATGGGCAGAAGGAAGGCCAGTTTGTGCTCCCTCCCAGCTTCTAGCCTTCTCTGCAGCACTACTCACAGAGTTACTCACTGCACTTGCCAACTCAGCACTGGGAAGACACACAGTCAAGTGATGCTCTGATTTTAATCCACTGGCAGAAACACAGTCAGTGTTACTTCTGCCCTCACTCTTGCTGACCTCTCCTCCAACAATGATGTCAACATCGGCTGGATCCACAGGGAACTCTGACCTGGCTTGCATCATCCTCTGTACGCACGGCAGGCTGAACACATTTTCAGTCGTTAGGGACGACTCCCATTTGTCACTGTGGTTCCTCTGATTGCGGGCCAGGTGAAGGGCGCTGTCAGCGTAGTTGTTGAGCCCTGTGCGCTGGTCGTCTGAGTCCAGGACGGAAGCGTATCGCTCAGAGTAGGTCCTGAGCAGGCTGGCAGCTCCGGCTGGAGAGAGCTCAGCACTCGCCCATGCATACTGAATGGACAGGATGTGTGCCCGATAAGCATCGGCCGTCTGTTCAGGTGTATATGTGCCAGATGAAATGTCAAAGGACCTCCTCTGCCACTCGCCAATGTGTGCGCTGCTCATGCCTGGCGTGCTCCAGTCTGTTTAAGGAGTGGTCACAGGATCAATTAAAAATTGGGTAAGAATTGGGTTAGAAGAGTGGCCACACTACTTAGAGCTTTCTAGACAAATAGAGGCACCAAACTATGACAACTTACAAAAACATAGAATAATTACTTGTGTTATCTCTTAAATAACACAAGTCATTGCAGTTGCAGCTTTGCAATCAGACATTACTGTATTCTTTTTTTATTTATTTATTTATTTATTTATTTTTTGTAAGATTAATTTTTCAAGAGGGAAGCATTTTTTAACAGCATTGCCGCTTTAAGCTATAATTTTGCTTTGGGTAATGTTACGCCTGCTTAAATTGTGCTTTATATGTAATGTACCGCATGTAACGCTAGCTACAAAGCATTAAAATAAGCATTTTAGTTCTCTACAACCTGGTCATTCATGATCATAACACAACCACAAATTAAAAATGGAATTGAAACGGCGATTGAAACATTGTGTAAAGATGTAATTACACCGTGTAAATATGGAATTAGCTGTAAATAAATGATAAAAGTCCCTCATGAACTACGGAGTGGACATGCTAATCATGAAGCTTGTGGTGAATATCTAGCCTGCTAGCTGTATTGCTAGTTGGTTGAGTTGTAGGACGAATAGTTTCTCAAGTTTCTCCTCAGCAGTACTTGTCTCCTGTTTACATTTCCCCATGCACGGGACAAATAACAGCTTACCTCAGAAACTTATGTACGTCTTGGGGTTTATAATTTAGTGATGTGTATCATATTCCAGCCTCACACATGAAGATACAAACAACTTCCACCGAACTTCCCGCCGCCTCAGCGCCGCCTCTTCCTCCCGCTGCTCTCGGAGTCTTGCTGCCACCGTGTGGTGTAAAAGGTCACTCGGCAGAAAACTACAAAAACTACAACAACCAGAAGCCCATGCGGCGCATGTTTGCGTCTAGGATAATCCATGCCTGCGACTCATACGTCAGATCATGACAGTATGGATAGGATAAAGAGGTCCCGGGGATGTCTAGACTGGTAACTGGGAACAACCGCTTTGCTTAGCCAGCGTCTAAGGGAATCTAAATTCAAGGCTCTCGTCCAGGCGCGGAAACCGCCTCTGTGTTTCGCTGACAGACCTCAAACACGAAGACAGTCACGGGAAGCGAGTAGGATTGCTAGCTTGCTAGCTGCCCTCCACGTTAGCTTTTCATACACATTCAGAGCAAAGCCATCCTCCTCTGGAGAATTTGGAAGCGGAGCCACGGAGTCACACCCTTATATTCAGGATCCGCAGGGTCTCTGCAGTCACTCGGGGCTGTCGGAGGAGTTTTATGTTCAGTTGTTTGTTAACTAGCTAACATTCAGTCGGTTATTTAAGACGACTTTGGAGTTAGCTTGCCATAACTTACTTGAGGGAAAAAAGCAATCCTCTTCTTCCCAGAAATCATGTACTTCCAGTCTCCGACTACTTTGTTGGGGGACAGATAACGTTAGCCGGTTAGCTATCAGGCTAGTCAGGCTAGTGGGGTAAGTGGGTAAGGCCGGGGCAGGCGGGGCAGGGGACCGTTACTTTTCAGCCTCCGTGTGTTAGCTAGCTAGTTCACTACAGCAGCTGCCCATTATGAACAACGTCACGCCAATGTACACATTTGTTCTGAGAGATGACAACAGCAGCGTCTATGCTGAAGTCTCCAAAATCCTCATCGCTACTGGGAAATGGAAACGACTGAAAAGGGATAATCCTCGATTCAACTTGATGCTGGGAGAGCGGAACCGGCTGCCCTTTGGTCGACTAGGTAAACAGAAAACCAGTGGCTTCCCAGCATATTTTTGATAGTGTATATACACCGATCAGGCATAACATTATGACCACCTCCTTGTTTCTACGCTCATTGTCCATTTTATCAGCTCCACTTACTATATAGGTGCACTTTGTAGTTCTACAATTACAGACTGTAGTCCATCTGTTTCTCTGCATACTTTGTTAACCCCCTTTTACCATGTTCTGCAGTGGTCAGAACCCCCCTTGGACCCTCACAGAGTAGATACTGTTTGGGTGGTGGATCATTCTCAGCACTGCAGTAACACTGATGTAGTGTTGGTGTATTAGTGTGTGTTGCACTGGTACGAGTGGATCAGACACAGCAGTGCTGCTGGAGTTTTTAAACACTGTGTCCACTCACTGCCCACTCTATTAGACACGCCTACCTTGTCAGTCCACCTTGTAGATGTAAAGTCAGAGACGTTAGCTCATCTGCTGCTGCACAGTTTGGGTTGGTCATCCTCTAGTCCTTCGTCAGTGGTCACAGGATGCTGCCCACAGGACACTGTTGGCTGGATGTTTTTGGTTGGTGGAGTATTCTTAGTCCAGCAGTGACACTGAGGTGTTTAAAACTCCAGCAGCACTGCTGTGTCTGATCCACTCATACCAGCACAACACACACTAACACACCAACACTACATCAGTGTTACTGCAGTGCCGAGAATGATCCACCACCCAAATAGTACCTGCTGTGTGAGGGTCCAAGGGGGTCCTGACCACTGAAGGACAGGGTAAAAGGGGGCTAACAAAGTATGTAGAGAAACAGATGGACTACAGTCTGTAATTTTAGAACTACAAAGTGCACCTATATAGTAAGTGGAGCTGATGAAATGGACAATGAGCGTAAAAACAAGGAGGTGCATATATTGAACAGCGTCCTTAAAATGTGGTAACAGAACTAAAAAAAACTTTAAAAGTCCAGTCTCAACCACAATTTCGAAAGCTAGTGAAAACATATACTCAAACTGAAGAATGCAAGGACTGAGTTGTTCTTATTTGCTGTTTTCTAATTCTTTTCTTGAGTGAGAAAAATAGAGAGCACCAAATTAACCCATTATGTCAGAATGCGTGATCATGGGTAAAGTTTTATTTTTAAAAGAAAATGATTTTGTTCCCAAGAAAATGTATGCAATAAAGTTCCAAGATAAAACATAATTCCAAAACCAAAGCCAGTGAACCCACATCAACCCATGTCCACTATTTGCCAAGTGTTTCTTTTATTTTGTCCAGCTTATATAGCTGAATGTATGTTATGATGCTGCTCTGAATATTCAGCATCCTGAGCTATTCTTGGCTTGTCTTATGTTATACTTAAACTTTGTGACACATGTTGATGTATGACTGTCTGTTGATGAAACAAGTGAATAATTCATCAGCAGACCCAGTCAGCCTTCTGCAGTTTAAAAAATATATGTAATGTTAGCTTTTTCAAAGTAATTACCACTATGTCTTCCACAGGTCATGAGCCAGGACTTATGCAACTAGTGAACTATTACAGAGGGGCTGACAAGCTGTGTCGCAAAGCATCTCTAGTAAAGTATGTATTCTGCTTTTAAATTAAGGTTCTTTTGATTTTTTCCTCACCACGTATATAGATATTTTCATGTAATTCATTTAATTGTGTATTGCTTACTATTTTTTCATTGCAGTTAATAGTTGATGTAATGTCATAGCTGGGCTCAAGTTATCATTATGTTGTGCTGTTGGGTGATTTCTGTTTCTTTTTGTGTATATGTGTGTGTATAACAGCTACATTTTAGCTAGATTTTAGACCTTTCACTGAGACTGATTGATTATTTTTGCCCAATAGGTTAATAAAGACTAGTCCAGAGCTGAAAGACTCCTGTAACTGGTTCCCCGAGTCATATATTATATATCCGACCAATCTCAACACTCCTGTGGCTCCTGCCACCAATGGAATCAGCCACCTGAAGAACAACCCCAAGACAGATGAGCGTGAGGTCTTCCTCGTCTCCTATAACACCAAAAAGGAAAACGGGGAGGGAACAGTGTGGATTGCTAAATCATCTGCTGGAGCAAAAGGTGACTGGATTATGTCAATAGGCCAGTTGATAGAAAAGCTCTTTTTCAAGAGAAAAGGTTGGAGTGCCTGTCAGCTTGTCATGGTGTCACAGCTCTGCAAGGCCACAGCACTATAGTTGAGTGTTTCTGTGTGTTAACAGTTTCAAATATATAAAAATGTAAAGTCCCTTATGTGTTGGTTCATGTGTGTTTAGCTCTGTGTAACTCTGCAGTGCTGTGGCCTTGTGCAGTTTGATGTCTGGTGATGTACGTACATTGTATTTGCACGTATGTGTATGTCATTGGACAGACACCCTTTCAAAGAGTTCTAATTAGTGAGTTCAGCTAATTTAAGGTGCACCCATTACTGAGACAGACATTCATTTGTGCACACAGCTTTTATAATGGAAGAGCAATGTTACAATATCTTGTGTAAAGCCTTCCCAGAAGAGTAGAGACTGTTACTGCATTAAAGACTCCCTATTAATACCATTGATTACAGAAGAAAAGTTGGTTGAGCATGCATCTACAATTTTTGCTCAAGTAGTTCATTTTATATGAAATTGTCTGCAAATTATACAGAACCCTTGCCTAATTTAACAGCTTTTTGGTGTGGCAGTGAGGATGACCATCATAATTGTACATTTTTTTTTGTTTGCTTAGGGGCTGGAATATTAATATCTCATGATGCAACTCAGTTGCTTGAGTTCATTGATAATCAGGGACAGGTTCATGTCATTCAGAAGTACCTTGAGAGGCCACTGCTTTTGGAACCAGGTCATCGCAAATTTGATATAAGGTAAGATAAACTATAACTATAACTCTGTATACCTATTGTGGTGTGGTTTGAAACCTAATACAGTAAACTAGACCCTTGGTCTACTAATCCTTTGTTTTAAGGAGCTGGGTGCTTGTTGACCATCAGTACAACATCTACCTGTACCGCGAGGGTGTGCTGAGGACATCCTCAGAGCCATACAATAGCACTGACCTTCAGGACATGACCAGCCACCTCACCAATCACTGCATCCAGAAGGAGCACTCTCAGAACTATGGACGCTACGAGGAGGGCAACGAGATGTTCTTTGATGAGTTCAGACAGTACCTGCTGAGTGTTCACAATGTTACCATGGAGACATCCATCTTACCTCAAATCAAGCAGATAATAAGGTATGACAGGTACCAAACACAGCAGTCGCCTGCTTGATTAGGCCAGCTTCAGACATCTATCAGAGAAAGAGAACATTATATCACAGAAATGGTACAGTTGTTAGAGCTAAGCCAAATTTTAGACAATTATTGTACAGTATTTTACTTCAGTGAATTTCTGGATGTTCTCCTGTTTTAATAGGAGTTGCCTCATGTGCATTGAGCCAGCCATCAGCACCAAGCACCTGTCCTACCAGAGCTTTCAGCTCTTTGGCTTTGACTTCATGCTAGACGAGAACTTTAAAGTGTGGCTGATCGAGATCAACGGAGCACCCGCCTGTGCACAGTCAGTACTTTGGACACTAAAATGTCTCAACTCTTTTTCCTTGAACCCTGAATTATGTCTTGCTTTATGCTCCTAGGTTTGTTTACTGTTGAAAATCTAAGTTTCCCTTGCTGTGACTTACTGAAATATTTTTCATGCCCCCAGGTTTGCCAGTGTTGTGTGACCTACTTATAAGTTACTCATCTGAGAACATGCTTGTTTCTAGACTTTCCAAACAGCTTTTTTCCAGATTTTGACTGAATTATATGGATTCTTGAAACTTGAAAGTTCTTCTTCTTAATGAGAACTGCTGGTTTATTCAGACTTCTGTTCCAGTGGGCTGTTTACTGAGAATAGACATTCTCAGTAATTGTTCCTTTTGAAGTTTATAGACAAATCATAAATCTGTTTCTCTATGTGAGTTTCAAATTAACTATGCTGTTCTCATGGAGAGGGTTATTCCTACATGGGTGATTTCCACAGTTGAACTGTTTTATAGAATTGTTCATCCTGCTCTTCCTCTTGAACAGGAATGTGTGAATCATGATGAGTAATGTTCCTCAAATCTCTGAGCATTATTAACAGTTGTTTTCCTCTTTTCTTTAGGAAACTCTACCCAGAGCTTTGTCAAGGTATTGTGGATGTGGCCATTTCCACCGTATTCTCTCTAAACGCAGATGCCCTCTCCTCCTCGCCACCATTCTCCACCTCTCCGTCTCTCTCCTCCAGCTCATGCTCCTCACCAAAACTCAGAGCACCACAGCAGTTTGGCCCTTTCATTAAACTGTAAGCACAGGGTTCTGTATCCCTGTGGAGCTCCTTCCCTCCAAAGCACGTGCTGCCAGTGGTTTCCTCAAGGACGATCTTTGACCTGTCCTGATGGGCTACCTTGAATCTTGAGCTGTCTACAGCTGAGGAGGGACATAATGTGTAGATGGAGTGGTGGGTGATATAAATTTGCACTCTTTCATGTAACAAATCAAGCGAAATGCTCCTCTGTCTGTCAGTTTTGTCATTTGTGAAAACACGACCAGTGCGGTCAGCGTGAGTATTTGAAGTAAAAGATAAGTCTGCACATTTGCAACATAGCAGCGCACACAATATCTGTTTGTCGGCCCACAGTATAATGATAGGTCTAGCAGCTTATGTTCCCTAGCCTGACAGGCTACTATTGTCAGGGCCCCAGCGATATACTTAGGTTTGCTCACAAGGGAGTTGTAGTAGAAGATGAAGACTGAGGTGATAACACATGGATAGTTGTAGGGATTTGAGTGTGGGTTTTTTTCCACATAGCCAAGGTTTAACTTATTTATGCTCAGCAATTTCAGCAAGATTCCTCAGGGCTGTCCATGGCACCTTGATATGATGTAGGATGGGTTTGAATTTAGTTCCTGTGATTTTTAGTGCCTTACATATCCACACAACTGCTTCCCATTCAGCACAAAGCAGGAATTTCTGAAACATAACTCTGAGACTGCTAAGACAGAGCACTGTAAACGTACATGCTGATGATTCAGTCTTATTGTTTCAGGGATTCCTGATTTGGCTTTTGAAGAAGGCAGATTTGGCCTCTGTAACTAGTCTTACTGTTGGTAAGCCAGAGCTTATGTATGTTTATCTTATTGCTACTATAGTGTGTAACAAATTTTGTCATTTTATATTACTATCTCTTTAGGTTCAGAAAGACATTTACAGTGACAAAGCACTAACGTGTATTGCAAGTTTAGAAAAGTATGTAGTGTGTATATTGCAGTGTGCTTTAGATTTAGCTCATTATTTATAGCCATCCACACCCATTCATATTGTTTTATGTGTTTTATCACCCAAAACTGACAGTCTCTTATTAAAATAGCTGAAGTCTATTAGAGTAGGTAGCTGATTAACTGTATTTGTATTTTATAATGTTCATGATCCATCACATTTTAATTCTACCTCCATGGTAATAAACATGAGACAGGACAGTTAATTCTCCTCATGATCTGATCACTTTTAAAAACTTCCCTGTCATGCTTTTCAAACATTCATATCTCCCTGTAAATGAGTAAAACTGATTTTTTTTTTTTTCATTTGTGGAAGCAGCGCATGATGAAGTAAAAGCATTATATATATATGTATAGTACATAACTAGTAACAGCATTTTCATATCTTTTGTTAAATGCCTATTTTTATAAACTTGCATGTGATGTAAGATCTGTTGTAGCTGGAAAACCTTGATCAGTTTTGGTTTCTTTTCTCTAGATCAGTCCTCATGCTTTTGAGTGTTTATTTTCTGTGTTTATTTGCCTCCCAGGAAGATGTCACTTTTGCCGCCGATTATTTTGTTTTGTTATGACTCAGAGGTAGTGGCCTTCATGAGAGTGTATTGGACATTGAGAGCCACTGGGTCAGCATGTTGCATCTTTATTTAGCATGGGGGATTTATGGTAAGGATTCAGTTTTGTTTAGTGTACATGACAACAAGGTTCCCCACTTTGAACCTTAAAACAGGCTTAACTGTAGCATTGTTTCATTACGCTCCCCCTCTCTCTCTCTGTTCTGATCATTGTGGGATTAGATCATAAGCCACTGCTCAACATGTAGAGTAAATGAGAAGAGCTCGAAGGAATACCTTTGATGTGGTGTTGTAGTCCTGGCACGTTGCAGTGGGTATGCTAATTTGGTAGATCCTGCTAAGGTTTTTAGAAGGAAAGAATGAAGAATGGACTGAAAAGTTGAAAGAAATGTGTAGAGAATGTATAATGACCATTTACAAAGGGAGCCACACATATTTAAACATTTAGTTTCTGCAGTCATATCAGTGTTGGATCACTACAAATTATTTGGGAACTGCTCAGATGCTTTAGGCTATATCAGTATTACCACCTTTTCACCTAACAATTTATAATTTAATTCATAATTCTTTCCATGAAAGGGAAAAGGTGCCTTATAATAACTGTAACATGGAAATGTCTTGAGAAGACTATACACTGAAATAGTGAAGGATGTTCTTTGTTGTTTAATGCTCAGTTTTCTTTTATACCTGGTTATTTATTGTCTTTTTGATTGTGATGTACTTTTCCTTTCTTAGGCATAGTCCTTCAACTTGATTGTTAAAATTGCAGTTCTATAAATTGAAAAATAAAGTTGCGTATGCAGCCCCCCAACCCGAGCTAAAGTGTTACAGCGACATTTCAAATCTAACCAAAGACAAATGAAACTTTCATTTGTGTTTGAATGTTTCTAGTATGTTTTAGACTCTGTAATGTTCAGCTCTGTGGCATGATGTATGTTTACTGTTCTTGGTTGCCTGAAATGGAGAACTCTATTGAAACGTTTTACATTTTTTATTACATGTATATTGAGAAGTCATGTAAGTTTATTTCTGTTTGTGCGTGCTGTTAAACACGTTTTAGATTCTGTGCTTATTAGCAATGATAAGGTTATGCTCTGACCTCTGGAGTGGATACATAGCTCTGAAAGACCCAGTCAAAGTTATAGCCTCCTGCCTTGTGCTCAGCATGTTGGTCCACCCGTCCCCAGAAAAGGTCATCCAACCTACTACATTCTCCTTTTTCTTTTATACAGTTGGCATAAATGAAAACCTGTAAAATGTATTTGTATATTGCATCAGCACCATATCTACAATTTTCATGTCTGACACAAAAAGCATTTCCTATTTTTTGTAAGGCATTGTGCATGGTAAGTGTAGTGTCTGTTGATTATCATATCATTATCAATAAAATTAGTTTTCAAGCTCTGTTGCTTCATTTGGCACCACTAAAAAGGGCATATTTAAAGAAAATATATCTAACAGTGCATTTAACACAAAGGCCTACTTCTTACTTAAAGTGAAGCCATTTAGATGGAAACGTTTTAATAGAGAAAGAAAAGGATAGTCCACTGATTTTTCAAAGTCATTCAGAGTGGGTAATTGTGAAAAGTTGCACTGTAGAGAAACTTACCTAATCAGAATTCTTTACAGTGGTGATGTAGGAACCATGAGTCATGATATACAGACAGCTGAATGCAGAAGTTTGCATTCCTTTGAAAAATACCTTCATAATCCATCTACAAATTAGTGTTCCATGTTTATTTAAAGGTGTTTCTTTGCTGAAAACATCTTACTGTATTGGATTAAAGTAGTAAAAATTGGATCAAGGTAGTAAAGACTGAGTAAGCAATTATCCTTTATGGCACACTCAAAAGTTTGCATATGCTTAGAAATTCTCAAGTTCGGTGGTCACCAGCCTTCCTTCTGAACTACTGTCCTGCAGGGTTTAGTTCAAACCTGCATCTTACATGGTCCTTTCCCTTTACCTAAAACTAATGCATCTGATCCAGTCAATCAAAGACTTCAGAAGCTAATTAGTGGAGCAGGTGTGGAAAGATCTGACTGGAACAAAACTGCAGAAAGTTAGATCTCCAGGACCAGCTGTTTCATTTCTTCAGATATCTCTAATTAATGTGGCCAATAAGCAACACATGTTGCTTGTAACGTCTTATTTAAGGCAAACAAGCTAAAATATTAGGAAACAAGCTGACTTTCAAGCATTTTGCTCTGGGAGGAAATTTAAAGAGATATTTGTAGTTACAATGGATTTGGTACAGCGGCTTTTAGAAGCCCTAAAACAGAAAATAGTGACCTTCAGCAGATGAAAGGTATCAAAATGGGATAACATTACTGACAGTGGAGCCAGTTAGACATGCAAGAAATATGAGGAGCCAAAAAACAAGAAAAATAATAGATAGAACTACCAGAAAATTTGTCAGAGATGTTCACAAGAATCCAAAGTAAATGGCAGGAGACCTGAAAAGTGGAATGAAAGTCTCCCCACAAACAAATGACCACTGTACAGATCTGGAATGTTTGGGAGAAAAGCTCACAGGAAGCCATTTCTAGTGCAGCTCAGTTGGCACAAGAACAAACAAACTTTTGGAGAAGAATACCATTCCTAGAGTCGACCGCGATGGAGTCTCTTGTTTTTTTGTTAGTGTTTACGGAACTGGAGCGCTGCAAAAAGAGGACGGTAGAGTGGAGGCAGTGAGTGAGTCTGTTGTCCAAAATATAAAGCCCAGTCAACAGAGAAATGGTTTCAAATGGAAAAAAGTGAATATTTTGCCATAGCCTTCCGACATAGACATGGCACATTTCACATCAAACTACTTCGATTGACTTTGTCTACAACTTAATTATCAAATTATGATAAATAAATAAAATCAGAGGTGCTACCATCCTTGTCCAATTAGCTGACAGTTAGGTACAAACAGAATGTCACTGGTCTAATAGGACCTGGGACTATTAGATATATGGATTAAGCTGAATGATCAGTGGCCTGTTCAGTTGTTTAAAACTGTACCCTGCGTTCTTAGACATGTGAAAACCTAGAAATATGAATTCAAGGCATTACAGTCATTACATCATTATTATTAGGACGTAAAATGAGACAGTTTTCTCACAGTGGTTGAATGTGTAGAATGGTTCCATAATCTTTTTTTTTATTTGAAGCTTTTATCTTAGCAGGGATGAAAACCCAGAAAAACTGCGTAACCTTTAGTTTCCCATATAGTGTTAAACAGTGTGATCCAGTTTGATCTACTGATTGATATTAAAGAAAGAACAGAACAGACACAACCCTGCTAGAAAAACCAGCATAAACCAGCATATTTTGTGTTTTGGATGCTGCTATGCTGGTCAACCAGCATGACCATGCTAGGGTGGCTAGCTAAACCAAAACTAGACCAGCGTGGAATTCTTGCTGGTCTGTGCTGTTTTTTTTTACAGCAGGGAAAAGTGTTGAGCATCCACAAAATGACGAGGATGACTAAAAATACATAGTATTGTCTTGTATTTTCATCACATTTATTTATTTATTTTTTATTCTGATATCCTGACGTACCTGTACGCTGATGTATAATGATAATTGATATCAATTGTGAGAAAAGCTTAAGTGACTGAATAACTGGACAATATTTCTGAAAACTATATATCAGCTTTCTGAGAACTCGCATATTGGTTTACAACCGCCTGTCATCTCATTCTGCTAAGCCGAGTGTTGACTATGAACCAAAACAAGCGAGCCACCAGAGGGAAGCAGAGTCCGTGAAAATCACATTAAATGTTCTTCAGAAACTAAATGCTATTAGCAAACCGTGTAAACTGAACAATAATGCTCCCTGAATATTCATTGTGTTCAAATGTACCCTTACAAAAACACCTGTAGGAATTCTGCAGAAATATTCCCACAAAATTACTGTACAATTCCTGTGGAATTACTGTACAACTCCTGCAGCTCTGCTTAAAGGACACTGATGGGCCTCTGTAGAACAGTCAAACCAGATGTAGTATACTCATCGTAAATAAATAAATAATCATATCAGTATAAGGAACAAAAGAGTAGAGAAAAGGACTTTTTCAGTGGGCTATTTATTGAACAGTTTAGTAAACTGAATAGCTATTTGATGCACAAATGATGCACAAATTCTAGGCTATAGAAAACAGAATTGATAAAATAAATCAAAGTAGCTGCTTACACATACACAGGGTGTCCCAAGAAATTGACATCATTTCGTTGTCTAATAACGTAGCCAATTCTCTCTCAAATGATCTCAAATTTTAACAAAATGTGTAAAAACTAACCAAGTTTAATTTTTAATGTTTTTTTCAGGTTGAAGAATGGCGTTCACTAGAAATGAAAAGGCATTTTGTGTGTTAGAATATGCTCAAACACAGTCAAACAAGAGTGTGCAGCGTGCATTTTCGTGAAAATTCAATAAAAATGCACCAACTGGAAAGCAGATTTGGACATGGCACAAAAAATTCAAAGAGGAAGGCTGTCTGTGCAGGGCAAAGGGATCTGGACCAGTATCGGAAGATATTACATTTGTGAAGCTCTGTGAAATCGGTTATAAAATCTACATCCCTCTGAATTTCTTGTTCGAGTTTTGATAAATAAATCTTGTATCGTTCAACATGAAGCCTATTTAATTTCGTTTGCCTCGGACATGTAGTTACTCAGATATTCACATCTCAAATGATGTCCATTTTTTGGGACACCCTGTATAACACATTCCTATGCTACAGTAGTGATGTACATAGTGCGAATGTTCTCACTCTTTTCCTTCATGATTACTTGTCCTGTGATGTTTGTCTTTCTCCTTCTGTTGCTTTAATTACAATATTTATGAATAAATCATCAGCATTTATACAAAATGTTATAACAGAACTGGCAAATTTAAGCAGTTTGAGCAACCTGTACACATCCCAGTGAGATTGTGGGTAAATATTTACCTCAGCATTCAGCCTGAAAATGAGAGAAACAACAGTTGTGATGTGCAGTGTGTATAAAGTACCTTAATACACTCAGTGAGTACTTTATTAGGTTCACCTACCTTTCATCTGCACTCCACTTTCCATACCTGTGCAATCTGTAGTTGTACAATTACAGACTGTAGTCCATCTGATTCTTTGTAAAATTAGTAATCCCACCTTAACCCTGTTCATCAATGGTCAGGACCCCCACTGAGCAGGTATTAATTGGATGGTGGATCAGTCTCAGCCTGCAGTGACATTGACGGGGTGGTGCCGTGTTAGCGTGTTGCGTTGGTATGAGTGGATCAGACATACATTCCTACTTTGTTCGTCCACCTTGTACATATAAAGTCAGAGACAGTAGCTCATCTATTGCTGCACAGTTTGTATTGGTCATCTTCTGGTCCTTCATCAGTGGTCACAGGATGCTGCCCACAGGATGCTGCTGGCTGCATATGTTTGGTTGGTGGAGTATTCTTAGTCCAGCAGTGACACTGAGGTGTTTAATAAATCCAACAACACTGCTGTGTCTGATCCACTCATATCAGCGCACCATATACACAACACAACATTTTTAGACAGTCTGTTGAATACAAATAGTTCCTTCAAAGAAGTTCAAATAACCACACTCAAGATGGGATAATAACAATAAAGGTAATTGTGGACTAGTTAATTATCTTGGTATTATTGAGGGGGGTGAGGCACAACATCTGACTGACTTGATTACGTTTTTCCTCCTATGATATGATGGTATATACTCTACGGCATAGAACGCAGGACGCAGCACCCACTCTAAACTAGTCAGGCTCCTCTATCTTGTCTGAGTAGCAGGAGGGAGGACTACTTATCCACAAGTTCTGTGTCTGACTTACAGTTTGTTCTGCACAATTGAAGATGAAAAATCATAACAGTCTACATGCACTAAGGAGAAATAAAGGAAGAAGAATCCTAACAAAAACAAGAGGATTCCAGCACCTTGTATGTCCCTGGAGTTCAGTTCAGTCCAAAAATGATTGATGCAACTAAAAACCCATTTTGTTGTCTTTATTTAAGTATGTACATTTTTACTACTGCCCAACACCCAAACATCTGTACAACAGGACAGACAAGGCGGCAAGAGCCGAGTGAACATAGCAGGCGGCCTGAGAGGTGGGAGGGGGGTTTGCAGGAAATGTATGTAGGGACATATGCATTCATATTCACACATAAAGGATAGGATATCCTGTATCATGTGCTCTCAGTAAAACACAGAACTGATAGACAAAAATGTTCCATCAATACACTAAAAATAAACTGTTGGTTTATATCACAGGTCATCCAGCTGCCCCCAAGTATGAGATTTAATTTTTCATTGTGGATTAAAGGTCTTATATTCTCAATTTAAACCTAAAGTAACAATTTCATGCCTGGAAAAATGCAAGTAAATTAAGAGTAACAGTTGAAAGCTATCTCCAAAATGAAAAACAGGTACATATAAATGTTCTCATTGCATCTTTGCTTAACCCTCAAATGCTGTGAATGCAATTAAATCACGAGCAGTTGATACTCAGTCATTTGTTTAACATGCACATATACAGCAACGGCGGAAAATAGTGGCAGGATACATCACATGTGTACACAAATGCAGACAGATTAATCACAAATTTAATCACAATGACACCAAGCAAACCAGCTTTTGTCAGTAGGATGTGGTGTATATAAGGTGAAACAGAACCAACACACAGAGCAGCTACAATATTGCACTTTGTCATAATGCAGCCCAATGCAGAGAAGGTACATGCAATTAAAAAAAAGAAACCTGCATTAAATGAACTTAAACATTTCTCACAGACATTATTGAATAAAAGAAATTTGGAGTCAAACTTGGTTTTCTGACTTTGCCCACTTATTTATTCTTAGAAAACCAGGAAAAAGAAAAAAGCATCACAGAGATTTTTTAATCATAATATTTTACATACCGATCAGTACATACCCCTACATCCCTCAGCAGCAACCTGATCAAGGCACTCTCAAGGCACGCTGTTTGCAACCTGCTGTTCGTTTAAACTTTTAGGATATAATTTTCATTACAGTGCATTTTTATATAGTGTAACAGTATTTCTAACCCCATGTGGATCAATGAAGCTGAGTTGATGAATAGAGACAATTAACGATCGTCTCGACTGTCAATCTGCAAACATAAACAAATCTATCTGACAGATATTCTGAGAAGCTAGTCACACGGTCAGATGAGTTAAACAGAGCCAGTCCATCAACTCACCCAAGTCAATTTAATATAATTTTATATTAAAAAAATGTAACAGATAAAACTGAGGTAAAAAATTAACTTACTGCTGTAACAGATAAAGGCTTCTGACCATAACATAATTCTATGAGATCAATCAAGTGCAGTTTTCCTTGGTACTCCAAACTCTGCTCTTTCACTCCTGAGAAACCCTTGATCCACATTCTTCTTACTGGTACTAAAACCATTTAAGGCTTCTTAAGTCAATGACTTCTAAAACCACCACTCGTCAAAATCAAAAGCAAAACCTAACGCAGTAATGTGCATTACTAAATGTAAACAGAGACCTTCATAATATCACAATATATCAAGGAAATAAATTAGAGATAAAGTTGTTTCGGGACAAAATTCTCATGAAGCTGGACTTCTAATGTTACAGAAAAGACTACCAAATGTAAATGTTCGGGTTGTCAGTGGCATTATTTTACATAACCAAATCGGGTAGAAAACAAAACAAACCAAAAAAGGAAAAGCCATACAGACTATTTCCATACCTATAAGCACATATCCAAATCACACAGTCTCAAGTTACCAAATCCTTCAGAGACACATATATAGCTCACATGTGTGACATTTAAAAACACATACAGGAAAAATGAACAAAAAAAAGCAGAACCAGCAACATCACTGGGTCAAAAGTGCAGTGAATGTGTCAATCCCCAACCTGAGCGTGAAGAGTGTGCTGACAGGGTTCAATTTTACTTCAGGTACTCAATTTGGAAGATGGCATTTTGCCTGCAGCTGAATTCTGGCTCGCTCTGATTAGGCTGGGAGTGAGTGGAGAATGCATGATTGTTAGTTGCACATATTCGTATGTGTTACATTTGTGCACTGAATTTGGAAAGTAAAGGTAAGGGTCAGCTGTCCTGTCTAAAGAAAGGTTTTGAGGCTGGGAGAGAAGGTTGTAGAGGCTGCCCAAATTCCATCACCTGTCTGTAACCCTCTCCTTCAGGACGTCCCATGTAGACCTTCAATGCGCCAGATTAGTGTGACTGGCACTCAGGTCCCGACTCATCCTCAGACGATTATTTCGCTCCTGTTCAGGATGAAGAGGTGGAGAGAGAATGGAGACAACAGGTTCAAACAGGTGAAACCTGATCTACTGCAAAGTAACTGTGAGTAAAAGATTCCTAAAGGCAGACTCCCTTACCTATTTTGTCTTCTTCTTTTTTTTTAGCATGCTTTGCTTTTAGGGCAACAGTTAATCATTCAAGGCATGAAAACTACTCTAAAACAGTCATCAATTTATTTTAAAGGAGCCATATTTTTAGTTAGGCTAGAATGGAGAGAAGGCGTTTATAACCCAGGGTGATCACAAATTTTTTGTGTGTGAACAGTTCACTGATTTCATTAATGAGAGACTGAGGTGTACCTGCAGAGACAACACAAGCACACACTAGTCCAACTAGACTAGCCACAGCCATAGATCAAAACCTCTTTCTAAAGAGACAAATTCAGTTCTACGCATGGACTCGTGTACCACAAATGCAGTTGATCACGTAGTATTCCAGTGTTAGTTCATGTGTCTTCAAAAACACAGCATTCTCTCCAGGCATTTATTACATATAATTTGCAAATTGTCTGAATTATGACAAATTTAAAGTGCATTAGTGGTTATTTTAACACTATACAAAGTCCTGTATGAATGAGAAAAGCCTATAATAGCCTGTATTTGTTAGGATGAGATGTTATTTCTGGTCAATTTAATAATCATTTGGAAAAACACATTTTTAAAAAAACATTTGCAAATTTCAAGCTGGAGAAGGGAGAGTAAATAGACCTTATTTTAAGATGACCAAAATGCTTTGGGTAACGTCAATGGATTAGCAGCCAATCTTCTTGACCTTCATTTCCTTAAAGTGTTATTCATCCAGTGTGATTAATAGAGCACTCAAAATCAATAAGTGATGAGGAATTCAGTCATCAGCATCACATAACTTTAGGTTGTTCGGGGTTAAAGTGAACATTAGTGGACACAATTGAGCATGACCTGTTAGTCTGTGACTGTGGTGCCATTCGCATAAACATGATTAATCGATAAGTGGTCAAAGACACTGAGCACTTTGTCCGGGTGTGGGGGTTCTGGCCTGAAAGCGTGAGGAGAGCAGAACGAAGATAAATACAGGAGTGGCAGACAGATGGCCAAGAAAAGGAACTTCCTCAGCAGCTGAGGAAAACCTGTTCCATGAGGTAGAGTGAGAGAGTGAAGGTTTGGACATCTCAGAGAGGAGAAAGAGAGGACAAAAGAGAGAGAGAGATGGAGACAGAGAGATATACACTTCCTTACTTTAAAGAGTTCTCCCACAGGTTTGTCCGGATCGTTGAGAACCCCCAGTGAACTGGCCCTCTTCATGCTGCGTCCGAGAGAGCCACATGCAAGCACATGTCAGTCAGGTCAAAGGGTAAGGGTGAGGAAGGTGTGTGGAGGGTGATGGCTGTGGTGTGGGGTTTTGTGTTTGTTAACCAAGTTAATGAAAGTCACACACAGGTTAGTGCCAAACAACATGAAGCCAACCCTCCACCCACGCTAGACACAATGAAAAACATGCAGTGATACACAGTCGTATGCAACAGTTTGACCGCCCTAGTCAAATTAGGTTTTGTTGACTTGCTGAGTAAATCTAAGCACACATCCTCTACAGGGAACACACTTGAATATGACATTTTAATTTTTTAATTTCTATTTATTTAGTTTAGTGCACAATTTACTCTAGTTTAACATACTGGAAAAAATACAACAAATGTAAAATGTACCAAAACTTTAGCACAAACCACATTTATATTTTATTTGTTTTTCTAACATGTTAAATTTAGGAAATAAACAGTAAATGTGCATTAAAATGTGCAGAAGTGTATTCTCTGTGGATGATTACTTATTTTCTGTGTTACTTATTTTCACTTAGAAAATTAAAAAACATGTTATTTCACCACAAGCGCTCAAAATTTTACATACGACTGTACGTAGAAGTGATGCTAATGAGTGTTACTTTTATTTTTTGTTAGAGGATGTTTGACAATGGACACTCCGCCCAACTTCTCTGGGATCTCAAACTTCACTGAATACACTGCTTGACAGCCCCCTCTTAAAAAAAACTGTTATGCTATGCTATGCTACACAGAGTCCTTCAGTACACTGATGTTGTAGACCCTCTGGCCTAACTAGTGTAATAGAGTATCCACTGTTGCACTGTCTTTCATAATGAGATACAGACAAGATCAGAAACACACAACAGTGTCTGAATAGAAGCTGAAATGACAGACAGAGCGGGGTGGGTGGGGCGGGGGGACAGAATTCAAAAGAGACAAAAGGTGAAACAAAACGACAGCACGACAGAGAGAGGAAATATACAAGAGGAATGAAGAGATGTAACAAGATTTGACAGAGGAGAAAAAGAATGGAGGGGAAGATAAAGAGACAATTCAAGCATAAAACATGGAACTGAGAGTAAGAAAGTCTGAGTGAGAAAATGGAGTAAGCAGGCATGCTGTAGACAGCAACTTTACACTGAAAAGTTTATTCAATTAAACTTTATAACAGCAGAGAGAAATGAAAATAAAATATTCACACAAAAGAAGCCCATGCAGACAAATTCAAGACACATAATAAAAGTCACACAGCACTGAGGCAAATCATAAAAGATTTAAAGTTAAAATAAAAAATAAAACTTTAAAACACATTTATTTAAAAATAAAGAGGCAGACAATAAATTAGAACAGAACATAAAAAGGGAATTTAACAACACGTGCTGAAACAGGCCGTGCAGAAAAAACTTAAAAAGGAAACAGTTTTTTCCTAAGTAACCATACAGGACAGTATAGACAATTTGCACACATTGATACCTACATGTCATTATGTAAGTGAAGGCTGCATGGTGACCTAGCAAAAAATGCAACTGCTGTTTCCTTTTTGAGTTTAATAAATAAAAAAAAAAACATCAGTATGTTACAGGATGAAAGGCTGACAGCAGAATCAAGTTAGTGACATTTGGCAAATCATGTTACAACCTCAATGGGTGACTGAAATAACAGACACATGAGACAGGCTGCCAGGTGCCTGGTCTACAATGGAATGCATCAGCAATGCATTAGAAACACATTGTTTTCTGTATACATCAGGGTTATGCAGGCCCGTATTTGTGCAAAGTAGAGTCAAGTTAATCAAGCAAGTCAACCCCTTCATCCCTTATGAGGGTTAAGAAGAGAGAAGGAGGGGGACAGAGAGAGAAAGAAAAACAAAGATACAAACAGAAAGAGAGATTGCATATATAAGCGTTTCGAAAAGTTTTGTTTGCTTCCCTTTCGGACAGTTTTGTAATGTTCCAGTTCCGTAAAGGGTTGCCGTTTGTTCGTTGCTCCAGATAAACATACAGCTCTCACCTAATCTACAATACAAAGTCTGTGCCACTGAGCGTACATCTCCACTTCGGAAGGGATAGGTGCAGTATGTTGTTGAAAAAAAAAAACGTTCCAATGGAGTCACATGGATAATTAAGGCCCCTGAGAGGCACTTATTCTGCATTCCTCCCCCACTTTATTCATATTCATGTTCATTCCAAAGTCTTTCTGAGATTACTTTCTTCAGCATTTTCTCCCTGACCCCACAAAACTCCCACCACTCTGTATTCTCAAAACTTTATTTGATCTCCTCCATGTACCCAATTCTCTACTCTGAGAATTTACATTCACTTCCACTGTATTTTGCTCTATTACAATCTTGCAGCACTGCCCTGCTGCGGTTTACTTCCCTATCCATGTCCCTTTGATATTCCCCAGCACATATTTACATTCCCTTCTGCCTTAAAGTCAAGTATGAAATTGCAGCACATTCACCACATACAATCTCCTCTTTGAGGTTTAAGCTTGAGAGGGTCTTTTCACCCCAACGCCCCAGCCCTGTCAGTGTTTGTGTTTCAGTGTGTGAGCGCTTAGGTGTCCTACCGAAGGCCTGGTCCACAGCTGGATAGGTTGGGATGTTGGGAGGGGAATAGTCTGTGAGGGAAGTGGGAAGTGGTGATAGTTACCCAGGGGTTCTTGGGTTCATTTTCTCGTGAGCTGCCTCCTTTGAGTTTACGGACGAGTTTCTCGCTACTGCGGCGGATTGAGGCCCGGAGTTTACTGAAGGAACCGCTGCGCTTCAATGAGCCTGAGCCATCCTGCAGACACAGACACTTCAGTGTTACACACAAATACATGTTCACCTTTTTCACAAATGGGTGTGTGTAAGTGCACTCTCAAGCACACAACCACGTTCAGCCACATCCTCTCAAGCAGTTACACTGTGCTGCTTAAATCGTTAATCCTTCTTCAATCAATAGCTTAATGATGCAGTGCTAATGATACAATGCTACTGTTATTAATTTGAATAAAATGAGATCATTTGGTTATATTCAGAATAGTGGTTGCATGTTTCACTCAGATCACACCAGTCAGGAAGCATGAATTAGATCTGTTTACATGCATAGTGCAGATATGCAGCCTTATTTGCATTTCAGTTCTCAGGTTGCAATTAGAACTTGAACTAGACAGCAGATGTTCCATTTCACAATAACAGGGCTTTATTTTATACTGCGCTGGAGCAATAATGTGATCACTGCGAACCAAAAAAATTATATATACTTGAGTGTTATACGTCAGTTTCATCAGTTTCATATTTCGTCTTGCTTTTTGTTGCCATACTTAAGAGATCTGGCAATTTTTTTGAGAATATTCTGTTTTTTGGCATTCAGTACCACTGTTCCTGTTTGGATTACCCCTCTTGGCTCTGCTGCAGTCTCCTCTGCTGTGAGCCCTGAGCCCAGCTCCTCATCCTGATAGCTCAGCGAGGCGTGGAGGTGCAGAGGAAAAGACCAAAGACGTGCAGGGAAGGAAAGACAAGGTCGAGGGAGATGGAAGACCGATATGAAATGATAATCTCGACCACCACCTCCAAAGTAACCAGAAATTACAAACATATATGCACAATCTACATGTAAAGCCTCTCATATAGCAAAAAGTGGTGAAATGGAGCTCAAGCACACACACATGCACTCACAGACAAGGAAATAAGAGAGGGAATGAGGAAATAGGCAGAGGCTATGGTAAGCACAGAGTAAGTTTTATTAGATGTTAAGAAAGACACAAGATGCAGCAACACCAGATAGCAGATTAGTAAAAGAAAGAAAAGAGGAGCCTTAGACTCCACAATCATGCCCTTATTCATTCCATCTCATTCTCTTTCTACTCATTGCCCATTATAATTCTTTTCCTGCTTTTGCTATGTGATCTACACAGTGGCCTCACATTAATGATCAGTATGACATAAAATGAAGAAAGGAGGAGTGGAGCATAATAACATTATTACACACCAAGTTTAGACAGCAGCTCAAAAGTACAATCATGCTACTGTACAGAAAGTTGTGGCAAAACACAGTTACAGCGAGTCACTTAAGAGATAGGAGCGTGCAGAGACATGACTCAAATTGCTCCTGATAGAAACTGAGCTTTACTGCATGGCTGACACACTGAGTAAACACAAACATCTGTACATGGTGTCACAGATCTCACTCAAATACTCCAGTGGGAGAAAAACTACATATTTCTGACCAATATGATACCAATTTAAAATTCTGATAACCAGTTATATTGGCTGATACATTTTACATTTACATGTAATTCAACAGTTTTAGTTAAACTTAGTTATGCTTTACTCATTTGTCAACTGTGAATTGTGAATTGTGATTATGTCATGGTCATGTTTCTTTAACTCTTACAGCAGAAATTATCCCTGTTACATTGATATGAATAGCACTGGGGGCAGGGCAACCTGGAAATCTTTGTAGTTTTGCTTTCTGTTAACTACTTCATTTTTATTTTTTATCAGTTCTCTTCATTTCCAATTTTTGTGGGTGTTATAATGTGCTACTGAATGTATTTTACATGCTTTTGTTATTGTAACTATGAAGATGTATTGTGCCCATATCTACCAGTTCAGCCTGTAATGCTGTTAAAAAGCTCAAGAGCAAATTCCTTATATTGGACTATCTAGTAGCACAGCTGTCCAAGGTTTCACCTTATTGCCCAAAGATCACAATTCCAGAGATGGTGCATGCAAAAAAAAACAAAAAACAACAAAAAAAAAAAAGCTAAACCACAGGCACATTATTGGTAAGTTTCCCCCCCCAGATACCAATACAACCATGGGTCATCAATATCGGCCTACATTACCAGCCAAGTAATATACTGATCGGGCTCTAGTGCCTAATTCCTGCCACTGCCACAAACCCTTAGAGCTGAAAACCTATTATGGTGGCAGGCAAACACAGTCAGAATGCGGGAGAGGGAGAAAAAATGATACAGAAAGTTACAAAAGGATGTATGAGTGAGACCTGTGGAACCAGAGCACTACACTGAAGGTGCCTTCGACACAGCTGTACAATTCAGTTAGTGACAGAGAAGTGAATGTGACAGGTTGGACATCAGATTAACAGACAGACACACAGATAGACAGATAAGAAAAGATTCCTCCAGTGACAGGATTAAAGATATAAATACAATAATTATACAGTTATACAGTGCTGTGGGACACTTGGGTCAACTCCGGCAAACAGGAAAAGCCAGGACTGGCCCGCATAAGCCTTGCGTTAGCCCATTTGAGCCTGCTTTGGCCTGCTTGTGCCCAAAGGAGGAGGAGCAGGAGGAGGAAGAAAGGAACCAGTCGGAGAGAGCAGACGGAAAACGGCAAAGCTGGAGAGGGAGGCGAGGCGAGGCGAGCATCCATCATGCAGAAGATAGGTTCTACAACCACAACAAGGCATCTGGAGTTACACCTGCCAGCCACACAAGATAGAGGGTGGGAGAGAAAGAGAATAAAAGAGTAGAGATAGACACGAGAGTGTGAGAGAGAGAAAGAGGTTGCAGAGCAGAAGAAACAAAAAAGATGTCACATTAGTAGGGAGAGAGATGGACAACGAGTGGACAAAAACACAGAAAACACGAGGGAAGAGGAAGAGTGACCCAAAGTCAGATCAAAATTAGCACCAGGCCCAACAGTTTACCCAGCTGTGGAAGTAAACTGTAGACAACAGATGTGCAGCATCACTGCCATACAGAGCTCTATCTACTCACAAGGGTCAGCCTTAAAAAGAACATCAAACTGTAACTAAACTGAGAACAAAGAAAATGCTCATAAAGAACTTGTTTATGTGAATTATGTGATCCACCAAGCCAACTTAAAAGAATGCTATCAGCAAAATAAACAACAAGGAAGGAACCAGCCAGCTAACAGAGCAATACACAGCATCAAGCCTAATCTTCATTGCATCACACAGTAAACATGACAACTGAAGGTGTTCTTTTTTATGTTTTGGTAATTGAATGAATGACTTTTCAATTGAAAAGAACTTTTTAAATGATCAATAATAATCTTCTGTAGGAATTATAGTTTTTGCAAATAAAATCATGTTATTTAAAAAAAAAAAATGTTGTACCAATATACAACATTCTTTCTTGCACACAAAACCATCATTCAAAACTACAAATAACACTTCAAACTATGCTAAAACATAAAAGTCTTGAAATTCATTTCCTAAACAAAACTAAGGATACTAGTATGCCATGACGAATTGACTGTTATGTACTTCTAGCCACAAATACTACATATACATTAATACTAAACAAGTGAGATTAGTAAGAAAAATAATTAGAAATAAAAAATTCTAAATTCTAAAAAACTACAAAAACTAAATGATAACTGTACTGGTCCCTCAAGTACATAGGTAACCACATAAGTAACACTTCCCTTGCAATACACTATAACCATCTGTTGCACAAAGTTGCCTCTAGGCAACATACATATTTAAGGAACTTCTGAAAGTATGAAAAAAAATCTTTTTCTCCAAGAGATGGATGAGAAATTGCTTTTCTAGGGGAACTATCTGGAGAAGAAATGTGTGTCATCCACAAGCTGCACCATGCCAAAATGAGATTTAAAATGACCATCACCAGGAGATAGTGTGACCAAAATCTTTCTTGGTTTATTCAAATTTTTCCCTTCATCAACTCTTTCATTGTGATTAAATATGTATCACGTCCTTGTAAAGTGGGGAAAATGGATTTGTTACCCTGAGGCAACACTGCGCAACAGAAGGTTGAACAAATTCTTTGAAAGGGCCTCACTAGGTGATAAAAGTCACTCTGCAGCTACATCTCAGTTTCTAGCCTGACCAGACAGCAGCACACATGGAGCCACCAAGGTCAGTCAGAAAAACACCTGTTAACAAATCAGAGGGATACAGAAAAGCAGAGCAGCACAAACAAAACAGAGACTGACTACTATGGGAAGTGGTAAGATAATAGATGAAGGGTAAAAATAGAAAGAGTATTTCCATACACATTTTTAGTTTCAGGCAGAATACCCAAACACATGCACACATACACACACAGAAGATCAGAGCATGCACAAACAGCACAGATGCAAACCACACACCAGAGGAGTACAGAGCACACAGCCCACGCCAACACGTTATGTGTGACATGTACATGAATGTGTGTGAGTCCCTGTTGAGTATAAGCTGTTGAGAGTTTGTGTAAGCCCAGTGTGCATGTATGTGACATACATGCTTGTACATGTCACATTGTCTGAAACATATAATGTATTCATTTACTCTCTTAGGTCTTGTAGTACATAATATAGCACTAAGCCTGTGCTTATTAATGTGAGTGACAAACAAGGAAGGAAAGAGATAGGGTTGCTTATAAGAGAGCAGGAGTGAGAGAGAGAGAGAGAGAGAGACAGAGAGCAAGCAAGAGAATGAGGGTGTATGAGGACACAGTCTAACCAGCCTGATGGATGTGACTAAAGTCTCCCCCCAGTCTGCGCTGAGAGCAGGCTCTTGCGGAGGGCAATGCTGATTGGTTGTCTCGCTGCTAGGGCTACTGTTGCTACGGGAGCAGGAGAGTTTGATCCAGAATTGCAGAGAGACTACAGCAGAGGTGTGAGGGTCAAAACAGCAACTAAAACTCAGCTCTACAGGAAAACATGATCAGATTCTTTCAAGAAAAGGGTTAGTCGACAGTGTGGCATTTTACTGTTTCAGGGTAAGTGCAATGTCATGTGCAGTTGTGACCAGTTGACTGCTGCACATTGACACGGCCCACATAATTTGTCTTGCTTAGCAGCTTTCTTCTTGAGTGATGTTAGATCACAGCTTTTGATCACACACATAAACAAAGCATTTGTTTTTTTCCCCCAAACATATTTACTCTACATTTCTATTAAATAAGCACATATTTTCCATATAGTACTGTGCAAGTCCTTGGAAGACAGAAAAATGAATAAAAACAATTTATCTTGGCAGTAACAGTGCTTGACTGTCAACTGTTAATTGCGAAAAAAAGGGTCAGTTCTCAATGAACTTAACACTTCAACTTAAACTCAGCAAACAGAGGAATATAGGGTGCAAAGTCAAACATTAGAATAAACACAACTAAACATTAATGTAGTTATTAATGTCTTGGTTAGAGGAATACAGTTAAAAGAACTCAGTTTTGGTTCCAGCCTTTTGGTGAACTCCAGTCGTTCCATGGATTTGTTAAATTCCATCAGCAGCACCTAATTTAATTTAATGAAGGATTGTTTAGATAAAATAGGTATTGGGTAAGAACTAAAAATACTGGACTTCCTTGAGGAGAGATTTGGAAACTGTTAAGCTTAGCCAATCGATCCTTCAGTCTCTGTGTATCAGTGAACAGCTGATATTTATCTAAGTTTTAGCTGATCCTGAGAGCTGGTCAGTGATGAAAAACACATGAGCCATATTTTGCCTGAGGTACCAGAATGTAACTGCTGCACCATTTAAGGTGAAATGGGAAATTTCATACTAGAACTGGCAAATAGGAAGCCAACTACAGCATATGTTTCACTAATGAAAAACATTTTTCCTGAAGTATATTATTACATATTTTATCATATAGTATATTATTACATACTAGCTAATGTAAGTTACATTACTTGCTGTGTTGCTGTTCGCTCTAATGTTTTATCATAGTATTTGTCTGTACAACATTTGTGAAGTGTTTTATGGCCAAAAACAGCTAAAAAAGTGTTCGCCTTGACAATGTGCGTCCACGAATTCGGGGGCAGAGCTTCTAAAGGAGCACTGAAGGGAGGGAGGGGTGTATTTATTATTTGTTCTCCAGAATTGCTTACTGTGCCTTTAAATGTGGCATCCAGCCCCATCCTTTAGTATCAGTATCAGCTATCGGCTGACGGCGATCAGTATCAGCCCCATAAACACTGATCGGTTAAGCTAACACGCTGCCACGTAAAATCATAATGTATAATTTGTATGTTTATGCTTACCAACCAGATAAATAGCTTTACTTATCAATTTTTCACATGCCAAAGATTTTTGCACAGTACTGTAAATTATGAGCAAATATTTCCTTAAGCAAGACTGAATATGAGATGCAAATACGTGATGACAGAAGAATCATTAAGAGGAGAAATCACTATGGTTAAGTTCAGGTTAAGTCAAGACTAGCAGGGTTACTGGACAGATCATAATAGAGCACTATAACAAATCAGACACTCAATCAGCATTAACATCATATTATATCCAGGACCAACTCCAGTAGCATATGCCTCATTTTTAGCTTGTCCAATACTGTCAAAGGTTAATGAGTAAGGAATTTGTCAGCAGCCCTGTGGAAGACATTTAACATATGACCAGTTTAATCTGTTCCAACTACTCCAGCAAATCTGTCCTATGGTGTAGACTTCTGCATTATGTATAACTTCCAGTCACTACAACTAATACCACTAAAATGAACTGATGAGTCACACAAGGGTATTTACTCATTCACTAGGTCAAATCTAATGATGTATGTTCTAGATATGAATAATGCAACAGTACTGTCGCATGTCTAAAATGTGAGCACTGAAATTGTTCTCACTGGACAAGGCAGCAGCATGAGACAGCATGAGAAAAATCAATATTCTCTATGTAGATGAGTGAATTCATTAGCTGAATCCCATTTTGTAAATTTGCAAGAGATTTAGACACTTATATAAGCTTATTTAAGTGCTTCTACAGAATGAACTGTAGTCCTATTAGAAAGTAAACCACAATTAATTTGGCATGTGTGATTAAACAGAAAACGCTGCCAACTAATCTATGTGACAACTTACTGACAAACCATGAAGAACAGGTTTCCCAGCCTAAACAAAGCAAAGTACTCTCTGTGATTTCTTTCAAGTACACATTTGTGGGTTTCACCTTCTTGATCCCTCATATCTTACTCTCAATTTAAACCTGATTCCTTATTGTGCACCTTCTTCCTTGAATGACATGTTTGTGCAAGTGTATGTGTGGGTGGGCAGTGTGTGCTGTACTTACCCCATTCCACTCAACGCTCATACTCACTTCCTCTCCTCCATCAGGGCCGCTCTCGTACTTCACCGTGTCAGAGGTCAGGCTCTCTCTGCTGCGCTGTTTCTCCCGAGCCTCTGGATCCCCCAGCACCTCTGCCACACGCTGCTTATGGGCTGTGTCCAGACCCTGCAAAAGGTGTGCATGTGCATTTGAGTGAAATGAATTCTCTAATAAGAGAAGGTGATTAAACACAAGAATATGGAATAATTAAGCCAATGTGGTTGTGAAATATTTAATGAAATTTTCTAAAACATAGGAACCAGGGGCCAAAAGTACATGGACAACCCTTCTAATTACTGTGTTTGGCTATTTCAGTCACACTCATTGCTAACAGGTGCATATAATCAAGGACACAGTCATGCATCTTCTTCACAGACAAACACTGGTGGCAGAATGGGTCGTACTGAACATCTCAGTGACTTTTCAAATTGAAACTGTCACGGGATGCCTTACAACAAATCGAATTCAAATCATCAAATTCTTCCATGCTAAAGTTGCCCCAGTCAACTGTTAGTGCTGCTCTTGTGAAGTGGAAACAACATCTAGGAGCAGCAAGAGTTTAGGCAACAAGACATTTGCCTTTGATTTCGGACACAGCTAATGTCATCATCAGGAACTTCATGGATTGGGTTCTCATGGTGACCAGCTTCACACGAGCCTAGGAACACCATGTGCAATGCTAAGCGTCGACTGGAATGGTGTAAAGCACACCTCTGGAGTGGTGAATCACACTTCACCATCTGGCAGTCAAAAGGACAAACTGGGTCTGGTCGATGGCAGGAGAACGCTACCCACTCGAATGCATGGTGCCAACTGTAAAGTTTGGTGGTAGAGGAATAATGATCCCAGACACTTTTTCACGTTTTGGGCCCCTTAGTTCCAGTGAAGAATGGCAGATGTTATAGCAGTAAAGATGAGACCAGCTCCGATATTAATGTTCAAAGTTTTAGTGGACAATGGGTTTTTGAGAATATGGATGTGATGTTCAGGTGTTCACATACTTTTTGCCATATAGCGTATGTCAAGACTATCCAATGGTAAAATTAAATAAAATATCCAGCTCAGTTAAAATTTCTGCGTTATAAAATGCCAAATGTCACGTCAAATCAGTAAGAAACGGCTTTCATTTCACAGTCAACGTGCCGCCCTTGCAAACCTGTTTTCGGGAGCGCATAGCAGCCTCTTCCAGAGTTTCAGCAGCCTCGAATTTGCCTTGCCGCCTGTAGAGAGCACCCAGGTTCTTCAGCGTGGTTGTCACTGTGGGGCTGTGAGGGAGAGAAAAAAACTCCTGTTGCTAAACATTTCAAGATTTTTACTTATTTATTTATTTTTTTTTCATTTATTATTCACATATGGTAAATCTGTCAGATGGCATAAAAGCCTGACTTTCTTTTATTGGGAACATTTTAAATGATTGCCATGCTCACAGCATCTTTTGCCACACATAGGACTGGCTAACGTGGCTATGGATTTTGATGTAACATATTTACATTAATAAATGACATGTATTCAAGCCAATGTACCATGTGTCTTTATTATTAAGAACAGAAACCTTAACTCTAAGTATAACAAAGAAAATAATTCTGACCTGTCCACTTTGCAAGCCTTGTACCAGCCACCATACTCTCCAAATGGAGATCCGTCCTTCTGCTTGCCCTGAAACACAATGAACAATTATTTACAGCCATGCTCACCCAGCCACAGAGATTCAGGGGAACCAATGCATATGGACAAAGTTTCAGATTTATCTCTATAAGACCTACAAATTAAGAAAGAAATACAAAATACAACTTAGGATATGTTTAGCAAGTACTATCAACTTTACCTTCAAGGGATTTGCAGAAGTTTCAATAAAATGCTTAGATTTTATAAACTACCCTAAGGTACAAACAGACACATCATGTACTTCTGACATCTGAGATTTAGGACTTAAGCTCTCTTATCCATTAAACCTCTCAGAAATAAAATACAAGGCTTCTCTCTTCTGCTTGTACTTTTGTCAGTGAATACCTCCCCTCATCACTCATGAAAAATGGAGTTGTATCTGTAGCTCTGGTTAATCAGCCTTTTATATAGCCAACAGCTAGTACAAGAATCCATCCTTTCCAGAATGTTCACCACAAATATTTGTCAATTTTTCATTTATGTCCACATGACCTGTGAAGTTTTACTTTTTTCTTACCTTGCTCTGTTCCTCTCTCTCCTCTGCATGCATCCAGATGGGCTTGTTCTCATCTGCACAGTCAAACACAGGAAATGAGAAAAACACACATTCCAGACCACACTCCCTCCTCTTCTCCTCCACACCCCCCCCTCGTTTTCAAACACCTAGACGGTCTTGCTCTAAAGGCCAGGGCTGAGTGAGTGATGACGTTGGTAGAATCAGTGACTCCACTAGAATAAAAAGCCTGACCTTTTAGTTTAGACATGAGCGGTTTGCTTAAACTCTAAACATTAATCATTCCCATGCCTCTGTCTCTCTGTGTGTTATGGTTTGCACTATGATTTTTTCCACATGGATCATGGTGTACTGCAGGACGACCAGTCTTGCGAATTTACAACTGCTGCAACCAATAAGCATATTTTAAGAAAGGGTACAGCACATTATAAAGGTTACAGATAAGCACTGCAGAGTAACAGGACATGGCAAAGCAGATCCACTCCCACTAACAGTATGCGTCAATATATAGAATTTTTAAGTACCGAAACCTCTGGCACCAGAAAACTGGCAGTGTGCTTTTTCCACTGGCCAGTGGTCCAGCATCACATTTTAGTGTTACGTTTTTGGTACCTGTAAAAATTTGTACCAGCTGGACCTAATAGTACTTTAGGGTGTACTCTGCCTTTGATAACGCTAGCAACTAAAGCCAACAACAATTTAGCTAGTTTTTAGTCTTTCAGGTAAATATGAAGTCACCAAGCATTATTACATGACCAATAACCACACTAAAGCTATGATATTATGTATATTATTGCTACTTTAAATATCATTACTTTGGATTTGATTGCTCAAAGTTCAGAAGGTAAGCTAGTGAGGAATCTAACACTAAAGGTATTAGCATTTATGGTAGCTTCCAGACATTTGATACAGAACACAACTTTTTTCTCATATTTTCACACGACATAAATAAAAGCTTTGTTTGATTCAACACATGGTTCTGTGTAATTGTACACATTTTTGTGGGTGTGTGAGCACAAAAAAGCACACTATTACTTCACATCAGCACAAGCAGTGTTAAGCTAAAATATCTAGCAAGTAGGACAGCAAAGTAGCCAAATTAGACTTGGATGTATAAAATGATCACAATGACAATTAATTCATTAATTGTGTTTTTTATTGGTTACAGCGGTCTCTCAAAGAGGTGGAAAAGAACTACAGGACTGAAGAACTATAACTGTAGTTCTAATTTTCTAGCCTCCGATTCTCATACCAGATGACAGTACCATGATGTAAGGGTGATGGCTGCAGATTTTCTGATTGTTTCAAGTCAAGTGTCACAATGTAGATCTCAATGGACAGTGTCTCAATGGAGAGTCCTAAACACTCGATTTTCTGCACACATCAACCTGAATCAGTACAGCCCCCTTTAAAAACAGCCCACAGCTCAGATTCTCTCCAACCAGCAAGGCATCTCTCTACTTTATAAGCAGCGTTACTAGTGTTGCACCACTCAGGAGCCTCCCTTATAGGAGAACGCTTAATCCAGTTTAGTAATGCTCTGAATCCAGGCAATTGTACAATCACCAGGAGGATGATTTAAACTAACAGCAGCACTGTTAAAGGAAAGGATTAGACAGAATCCAATATACCTACCGTCCACAGAACCAAACTCTCTCTCATGAGCTCGTGTGAGGATCTCCTTATACAGAGTCTCTGCTAGCTTAAACTTCCCCTGCTTCAAATAACATGAGGCCTGATAAAGAGAGAGAAAAAGAGAAAAAGAGAATGATTTCCTGTGAATGGTGAGAGGGATATTACATAAAAAGATTAAAAAAGCAAAACGGATAATGGTTATGGACAGTTGTCCAAGATGTGATGATAATTAACATTTCCCAGGAGACAAGCTTAAACATTTCTTCTGAAAGCAATTACACTCTGACAGACAGTCCAGCTGCTGCAGGGACAAACTGAGTCCTGTTAGTCTAAAAGCATACAACAACTGTGCTGAAAACATAACACTGTGTGTAAATGGGTCTGCTCTATGCGTGCTTTGCTGTGAAGTGATGGGTTAGATGACGCTGGGGCTGGCTACACTAGTGTTTTACTCTCCCTTCTTAATGAAGTATAATGATGCATGTGACTGTGTGTACACTTACGGCCTAACAGTCGAACATCGGCAGACTATGTATCATGGACAGCTGTCTCAATGAGCTACAATAATTTATACAAAGAGCAAAAAACAGGAGGCACGTACCAGATTGTTTTTGGTTTTGGCCACATTAGGGTCATCAGGACCCAGTTTGGTCTGGTAGATTTCAAGGGCTCTCTGGTAGTAATACTCCACCTCCTCATACTTGCCCTGGTTCTGACACAGCAAGGCCAGGTTATTGAGCTGTTTTGCCACATCAGGGTGGTCCTTCCCCAGCACCTGAAACACACACACAAGCAGTTAATCAGCTGCTTAAAAAATAATCCATCTTAAGGCAAATTGTAGGACACACATACATGGAGAAAAGCACAACAGCATCAGCAGAGTGGGAGCCACAGGTTACGCAACTGGTTAGATGACTTTTAATGTGACAATCTAATCACATAAAATAATCTTTAAAAATCAAATTTGACTGTCTTTTCAGTGTGCAAGTACCACACTCCTCCTTGCTCCAGCATCATTTACCATTCCTATAGAGAACAAGGACACACAGTGTGACAGATGCTCTATCAAACTAAGATAGTAACTGTCAGACAGTGACTGCAGTGATTTTCAAATGATGATCTAATGTTACATGTCATTTATAAATCCTTACAAAATACCTATTATTATTTTATGTGTACAAAGGCACTGTTATCTAAGTTATAGTAATGTTTGTAGGATTGTACAATGTTTTTGCAATGGTTTAACAGAGTACATGTTAGCCAGGTAGCAAGCTAGAAGTTGTACTGCTAGTGAACAGTTTTTGTATGACTTAGCAGATAATTACAAGAGCTCTGCCATGTTTAAATGCAAATTAATTCAATCCAGTTGTTGAGATGTACACAAAATAACAAAGTGGTGTGATGTAAAATGGTGTAGAGAAGCATATTGATTGTAGAGAAACTTACTGATTTTCTTTACAATGGTGGTGATAAAATGAGGGGTCGCAATGTCTGTTTTAGACCAAAACCTTATCGCAAAACTACTGTTAAATATTGTCTCAGGCACCAGGCACCACATTCACAACCACTTCAACTTAACACTTAACACATCTGGTTCACATGACCACTGTTGTGAACTACTGTGAGTGCGTTTACAAGCACTCAATAATCCGATCATAATCGGATTTCTGCGGAGTTTCCCCATTATCTAATTACCCAAGTGCATGTAAACTCATTGATGAGATTACTGACAAAATCACATTTTCTGCAGTTATCGGATTATTAAGTGCATGTAAACGCAATCTGTGATTCAGTAAGTTTCTCTAGAACGGAGCAATTCACATTAAAACACTTAATTATTGAATTATGCAGCACTGTGAAAAAATTGCAGAATTCCCCTATCAGTTTACTATTTCACCTCCCATTGAACATAAACTATTTTAGATATATTGTACAGATCTATGGCTGTCAGAATACAGAAGTCATGCATTAAAAAAATTATGGTCAAAAAGAGAACCACTGTGCTTGAGTCAGTAAAGGAGGATCAAAACACTGAAAACCGGGTTACAGTTAAGTTTCCCTAGTCTCTAAAAACACAAAAACAGACATGTCACCTAGGTTAGGCAACACATTCTGAAAGACGCTCTCATTTCCCAGTGTTCTTCTCTTCCCCACATTTTTTCTTTTTCAAGAAAGAGAGACAGTGACATCATTAAAACAGTTATTTCTCCCTCGAACAGTCTCAAGACACATCATTATCAGGACCAACCCTCCTTGCACTGCTTTGCACTTGCTATGTGCTCCTCTCTCATCTCCCTCTGAAGCTGCTTCTAGGTAATATGCACAGAATGAGCTAATCAGCAAGTCCTGCTTTAGTCAAACACACCAGTAAGATGGAGAGAAATCAACGATCTATGCTGCTCTGCATATTAGACAATATATCTCAAGCTTTTTAGACTAAATCGCTTATATGCATTTTTAAAAAATATCTCAGTTGTCCAATTCCAATTCTTTCCTTTCTCATCCAGAGGGTTAGTGGGTGGCACACTAATTTTAATGAAAGAGTGCCCTCTCTTACTCCTTCCCTTCCTCTCTCAACCCAGACAGACGCTGTTATTGATCATGTCTGACTGTGTGTGTGGAGAGAGGGCACACTGAATGTCTAACCACACCGTGCTGTGCTGTACAGGCCACACAGTGAATATCTAACAGAAAAAAGCTGAACCCTGGGGCTATCCTCCTCACACTCTCCTTCCACTGAAATATTTTGCTCTCTCTCCCTCTCACGCCATCTCTTTCTATATAGCACAGATTATTAACATGGACAGAATGATCAAAGCACTGAGAAGCTAAAATATGCCATAGCGTCTCGTCTCAATACGCTTAATTACGCTAGGGAGTTTCACTCTCTCTCCCGTGCCCCTGCTCTGATAAGCAATTACTGAAGTTCAAACCCCTGCTGACTCCCACTCTCCTTGTGATAAAGGGAGCGCATTGAGCTTGAACACAGAGGGTCTCTATTTCACTCTCCCTCTGCTGTCCTCTGTAGCACTCCAGCACTAAAGGGAGTTGTACTGAAAGTATTGATCGGTCACAGTAAGGGGTCGAGTTTGTTTGTGTGAGTGACTGGGTAACCAGGGCACCTACATCAGGGCTCCAGGGCCTAACTGCACTCAATATCAGTTAGGGCTTTCAAGATTACTTGATTAAAGTCGATTACTCTATTAAAAATGTGTTAAAAGCAAATTTCTTTTGTATTAGTTAATTCATTAATACAATAAATTAATTAAATTATGTTTCCATAGGTTTTCCAGTTTATCTTTTTTCCATAAAGTACTTTCACATTTCTGGAAAACTTTGCAAGGATCTTTTTAAATTTTCTGGCCTTTATTGATTACTCAATTTATTATCAGTAGATCACTCAATTACTAACAATCTACAGCAATGTAAATATGGGTTACAGACATGTTTGTGCTGGGTCACTTCATGTGTGTACTTTATCAGTACATGTGCTTGAGCATGAACGCGTAGTGAATGCCGTCTTTCACAACTCCACTATGTTGCTTAAAATTTTATGTGTTGCAGATGCCATTAATCAGCAGGTTTTTTCAAGCGCGGTGCTTTGAGCTGAAACAGTGCCTGAAACTCCCACACTGCTTTTTGACCGTACCTTCAGAACCACAGGACTACTGTAGAGCTTCAATTGCTTTGTGAGCTGAAGACTATTAAGTAGAACACACTGTCTGTGTTTTTAAGTTGTACTGGCAAAAAGAAAAATTATAACCTCCCTGTCGCTTCCCTTCGCCTCTCACATGTTCACAGAGTATTTAATGAAAAAGTGCATGGCTCCTCATGTAACGGTTTCAGTGTGTTGAATCAAATTCCTTTTTTAAGCTGTCTGAAAGTACAAATATGCTTATGCAGGGCATGTCTCTGTCAGTATATGTAATATATATTCCCACATTACGCATCTAACTGATCAAAAGATGTGAAACAATGAAGATCATATGGTTGACGGCAAATACGAAGTAAAGGGAGAAGGGAGGAAGACCTGATGGCACAGATATCCCACCAACAAGGTAAATGCAACACCGCTTGTACGTTTTTTATTTGTAAAACAAAACATCCACACAAAATATATCATCGCTGTCTGAGTAAAACCTCATATATTTAAAATAGTAACTTCACAGATGAAGAAAACAATGTTCTTTTTTAAATTTTAATGTACATTAACATAATAGGATTTAATGACGAGCAGTTCTGGAGCATTTCTGGTGGTTCCATTCCTCATGAATTTTTGACACAATATAAAGAGATTTGGCATTTTCAAATTCTGTAAAAATATCAAAACAAAAATGGATACATAAGGTTTTATTCTGACAACAGCGATACACATACAGGGAGGGTTCAGGGAAAAATGGTATAGTATTTCTGGTAATATTAGACATTAGACGTCCTGAATGACAAAGCCATTATGTTATTCTTTTTAATTAGCAAAATGTTCTTTTGCTCATTTAGGAAGCATCAGCTAACTAGGCATGTGCTGGTAGTACAAAAAGATCACCATAAGTACCTAACCGTTCCTCACAGTTTACAATATTATCATGCCATTTAATTAAAAGAAAATAATATAATCTACATAAAATTGTCCCAAATTACCTGAATCTGCTCTATTTACATGGCCAAATCCCTCTCTTTTTTAGATATGCACTACATACTGCTAATGAGGGAGTAACCAGTAGAAAAGCACTCTACTTCAGCCATGCTGAGCTATTTCCTAAACTCAGTGTAATTTTCTGCTTGACTCTCAGTTTGGTATCAGTTTTCTCATTTGGGTATGTGGGTCAAAACTTCAGGAACTCCTGATCTACAGTGACAGCCCTGATATTAGTTTTAGGAAATGTCAACTTTAAAGAAAGCCATTACACAAAAGCCTAACTTTAAAAAGCAGAGACACATAAAGGGAAGCTTGGTAAAAAGCCTCATGCCTGCAGATGTTGACAGTTGGTCACTCATTGGATTTTCTTCTTTGTGCAAGCCTTTGCCCTCTCAATGAGAGCTCCCATCATACACAGAGCTTAGGTAAGACTGAAATTAAAAAAGAATCTATGCAGACTTACAGAGAACACCTTACTAAAGCACTCTCAGCAGAGCCCACAATGACGAAAGAGGGGGGCCTGGAGAAAGGGTGTTTTAATGCAGCAGAGAGCAGAGACCATTTTAAGGATTCACAGACAAGGATTTTAGAGCTAGAAAAGTTGGTGCATGCAGGAAAAGATCAGTCGAGAAGAAACGAGTTAAAACTTTTTCAGTTTGCATGAATGTTTGAGTCACCAGAAGAGATTAAAATAAGTATAGGTCACCCTTGCTTGTGCCTTATTCTCACTGCAGTCTCACACCCTCTCTGAAACCCAATGGGAGCTACAGAGCTCTGGTTAACCCTCAGGGATGTGGTACAACACAAAGTAACAAAGTTTGAGAAAGTTTGGTGAGGCAAACCTGAAGCTGACCTCAACACAAAGTGATGCAAAATAGCCAGAGAAAGCTTCACTGCAGCTTAACAACTGAAAGTCTACATGTTAACCCTTAAACTCTGACTTACCTTCTCTCTGATCTCTAGTGCTCTTTTGCACAGTGGCTCTGCCTCCTTGTACTTCCCTCGCTTACCGTAAAGTACGGCCAAGTTATTCAGTGTCGCCGCCACCTAGAGGGAACAACACACATGCATATATTATGGCACAAACACACAAATAGTGAAATACAATTAACAACAGCTCAAAACCAAATCAAACAACTGCTATGATTTGGGCCAAATGTTGGAAGTCATCAGATCTCACTGGAAGTGATTCAGACAACGCAATCTGATCAGGATCAATCAGTAAGATCAAACTGGCTCCTTGTGATGTGAACTAAACACACCAACCGCCCACAGTGACTTTAATCATCAGACTCTGATTGAAATGTGCACTTGAGCCCCATGTGTGTGAGGAACAAGGTAAGTGGGTTTAAAAAGAACAGAGTGAGACAGCAAGGGTGGCGGGAGGGATTCTAACCTCTTCAGTACACAGTGAGGCTGCAGGTCCTGGTGAAGGGGCAGACATAAGCTTAGGATGGTAATTACTACCAGCCCAGATAGCAAACACATACACAAACTCAGCTGCTAATAGCTTGTCCTCTCAAACACAAACACAAACACATGCACAACCCACAGGGTGGTCCATACTTTGCCTAATGTTTTCTCTGTAACAGGCGAAGCTGTATTTACAGCCAAACACTGACAGACTGTGAGGTGGTCTCTGTCTGTAATAACAGGTGTGACATCTACACCCCTCCCCCACATACATACCGCAGGGTGGTCTTTTCCCAGTGTTTTCTCTCTGATAGCAAGTGCATCATTTAGAAGGTTTGCAGCCTCTTTGTATTTATTCTGGTCCCTAAGAAGGAAAGGAGAAAAAACAAATGCATACAGTTTTACACTTTTCCCTAGATGCAGGTAATCAACCAAGACATGTTTTGAGTCCAAATTTTGTTTCTATAGTTTAGAACTGGAGCTGCAAGGCTAACTTTATTAACAAACATCAGAACTCAATAGCCACCCAGATAGCTCAAAATGTTTCCATATATCACCAAAATTTTTCTCAGCCTGCTTAAACCGCATCTAGATCTTAATTAAGTTGCATAGACTAGATGTTGTGTCTAAGGACACAGTATGACTTACTGTGAAATATAAAAATCAGGAGATAATTAGAGGACTCATCTTGGATCAGATTCCTTTGTGTTTATGACAGTCATTCTGACAAAAAATTATTCTAGATTAGTACTCTTGTTTCTGAGCCTGAGGTGGTTGCAAACGGCTGCACACAGCCTCTAGCTACATGGTGAGGTTTTGTTCGGGTGACCATATTATGGTAGTTAAAAAAAACTGGAGGCAGAAGCATGACACGGGGCAGACAAACTGGGGCTACTTGGGCTACTGGGGCTACAATGTTAGCCTAGTCGCAAAATTTGGACTCCAAATATGTCTTGGCCAATTGACCGGATCTAGGGTAGTGAAGCATTTTGTAAATTTGATTTTTCACTGTCTTATTCCTTTAAAAGTCAGACCTATAGACGAGGGCGAGGATGTTGAGCATGGTGGCGACATCTGGGTGGTCGTGCCCTGAGGTCTTCTCCAGGTCTTCCAGGGCCTGTTTGCAGAGTGGCACTGCCACCTCATAGCGGCCCTGAGAGGCATACTGGATCACTAGATTATGAAGAGTTCGGAGCCGGGCTGGGATCTCGTAGCCTCCCTGCTGTGCTGCTGCTACTGCGCTACTGTGTGGAGGCTGGACTGGAGAAAGACAGAGACAGAGAAATACTGTAGTTGATCCTGTGACCTTAAAACAAAGCTGGGCAAATACATTCTCAAAGGATTTAACTAGGATACATCTTTCAAACCTGGAAATTTAAACATGTGCGCTGTCCAAAGAACTACCTATAGTAAACTGTTCTGTGAAACACCCTTTTTGCCAGTTAGACTAAAGTCTGGTAGAAATCCCTTTCCACCAGAAGTGCGTGAGCGAGTGCCTTGGCTTTCATGTGGCAGTAGGGAACCGATTTAAACGTGCTCAGAATTCATGCATGTCAGGGTGCATTTGATGAAGCATAATGCCCCTGGATGCAGCAACATCCCCTGCCATGATAATACCCACGCAATCCTTTGATCCTGTACTTCACGGTCTGAACCAATTAGCCAACACAAAAAAGGGACAACAAAAACAAAAGAGTGTGAGAGAAAGGGATGGGCAACCTTTACTCAAACCAAAAGACCGACAAGGAACCTAGACGTTTTAGGTTATTCCGCTCTCTTATCTTTGCTTCATCCCCTTCTCTCCTTTCAAATACAACAAATGTGTCTATTCACATCCAGTGTTAATCTGAAGCTGATACTAATGCTAATTAGTCAAATGTGCCTTTACTCAGTTAATAGAAGATATCATATTAGAAAAAGCTGTATTCTATGTCCATCTTATAAGTATAAAGACCACAATCCTGTTGCCATAGACAATTTGTGTTAGCCATTCTTTAGTCCTGTTGTCAAAAACTGAGCAGTGATGAATGCCACAGAGAGTGGCTGACAAAACAGTGCTACAAGTAAATGTACTCTTATCCAGCAGACCTATAACACAGGCAGACCTCATAAAGTGGCAGGTAAGTAAAATAACAAGTTTGGTGTTTCTAATAAAGTAAAACTGAGTCTTTGTTAACGTTTACTTTAATTACTACACTCTCTGGCCTGGACAAAGCATAGACACTGATCTGCAAGTGAAAAACTGAGCACAAGACAACACTTAGGTACTTACTGCCAGGGCCGGGCTCATCCTGTTCATCAGGGAAAAGATCATCTAGAGTCTCCCTGCTGGAGTCGGAGTCTTTATCATCCTGAATGAAGGAGGAAGAATTACATGTAGACAGAGGAGCAAGAAAAAATGCATAAGCAAAGACCTAAAATGATCCAGTTTAGAGGGAGTCTCACTGTTGGGCTGAGGTCCTGGTCATATTTTTTGAGCTGGTTCATGAACTCCAGGTGCTTCTTCTCCTCCTCCAGCTGGGCCACGCTCTGCTCGCTCTTCTGCAACCGCTGCTGTGTGCCAGCAAGCTCATCTCGCAGCCACTGGTTCTCCTGACACAGCCGCCGCACCTGAAAAAAAGGACAGAAAGAGAGAGATATTCGCATATGGAAGGTAAGAAAGAATATTTAAAGTTTAAAAGCTATTCTTTATGCAGATGTACATTCTGACTAACTTTAATATTCAAGTATCTGTAAGAAATTATCAACCAAGGGAAGGAAAAACAACAGTTTTAAAAAAAGAGTTTGGCCAAAAATAATGTAGGGCTGTACACTTAGCTTTTTAGGTGACATCACTGGTGTTGCACAAAAATACAACAGCATGCAAAGGAACATGTTTAACTATTCAAAAACAGCCAAAGGAAATACGTGGATTTTCATTCCAGTTAAATAACAGAGGCAGCTTCTTTAGATGAGCTAATGAGCTGACAGAGCTAACAAGTGTCATGTTGGATGCTGATGAGGACTCATCTTCTACACAAGGTATTTTCTTCTCAATGGATGATGTGCCAACATGTTATTTGTCAGAGAAATATATTGTCATGGTTTCTGGACTTAGCTAACATCAACTAGAGGAGCTAACTTAAGTAGTGATACAGCTGCGTTATCTCTGCATTTTCAGCCACGTCCTTAACAACACGTCCTTGGCAACACTCTTCAACACACGTTCAGATAGGTGTTTGGAATAGCAAAGTATAACACTTGTAATCTTTGTACATATACATATATATCTTTATACTTTTATTGTTTATTCTATTTTATATATTATTTGTATATTTCCTGCTGCTCTGTCTTCTGTGCTGCTGTAACACCGCAAATTTCCCCGTTGTGTGATTAATAAAGGATTATCTAATCTAATCTAATCTAAGCCAACACACCTACTCGCAAATACAAGCAAAACTGTTATGTTTCACTGAAATGTTAGACATCTTCCTGTGATGAAACGGAACAAATGCCTTCTCTTCAGCATTCAAATACTGGCACCTCAGAGTTCTTGAGTACCAATGTACATTCCTAATTAATAATAATAACATGTAAACAACTCTGCAATCTGACAACTGGAAGTTAATACAACATAACACAATATAACACAATTGAAAGCACTCTCTGTATTTGTTTATTTAATTTTGTCATTTTTAAAAAAATTTCCACAGAGAGGCACTGAGAGAGAAAGTGTGTTTGTGTGTGTGTGGGTGTGTGTGTGCAGCTTTGTGGGCAAGATACTGAGAACCTGAGAACTGTATTAATATTTCAAGACGTTGTGGCTATGTGTGTGTGTGTGTGTGCGAATACCTGTGCCCGAAGCTTCTGTTTCTCAGCCTCCACTGCGCTCAGGTGCCCTGAAAGAGCCATCATCACCTGTCAAATTGAGACATGGGAGAGGAAGTGATGAGTGAACATTTCCTAAATCTTCTTTTTTTAAACAAAGCTAAACAAAGTGGCTTGTCTTTCAATAACATCTCCCTCTCACCCCTTTTCAAAATATTGTACTCGCTGACCTGTGCTTCACTGAGGCCCAGCTCCAGCATCTCCATTGAGCGCTGGATCATGGCTGTCTTCTCCTCAACAGCGCGGCCCTCCTGGCTCTGTTTGAGGCAGCGCAGGGTCCCCAGCAGCCCTTCAAGGATGGCCTGGTGTTCGGCCCGGAGAGCCTCCAGCCCCTGCATCACCTCCCGCGTCCGACAGAGCAGCTCATCCTGGGACAACTTCTCCGCAGGGTCGCCCTGCCCCTCCACCTCCTTCACACACACCACGCTCGACATGTCCTCACGCATCCTACACACACAGGCAAACATAATACAATATACTTAGTATTCATTAGAACGTGTCTGAGCATTTCAATCAACAAGTATATCATATCAAGTATATCAACAGACATTTGTTTCCAAGAAGGCTGTAGAATATACTGCTCACCATTATTACAATACCGGTCTTCACAATACTGATCAAAGAAACCAGAAATATGCAAAAAATCACTACTTTTTTGTATTATTTTGTTTGCGCTGTGACCAGGGCTCCAGACTAATGCCCCCTGTCATCCCAGGGACAAAAAAAATAGCATAAGGGATGATATTTAAACTGTTGAGATGCTTCAGAGACGAACAGCTTGTGTGTGTTACATTAAGACTTACATACTATATAATCCAGAAACTGTTTTTATTTTGCTTTATATATATATATACACATACACAAAAAAGGCAGAGGGCAGGAAACACTGGACAGGTTATATACACAAAATCTACATACATGAAATCAAATTAAATAATATGAAAAAACTGTGCTAATTACTTTTGGACATTCAGTCAGAGTCAACAACTCAATATTCAGATATTTAAAACACTGTATTGAAGCCGCTTATTTCAGTACTTTGATTCAACCTGTCAAATTCGACTCACAAAATTACCTGCAAAAAAATGAAATTAAACAACATCCAGGCTACGTTCAGAATAGTTTGCTTGTTAACTCAACATTCAATACTAATGACTAAAAGATGTATCATTCAGAATTCGAAAAACATGGCTAACACACTATGTAAGGCACTATTTCTGTAATTACACAGCCTGACTTTGACTAGTTAAATGTGACCACTGAAATGTGACCACATATGTGTTTGTGTGCACTGCATATCTAAGTGGATACATGTACATGCATGTGTGCTTAGCATGTATTCCATATATTGCTATCTGACATTTGTCTTTTTGGGAATTGGTAAACAGTAGTTAAAAACTACAAGAGAGAAATGTAATGTAAACAAATTTGAACATTTTGGATGATCAATTTTCACTTCGGGATGGTTCTGGGATGGTTGTGAAAAAAGTTTGTCTGGAATTCTGAGACCATCCTGATTGCAGTAAAATACAGTCTTCTGTCTGTATCTTGCAGCCCTGGCTCCCAGCCATCTCATATTACTGAGTATAGTATGTATTCTGGCTACGAACATGCATCTTTTCAACTTGGATGCATGGAACAAACTGAGAGAAAGACACACCCAGGCTTTGTGTGCTGCTCATACACTGGCAATACAGGTTTGTAAAAGGGAAAAAGACATTCCCAAAACATCTCTCTTTTAGTGAGCAAAGCAATTAATTTTTCACCAATTTCCATAAGCACAATGGGAGCCAGCCTCAAAACAAGTCCTGCACCAGCACAAACAAAGGTGAGGTGTATTTCCTATCACTTTCAGTAGAGGATGATATATCGATTCATCTGATGTACTGGCTAGAGGTAACAATTATGGCTCCTTGCTCAGCTAGCTGCTTCAGTCGACACTGTGGTCTCGGGCTACAAGCCAAGAGACCCCGCAGCTTCACAGCTAAAACTGATAGCGTGAACAGCTTGTAATATTTACTACATTCCAGTGTTTGATGGTCGTAGACTAAAGCTTGACTGTAAGGGATGTACTTATGAGACAAATGAAGTCTGGACGTAAAACAAAATTCAGAATTCCTTTTGCCAATCTCAGAGAAACCACTGTGGGCTGTACATACACTCACCTTTATCTTATTAGAGTTGGAAAGCAATATTGACACCTGTCTATACAGTGTTAATACTATTTCAATAACAGTATTTTAGATTTACCTCCGTTGTTAAGCATAGTTCTTATAAAAAACGGAAGGACATGCAGAATAATACACCACTGCTGATCTACAAAAAAAGTTTACTTCAGTATCCAAAATGTTTTTTTTTTTTTTTAAATATACATATACATTTTTGCCCATACCACCCACTACTACTCCCAACGAATTTCACTTCCTCCTCATGCTACTGGAGCTCCTGTATTTCTATCTTTCGCTGTCCTCCCTTCCCCCTTCATGCATCACACATAAACAATCATAAGAGGATTAGAAGTAACACAACCTACAGCACGTCAAGTACGTAGCAAATCTCTTTAGCCCCCTCACATCACCGAACAATACGTCTATAGTGTCAGAAGGAGAAACAACACCAACAAGACTGAAAAGGGAAATGAAAGGGAAAAACAGCTATCCAGATGTACCGTGAATGGCAACAACACCCTGCTTAAATAAGAACAGAAACACACTCACTTTTGTTTGGAATATTTCAAGCATTACTTGATAGAGCTTCTTCAGATGAAACAAAGCAGTTGTACTTGATGTTGCCAAGATACACCTCACCTGGGACGGCGGAAGGAGGTTGCTAGGGAGGGGGACGCAAGCTTGGAAAAGGGAGGGGTTTTGATACTTGAAAACAAGAACAGGGAATGCTGAAATACTGGCACTGTAACTGAGGCAGTGTAAGAAACCAGAGGGAAACATAAATCTATTGATCTAATTAACAATCAATGGTAAAAAAAGCAAATTTGTCACAAATCAGGAATGAAGTGCCACTACTCAAAAGAAAAAAAGTGCTGATGTAAAGCTGACGGGGGCTTTAGTGACTGCTTTTGCTCGAGCATTAGCCAGCATTCCTGCACAAAAAGAAATAGGAAGCAGAGGCTAACAGCTCACTCAGAGATTCATGTGACCCAACAAGGGGCTAGTAGGCTGACATGTGACAGCCACTGGAGAGGAAGTACCACAGCATGCTGGGAGGCAGTGCACTAATGAACTCCTGTACTTCACTCTCTGCTGCACACGTACACATATCAACAGGGAATAATGCAACCCTCAAAAGACAGCATACACTATAAAATGTTTGTGCTGTAGTCTGTTACACAGAGTAAAAATGCACAAATTATAGAACAGAGAGCATGCAATTTCTTTTGAGTGTTATATATGCAGTACACATAAAATAACAGTAACAAAAGCGCACCATAAATCTGAAGATCACAGCAGACAAAAATATGAATTTCCCCTTTTTTTTTCCAGTTTTTTTCTGGATCCGAGAACAAGAAGTACCAGAGGGAGAAGGAAACATCTGAGTGCGCTGCATTCAGAGAGGGTAAGGTTTGAGCAAAGCACCGTAGGGACGAGGACAGCAGTTTTAATGTAATCGTTTGAAGTGTAAATTTGTGTTTTGAAGCTTTGCTCAAACGCTTAAGACTGCCAAAATACAGAATTGCATTCACAACATGCTAACAAAAACCCACACCTCTTTAACCAACCTTAGCAGAGCCTTAAGGAGGATCAAGCCAGCACAGGTGCTACAGGCGACAACAAAAGTGAATGCAGTAGGGAAGCGCAAGGGCAGTTTATTGTTTTCAGGCTCTGATCCCTCATTATGTGAGAAGAAATGAGAATATAAGACAATGTAGCATTGATTTAGATTGAGATAAGGCTCAAACGACACACACAGTCCCATCTTAACTGCTCCGTATAAGACTATATGAATCACCACATGCTAACAGAAGTTCTAAATTTGACCTGTCAGAATGACGCCATAGGAGGAAGAGACAAAAACAGGCTCAAACCATCTTACAGACTCCATTTAATTGTGCAGCTTGAGTGTACAGCAAAAAGAAGATAAGAGAGAGAGGACAAAAAGACATGAAGACACATCTGCTGATGATCTGCTAGTGATTGTGTGCAATGCTGCTGCACTAGACCTCTAACCTCTTTTCCTGCATGGAGTTACTCAGATTCTCATACTCTGATTTACTCATAGGCCATACTGAATCACACACAATCTCTAAGATTCTTATTCTCATTCTCTTACATACATACTTTCAATAAAGTAGGAGTTACACAACAGTGACACACAAGAATCTTGAGTCGTAACAAGATAATAACCAATTAAAATAACTTAACAGGGTGGAAGAAGGGAAAGAGAGAAAGAAGAGAGTAGAATTGGGATATGATGGCTGAGTGACTGCACAGGGCTGGTGGGGGCTTGTTAGTCAGAGCTGATGTGTTAATCTGATCAAACTGCAGCATGACTCACCCCCCCTGCCCCCCCATCATCCACCAGGAAATAACCTCAGCAGGAGGAGGGGACAGAGCCCCATGATAACTGTGAGACCCCACAGGGCACACTTTCTGCGCTGGGGACATGATGAAGTCAGCAGTATCACTTAGCAACATCACAGGAAAGCCACACGCCAACTCAGAGGGCGACAGGATATAGTAGAAGTGGTGGACCGCGCATGATGGACGTTTTCACTGTTTGCTGCTCACCAGGAATGTAAAAATGCATGAATGCATTGTGATACAGCAGTCTAAAGGTGAACTTCATCTGCATGTGGAATGTTGGAACTGACTGTAATTGCTTCAATTCAATAGATGAACTCACTTTCGGACCAAAATAAAATTCTCAGGCTATTTTTAAACATAAATCCCCCCCTGTTCTTGTACATATTACACTACTGCGTAAAAAGCTCTGCCCTGTCACATATTTTGTTATATCTATTTTTAAAATAATTCTGAATTGTACTCGGGGGTGGGCAATATGATGATATTTTATCGTGATAAATTAGGTCACTATATGCTGTTCTGAGCACATTGTGTGAAGTCAGCACTTCAGTCGCTACTGGCGAACTACGTTTCATTACAAAGGGAGCACAATTAGGCTTCTAGATCCTAGTGCAGTGCAGTAAAATATTAAATAAAAATCATTGTAGTCATAGGTTTAATATTACTATTACAGAAATTGTTTATATGTGGCACTACAGGTTCTATTTTATCAGTTCCAACTTATTAAATCTCTGCAAAACTAAATAATGTGATGCATATCATGTATCGTGAATATGTCTTTAATATTGTGTTTTAATATTTTTGCCATGTTTCATGATGAACTGAATCACTTCACACCAAATCCCAATCATCTTGAATCGAGGACAAAGATTTACAGCCCTAACTGGAACACTGCACGGCATTCCAGCCTTCTTCCTCTCTAAATCACCACATCGACTCCCCTGTCTCCAGTTTCTCAAACAAATCTTTTTGCCTTTGCTTCCTCTCCCTTCTTGCCACAGCCATGGGCAGCTGCTTACTCTGCAGGTGCCTCTGGCTGTATGTGGAGCGGTGGAGAGGGAAGATGCTAGCCCACTGCTAAACATCGTCCTTAGGCTCTCCCCAACCACCATTTTCTGCAGTGGTCCTCTACAGCCTACTTCAGCCTTGGGGGAAAGTTCACAACGGGAAATCGTTATGGTAATCTGACGCCACATTTAAATTAACATGACTGTTGTGGTTCTCCCTGTCCCAACTGCACTGTCACTTCAGCCCAATCAGTTTCAAGACTGATACCAGTGCATACATTTCCTTTATCAGTGCATATTACTCAATTAATCTATTTCTTATGTAGTAAAAGAAAAGCAGAAGTTCTTGGTAGGTGCATGGTTATCTCAACACTGCTTGAAAAAAAGAGGAAGAGAAACACGTACATTTGAGCAGAAATCAAATGCCTTTGTACCAAAAAATACATTATTTGGTTTAAAAACAAATAAATTCAATACAGGCTATGAATATAACAAACGCCTGACAGCACACATTCGAATAATAATGCTATGTAATTTTTTAGATAAAAAGCAATTTACATGTTGACATTATACATATTCATGAAACACAACTGCTAACTTTTTCCCAGGAAACAAATGGCAATTCTGCCGTTTGAAGGCCACTTCAGATGACGTTTGGGTTAGCAGCTGGACACACACATCTTGACCAAAACAGAAATGCTTTCAGGGGCAGAGGACGAAGGTATGTCAACTGAGGAAAGCCACTCCTTGAATACTAATGAATAACTAACAAGGCCTTGCTATGTTACAGCACAATCAAGCTGCACACCAATAATGCAAAACCTATACATTCCTTCTCGCATGGTATTAAGCAGTACATATGGATTCCAGATAAGGTCAGTTTTACAGGCCTCATATTTACATCCACAACTAGCTATCTGAACCTTAGTCAACTGTAACTGTGACAGTTAACTATCACAATAATTGCGCTAAAGCGCAGCTAATTTTAAGGACAGGTATGCTTTCACTAGTTTGTTAAATAAAATCTAAGGCAGCAGCAGAAGACAGTTAGGCAGCTTCCCAGTGAGCATTAATAACCAGACATGCTTCACTATCTTCCCTGATCTCTAAAACGAGTTGGGCCAGTTCAGTATCTTCAAAACCCTGCACCCCAATTTCCAGACACATATTTTCTACAGGGCTACCGAAAGGTATCCTGAACTTCACAGGAAACCATTTCTATATGTGAAACATGAGATAAACCCAAACAGCAACATGTCCAAGTCGAGCAAATTTGCTATGCGGCTAACAGGCTAAGCTAGTCAGCTAAATCTTGTAACTAGCCTCTCTGGCTAAGCCAGCTTTCGTTATTGCCTAAGCTGTTCATTTAACGCTAGTGTTAACTTCAGCCAACTATCGTATTTGTCAGCCTGTAAAACTGCTTTTGATATCTTAATATGGTTAACGGATGCGTTAATACAGTAAACCTAGCTAACATTACAAGTGAGCTAGCCGTGTCAATATTCCCATTTGACACGGGAGGCAGGCGCTCCCATTAAACTCGGTCAGCTAAGCTGCTATTACAGAGTAGTTACACAGTCACTAACCTAACCCAGCTCAGTTAGCCACATAACACGTTCAACAACCCTTACCGTTCTGTAAAACATCCAGTCGTCGCCTATTTCTTGTTCAGGGATCTCTCACACGGTGTTTATAAGGTGCTATTCGCCTGGCTGTCTGAGTTTCGGGCTGTAGCTAAGCAGCCCAGCCGGTGAGGCGATGCCTTGCCGCGGTCCTCCACTCCTCCACACCACAGAGAGAGAGAGAGGGAGGAGGAGGCTTCTCTTACTGACTGACTAAAGGAGCGCCGTTCATCTGCTCTCTCTCCAAGTGCCAAATTGCTAATGTCTTAAGATTGCGCAAACACTACGGAAGCTTTTCACTGCAGATTTTATAGTTTTTTGCTTTTCCTGGTTTAGGTCTGGTAGAGTATGCACATCACTTTGATGCTGTGAATCTACCCTGCAAATCTCCTCCTCCCTACAATAGAAAAGCAAAGTCTATTAAAAATTACTCCTTAAATTCTTGCATAGTTTTGTACTGTACTTGAGTGTAAAACCAAAAAAAAACCACAAACAAAACAAAACCAACACGTGGAGTTTATTTGACATGGTCATTTTACTGGAGATGGCATGATACCACTTTTCTTTCCCAATCCTGAGACCAAGAGTTTCAATACTGACCAATACCAATCTTTTTCTTTAAAATCTATACTACACTTCAGTATGAGCTATCTTAACTGAAGCACTTCACTTAACAATGTAGTGTCAGCATAAAGTAAGGCACAGGAAGCCATGGTACCACCATGAGAAATGGTCTTTATACAAAATGCTGAACTCGCGGGGGAGGTCATCATTAGCCAACTACTTCAACTCACACTACTTCAAAACACCCACAGCCCATCACAAAATAACACAATAAACACATCACATACCTTTAACTGACGAACAACAATATAAACAACATTTACGTCCCTTTCCTGGAGGATGCGCACCCTCCATGAGCCTCTTGACTTGGCCATCAGCAGGGCCACACCTCACGGCAGCGAGTTGTGGGTAGCTACACAACCCCCCACCCCACTCCAAAGGTCAACCATCCCCAGCAAACCAGTCCCTAAAAAGCACTCGCTCTTCGGCGACAAGCGCTCCTCGCCCAGGGCCACGTCCTTGCCACTGCAGCTCCTCCTGCACATGCCAGAACTCCCCACAGCACAGCAAGTCTTGGCCGCAATCCACTCCCTTCACCGCGCCATTGACACTGGCATGAGTGCTGCTCAAGCATGTGGGGTCCCACCACTGCTGCTGGTGAACGACCTAGACAGATTGATTGCCTTCCAGCCATTTGATGTGGGCCATCTGCACTCAAACAACAGCCTATGACCACCGCTGAACCTCCTGGCCAGCATTCGATTAACCGCTGGCCCAGGTTCGCCTTGCGGTGCAGTGTCCTCTCTCTACAACACTGCCTCACCAACCACTCCACTCCACTCCACTCCTCGCCATGGCGCCTCTGGCCTTAAACCTTCTGTAATGGCCCCGTCATCGGGAGTTCCCACCCTGGCTCCACTGTTGAGTCTTGCAAGGTTGTCTTCCCTGTGGAGCCTCGCAGCGCTGTCCCCGTCACCGGGGTTCTGCTTCTCCTGCTAGGTGACTTGAAGTTCTTTGTAGCACAGTTTCACTCCAGACACTCCACTCTAGCGTCAGCGTATAGTAAGACACAGGGGAGACCATGATTCCACCGCCAGAAGTGCTTTTTATTAAACACCAGAGCAGAAAGGCACATACAAAGCACTGAACTCGCGCTGGGGGGGGGTCTCCGTTAGCCACTACTTCTACTCCACTGTGACTTACCCCCCCAACACCCACAGCCCAACACCAGAGGGGGTGCGCCTCCCATGAGCCTCCCAGCAGCGACGCCTCACAAGCATCTAGAGGCCAGCGCCAGCCAGTAGCGGGTTACTACAATATGAACATCTAAATGTTGGCTATCATGCTCAAACTACTCAAACACTCTAACCCACAGGAGGAAAACGTCATGTCAGACAATGTGAGTGTGGATATTTCAGGCTAAATTTGAAACAGAATTGGCTCAGATTCATTTTTTTCCCGTCAAATATCCAGTCAAGCATTTTCTGCGATTCTTTCACTATACTGATATCAATCAACTCCGATATGCCATCTCTCCACCTCTAGCTTTAAGTGCTTCAATCATTTATCTGAAGGTACTAATATTAATAAAACACCTGCATGACTTAGGTCAAGGAACGGTGTTTAATTGGGAGTTCAGTGTAAAGTCCAGTCAAAATAAAGACATTATACATTTGCAATGCAAAATGGCGCAATCAAGTTACATGCAGTTACATTACACCAATTACACCATATTTTGAGAAAAGATTTATCTATAATTTTTTTGGTATTTTAATATGCCAAAAAATTGTTTGCCACTCTTAACTGTAAAATTCTCCAATGAGAAGGTGGACAGCTGCAACAGAGAAAACTGATTTCCAGTGTCTTTATTTGGGCAGCACTGTGGGTTTGCCTTTACTCCTCCCTTGACCAGTTAGTGTCCTCCACATACTGTGCAGAGCTACTCTGGCCATCAGGAGTGTAATGGTGAAGTTCCGTCGATACCATTCTCTGAAAAAAAAAAAAAAGAAGAAAATAATTTTATTTTAGCTCATCTTTGTGCTGCTTAATAAATAACTGCTGTTGAACTAAATAAATTACACACTTTGAACACAAGTAAGAAGGTCTGTACACTCACTTGTTATAACTTGCATGTTTTATATAGTTTTTGTCTAGGAAGTGTTTGTAGAAGACGGCCATTTCCTCACTATTTAAAGTTCTTTTTCGTCCTGAAAAGAAAAAACAATGTAGTGGCAAACCTTGCATAATACAGAACAAATCAAGCTCTTAAGGTAATCTTCCACTGCAAATATGAAAATGCCCAAACAGTTTAACTGGCCAATAGTCACCTTTAAAATACTATGCAAACACTGTCTTGCTGATGTGTCTATATAGCATTTCATAATTTGATAGTGTCACTGCAGGCTGAATGCTTACTCCATACCTATTTTGGTATGTAGGCAACGTTTATCACTATTTTGCACACGCTACTTGTTACAACAATGTTGTTTTTTTTATTGTACAGTAACATTCATATGAGTTTAAAAGAAAAAAACTTGGATCACCTACCTTTCTCATCTCTTTCTGACAAGCCTTTGGCCTTCAGCTGTAAATGTACATATTCCTCTTTTTCCTATAAATATATGATTAAATATAAATATGGAAAACATAATATTCTTGGTTAATTTCATTTGTTCCATTTGTGCACAGTGATGTATTCAAAACTCAGAACATGTTTTCTAAGCAGGCAAAAGTTACTGCACTGTGATCAGAAAACAGGAAATGAAAAATCTTATCATAATTTTACCATTAAAATAGTATGGTATGATGAATTGTGCTTACTATGACCAGTCAGAAGAGCAAACAAGGTTAAAAAACTGATTTCAGGTTGACTTTAACACTAAGACACACTCAGTGCATGTTAATGGTGCTCTCTAGTGGTCAAAAAATAAAACAGAGTGTGATAAAGGTTTCACCTTGCTAAAGGTGACGTTCTGATGGGTCCAGAACTCGTGGTTCCAGTCCTCTGTTTCCTGTCTCAGATGTCTCAGTTTCCTCTCCAGCAGGGTCTCATTCTCAGGGATGTGATAAATGATTGGCCGCAGGTTTGACAGCCTGTCTGGTGGCCCGATCCAGTCATATTTTGCGGTAGGCCCTGGGTTGAATTTGGTTTTCTTTACAATAAAAAAAAAAAAAAAAAAATACAAAAAGTAAGTCAGCACAGTGGACAGAACGATCAAGACCCAAAAATATTTATCATATTTAAACGCACCATAACAAAACAGAACATTCAAATGCCTTTAAATGTAAATAAATGCTATAGCCTAACCACTGATAACATGAAACAGTGGGATTATTAAAATTCATGTTTTGAAAGAAATTATGTTAAATAAGTTATCATAAAAAGATAAGAATAAGAAGTTAAAACGTCATCCAAGTCCACCTGGCATTAAAGTCACAATGATGGATTTCCAAACACAAAGTAGCATTATTTCGAAATCACTCAAGGAATAGTTTGGGGTTTTTTCTGAATGACAGAGTCATCATCTAAAAATGATCAACACTCCATTATATTTATGTTTCATTGTATTTTGGTTCAAGATACAGCCTAATGATTATACTGCACATTAAAACATACGCAAATCAATTTCATAAAACCAAAACAGCCCTTTTCAGTTAGTGGATTTAATGTTGCATAATGTTTCTCATCTAAGGCATCTAACAATGACAGACCTACAACTTCGCGTTGTCTCAGATACAGTCATCGTTCATTCATATATTCCTTCATTCAATCTGACGCACTCAGCTGGCACCGATAATATGACATTTGACCTCTAAAGCTGGAAGTTAGCGAGCTAAGGATTTCCTAGTTTGGTAGGTAGGGAGCTACAAACCTCTGCTGGTTCATTTCGGGCTGCTGATCTGGCGCAGTGCCGCTTACTCGCCACTACACCACGTATGCAACGCTGAGACCTGAAAAACAGACAAGCTGCTGCTCTTGAATTCATTTTCAATTATTCACATTTCATGTCTATTACATGTCTATTAAGAAATCAGTGTTTGCAGCTATGTGGTGACCTAGCGCGAGCTAACCGCGCACTACACTCGTGAAGATACATTTAGTGAAGCCAGCAGCGAATCATTTAACATTTTTAAAATGGCGGATATTATGGGTCGCTTTTAAAATAAAAGTGTTCGGCGATTCGTATGTGACTTAATACCAGTAGTCAAAAATGCTTTTGGAACAACCAAATAAATAGTCAAAAATGTAGTCTTTTTTTATCCAGACAAATGAATAAATATATCATGGCCTTCAGAACAAAAACTTGTATCTTTACAATCTTTGTTTTTATTTTTTTTTTTATTATTTTTTTTATTTCCAGCTGCCCTTGGAAATAGACATGCTCCAAATTTACTTGGAATTAACTTACACTGAAAGTTAAGAATGTTTATTCTGTCTCCAGTATAACTATTAAAATGACTTTATTGTTACATTAAAATTTAGGTATGTTTTTTCATTCTCTTGTAAAGTAGCTATTTCTCAGATGCAAGAGTTTGTTCCCAAGAGTGATGCTATATGCAGACATCTAGTGTCTGTGCAATGGATTGTAATGTTTTATAGTCGAAGGCCTCATTACTCCCATGATGCCTGAAATCTGACTACTGTCTTTTCCATTCCTGATCTAACACCCTTCTGAACAGTTCATAACATAGCATAGGCTGGTTTGATAAGCAATTGCTGGTGTCCTGCAGACTTTAGATTTACTGCTAATCAAGCAATGTCTGTTTAATTTGTTCTCAATCCCAGTCTTCAGAACTCCAATGTATTCTCCCTGATCATGAGATAAGTCAGATGAGTTAGAGCCAATAAACATGTACTGTGTATGAAAATCCCAGTACTCCATGTAAGAATCACTTGACTATCCAGATAACTAAATAAACCAAATTTATTAGACTAGGGTATTTATATCACTCCTAGTATGAAATGTTGCAGTTGTGTGAAGCTTGTTAAAGGGGATTTCTGGCCTAAAACTAGCATTTAATATTATTTATCATGTAAAATACTGTAGTGCAGCATTGTATCCCTCAACCTCATCGATTTTACATAATTCACAGTGTTGTGTTGTGTTGTTACACAGCTACATCTCACATCCTTTGAGAATCCCTCTCCCACACACAGATGTACCGCTGATGTAGAGGCTATTAAATTCAGATGTTATTCAGCTTCCTAGCAGTAACATCTGGCTTCCTTCTACATTCACCAAACACGTTTCAAACAGCCTGTCCTCAGGTTAAAAATTTGTAGGTCCTCCCATATTTACAATACATCATCAGAAGGGGGTTTTATTTTTAAACCAGATAGTCTCAGCTTTGAGACTGTGGCACCGCTGTAGGAGGCAGGAAGGAATGTGCACAACTGATGTGGCCATATGGCTATTTTTTTTTTTTTTCATTTTAGACAGAGTCCCCCTTTAAAAGGGAATGATTTTTACTAAATCAGATCACCATCGGCCTACCAAACCTTTCTGGATGAAGAATTCCAGCTGCATGATGTCTGTTATTATGACTGAAGTGAGATTTTACAAATATGAAAAAGGCCTCACTGTACTGTTAGAAGGTCAGGTCCCTACACTATATTATTTATATAGCTTTAATACTCAAAATTGGGCACTACATGTTTAATAAAGTCACAAGGACTGTTAACCTGATAAACTACAAATATGTATTCAAATCCCCTTATGAATATTCAACGCGTTTGCTTCCCTGGAAAAGACTTTTGTAAACTTTTACAGTGTCCGCCTTCACACGTTAGATCCGGGAGGACTTCCTCCACTCTTCCTGTTGTTACAGAACTGGACGACCAATATGTTTTACGAGTCTGACTCCACGATAAAAGCAGAAAGTCTCATATCACTGTAAAACGAGGCAAACGGGGGTTACAGTTCCTAAACAGTGCTTTTGTAGCTGTAGACAGCGTGACGAAACTGCTGAAGACGGAATGAAAAATCCAGTTAACTTATTTAAAAAGTTGACAACTGTATAAAAGCTGTAAAAACAAAGATTTTAAAAATATTTAAAGAACGTTTCAAACAGCGGGATGTATTTACACCGTGTGATATGAGATGGTAATGGACTAAACTGCTGGTCATAACGCTTGCGGGTGTTTTGTCCCCTCTGGTCATCAGTGGGAGTCCCGCTGATCCCACTGCTGCCCGGGTTGTTTATCACAGACACTGATGCTCTGATGGCTGTGCGCTGGTTATGCAGGTGGGTATTTATCTAAAAGGCACATCGCACTGCGTTGTTCCTTGTTTACTGGAGTGGTTCTCCGTCTGTTCGGGCGGTTTTGTAGCTTGCTGTGTGTCAGTTTGTGCTGTCGGTGAAGGTGAATGCTCCCTTTGTTTGTACACTTCAGGGACACAAAGCCTCGCTAAACTGAGAGCACCTGTCCGTCCAAGCGGATTATTTTAAAGGCTCGGTGCTAGTTGTTCAAAGCTAAAACGCTCGGTTTTTCAGCCGTTTATTTAGAGGTAAGGCTATCTCTGTACGCATCTTGCCTCTTACACTTTAAACGACACGGCTACGAGTGAGCTAAGCTAGTGACTGACGTTCGTGCACATAAAAGATTAAACCACTTCGTCTCCTGGAAGGACGAGATTATTGAGGCGCCGCAGTTGTTTTAAAGGCGGGACGGGGCGTGAGTGACCGAGGCTTGTAGCATCGTGTCAGGAAAGGCGGGACGTTGAGGGACAGCGGTTGTATTAATATATGAGACGTACGTCTGCGTAGGGAGTGTGTGAGCTCCAGCAGCAGCTCCCTCCTGGTCTCTGAATTGGTTTCCCCGGTCTGTCTATCTGCGCCTGGGCTGCGTGGGATGGGAGGGGCGCCAATGCAGCTCAGCTCGGCTGAACGCAGATCTGCTGCTTAAAACCTCCGAATGCAGACCGGCTGCAAACTCAGCGTGTCATCGATTACTGAAGTACCACAAGGCGCCCAACGCTTCAGCAGCACTGCTTATGGAAACGGGCCTCTTCAGAAATGTGCGCGAACGTCTTCGGCGTGTTGAAGAGGTGAGAAATATTCTGCGCATCTCTGGAGGTGGTGGAGGTGGAGGTGGTGTCTAGCGTGAACTGCACCCATGCTTTCTCGTTTCGTCGCCTATGTGCTGGCAAAAATGCCTTCTCTGCTCCAGACATGTTGTGCTAAATGCAGGGGTTGTTTGGTGGGCGTAGATAACATTTACTGAGGTGCATTAATGCGGATCAGGCTGTGCCTTGTTCATGTTCATGTGCACATGTGAATAATTGTAGAGCAAAATAATGGTGATTTGGCATGCTGGCAGTATTTTTGCACGGCTGCTCATCTTTTCATTTGCCATGTGGATGTTTTTGTAAATCAGCATCTGGACTATTGACCTAGTCTTCATCAGCCTCATACCTCTAGCAGATGGACTGTTCCAGAAAGGGGGATCCTTTACATTATCTATTACCTCATAGCTACAGGCTGAAACGATTGAGAGCCACACAGGCAGGAAAGGGTCTCTAAAGTAGTCCACAGGACCTTGATTTCGGAATTTCAGGCCCTTCTGTACTGATTCACCAGATGTTGTTTGGTCTTAGTCAGAATGCCATGATGCACCCAGCGTCATATTCTTTCCTGCATTCACTAATAGGTTTCGGCATGGATGGCATTTGGGCTCCCTCGCTCCACCCTAACACATAATCCAGAGATTGTGATGTGCCCGTGCTCACTAGGGACTTCATAATCAGAATCCTGGAGCAGACCCATGCCAGGGAGCATAATCAGGTCATCTCCTGCTAGAGGAGCGAACAAGGACAGCTGTACAGCAGGTTGAGCAGCCCGCCTGACCCCACTTATGTCCGGCACATCCTGTCGTTTCATGTTATGTTTCACACTTTCAGTAAAAGCATGCAGAAAGTGTTGAATCGTTCCTTCCAGCCTCCTCATAGTTTTATCTAAATGTGATGGAATTATATGGGGACAGCTGTGTACAGATACAGAGAAGCAAAGAAGTTAGCATTTCAGACAGTTTACTAAACCATCAGTTGTACCTGTTTTTGCTTAATATCTGAGATAGAGTTATATTATACTGGAAATTAACTGATAAAATATGCTTAAGTGTTTACATTAAGCTTAAACCTGTCTTACATATTATCAGGTGAAAATATTTATGCCCCCACTCAGGCTATGTTAGTATATGTCTGCTCTATCCTTTTTCACGGTCACTGCCAAATACACAGTGAATGACCGTGGGATGAGCAACATTCTTCCACATGAAGGAATTTCTCTTCACCTGGTTATATAAGCACATAAGACAAGTAACTATTAACCCATAGGGGCCTACTCTGGTGGGAAAAATACTCCATACTCTGCTGCTTGTCATAAGAGAATGATAAAGTCTAACCACACTACCTTTACACATAGTGTATACTATAGTTTATGTGCACACAATTGTTGGGGCGTGCTTTTAATTACTAATGATAGCAAACAAGCATTGCTTGAACTCTGGAAAGGATGCCTAGCACCAAGCCAATAGATGCTAGATGCAAATAGATGCTGTCCCTTTAAGAGCCAAGAGCATGACCTGTCTATTGTGACCTCACAGACACATCTCTGTGGAATATCCACAGCCTTCAGTCGCTAATAAAATGTTTTCCGAGGTCTCTGAAACTGCAGAGAGCGAACAGACTCAGTCTTGCTTGCGTGTTTTCTTTGCACATTTGTTTTTTTAAAAACATTTTAGTTCTTGCTGGATATCCCCTTTGCAGCCACGCTTGTAAGTACTGCAACTATGATATGCTTAAGATTGTGAACTGACTTCAGGCAATGAACTGAGCTGCAGCTATGGTCATGTTTGTTCTTGGTTTCCCTAAGGGAAGATGTTTTTCCTGTCGAAGGATAGGCTAATATCTCTTCAGGTAGGAAAGCATTTACTTCATTCTGCATGCATGAGGTGTTGAGAGTAATATAAGACCAGGGATCCCGGTTAGGATGTTTTGACTAGACTGGTTGCGGTCAGACATGCACCCCGACTGTGCGACAGCATCGTTATTTTAACTTATGACCAGAGAAGGCTGTGGATCAAAGCCTGAATAACAGTTGTGGCAGTGGATCTGGGCACCAAGCCCTCTGATTTTCGTGCCATAAATACCAGCGCCTAGTTGTCAGTCCAGTTTCAGCTCCTGTCAGCCTGTTCTATTCGCAAAGGTGGTTTAATTACACAGGACAAGGGTGGGTTCTTCTTGACTAAGTAATCCATCCAAATTTTTGAGGTTTCATATGTGCATTCTTGTGTTGGGATTCTGGGTGTTTTTGCTGTAGTCATTCATGATGGGTGGAGGACCTGGTGATTTGGGAAAACAACTGGTTGGGTTGGCATTGCACGTCAGAATACAGATATAGGCAACAAAACCTGCCTTACCTTGTCCTGAAAGTAACTCTTTGAGGTTCTTTGTCGCTGTAGGATAAGATCTGGGGGGATATTTCACAAAGCAGGATTTATTAGATATTTTAAGCCCAAAGTCTGGGCTGTCCAGTATAAGGGGTGCTAACAGTCCTCTCTTTTGTCGTAAATTATAAGCTGAGAAATCCTATTTTATGAAAGAATGCCCAATATATCTGCTCTATTTTCTCTCAGTCGTTCTAGAAAAGTCTCACCCTGCTTCATCCATTGCTTTCTCCTTTCCTCAGCCTCCCATCCCAGTAGTACCACCTCTTTCTCTCTGTCTCCCTCTGTGTCTCTCTCTGAATCCCACTCACTCCCACACTCACTCTCTCCCCTTTTTCTCTCCCTCAGCCTTTTCGGGAAGCCCTTTGATGGTGGGAAGCGGACCATGGATCATGGCAGCCAGCAGCAGCAGCAGACTCAGCAGATGCCAGGGCCGTTCCAGGGGTTCGCAGGGCCTCAGGGTCCATGTCCTGGCCAGCACCCTACCCTGGTACGGCTGGACGAGCTGCAGAGGGAGGTTGCCATGCTGGGCCAGCAAGTGTGCTCCTTCAGCGGCCTTCAGAGCGACAGAGAGTACAAGCGTTTGGAGCGTGAGCTGACCCGGCTACTGCTGGAGATCGATCAGGTCAGGAGCTGAGATGGTAATGATCTTAGAGTAGGAGTGCGCAATCAGCAGCTGATACGTTATTCACCGGTAAATGAGAACATTTAATTATTATTACAGGTCCCATATTGGAATTGCAGCCGATAATTACCAACTGATAATTACAGTTTTGTGCCTCTTTTGTTGTTTGTTGTTGTTTTTTTGTTTTTTTTTTGTGCTTGCACTTGCACTGATGCATATATAAATGCACTCTGATACTACAGAGTGAAAATGTCAGCAGCGTGGATGTTTTTCATGGTTTTTGCAGAACTACAGAATTCCGGTCTATCCACTGAATGGGAGATGTTTTCAGAGACTTTCAGTATCACTAATCTGATTATTCTCCCATTCCAGTGATGACAGTAGGACAGCTAGTTTTAACCCATCTTATGCTCACTGCACTTTGTTGCATGCAAAAGTTTGGGTGCCCCTAGTCAAATGGCATGATTTTGTGAAAGTGAACATACATTAACATATCATGTACAGAGATCACTTCTGCACTGTTTAACACATAGTTACTGTTTAGTTGCTGAATTTGATAATTAGGGGAAAAAAATTAAACACAAAATGTGGCCTATCGAAAAGTTATGGCATATGTTTTTTTATATGTTTTATGTTTTTTTATAATATGTTAAACTCTATATATGTGCTATTGTGTGAACCTGTTTTCAAATGCAAAAACCTAAATGAAAAATAGAGGTTGTTGGTAACAAGGTATTAATTATTGGTTATCGGCTTGTGCCCAGAAATTCCTTGTTAGTGCATCCCTGTAGCTGAGGTTGTACCCTTAGACAGCTCATTTGAATGCATTGGTGAAATGCAAAGGATGTTGATCTTCAACCAGAGAATCACACAACTTTCACACCTGTTTCTGGTGCTTGATCCATGCTGGGATTTCTAAAATATGTCTGAGATTCTTTCACTGCCTTTGGGTGATGTGCTTTGTGTAAGAGTGTAGTGTTTGTGGGTTTGTGTGACAGAAATCCAGGCTGGAATTTTCATGGGAATGTAATTTCCTGTAATCTCAAACAGCAGTGCTGCAGTGTTCCTATTAAGTGCCATTTGTTATTGTGTGTTTGTCACTCAGACTCAAATAAAGCTTACAGCTAAAAGCTCCATAAAAGCGCACAATTTTCCCAAGGTCCTTTTCAATAATAAAACAGTTCAGCTGTTATTTATGATATATGAATTACATGTAGCCTAAGAACAGAAATGCTGTTAGACATAGCTCTTTTGTTTTGTGCATATTCAACTGAACTGAATACCATAAAATGCCATGAAATATTTATTTCACTGTAATATAGGTTCTGTTAAAAGCAACAACACTATTGTGTGACAGCCTATATCAATATACATGATCATACATTACACCAGGTTGATGAATGTGCATGTGTGTGTTTCCTTAAGGTGGAGACAGAGGGGCGGATGGAACTGCAGCAGGCTAGAAAGCGGGCAGCAGGAGAGGTGGAGGGGCTGCTGCGCTACTTGGAGGGCAATGCCACTCACCCGTCTCGACTAGCCATAGAGGAGCTGAGCCGGGAGGCACAGAGCCTTCTTTTGGCTGGAGTGGTGGCGCCATTCCGGCAGGGTCAGGCCCAGGATGCCTCTGAGACTGGTGAGGAGCTGGTGGAGGCTGTGCAGGATGTGGCCATGCGGCTGGCCCAGGTGAAGACAGGTGGGAGCGTGCCTCTCAGAAAGGCTCGGTACCGAGCTCTCACCCGTGTCTGTGCTGTACAGGAAGTGCTGGAGGGCCGCGTGCGCATGCACACACTCGCACTGCCTTTGTCTGATGAGACCCATGAAGCCGTGCAGCGCATCAATCAAGTGATGGTTCAGGTTAGCAATGTGGGGGGTAAGGGCAAAACAAACAAGCTGTGCTGAACTATAACTCTTTGAAATAAAGCTACAATAAGAATACAAGCCTATTTTTTCCAAAGATGGATATACAATTTTCACTGATTGTCACTGGCTACTAAGCCTTCAAAACAATTTTTAAGTTGTGGCTACAATAATAGAAACATAATTATTACATGTACAGTTATTTACAATTAACAAGTATGCTTCAGTACCAAAAAACAGTCAGGTGTTGCTTTGAAAAAAGGCAGTATTTATGAAAAACTTTAAATAAGAACATTGATGTTGTGGGGACAGTAATCTGGTCTGCCCTGACGTCATCCAATTTAGGTTATGTCGTTAGCTGCTGTTTAGCTGCTGCAGTGACTGTGTAACACCCTGCTTATTGAATACCTTGTTTTATAAAAAGCATAGAGCCATTTTAACAAATTTCAGCCAGTAGGATAGCTCAGCAGGGGGGGACCACCATGGTCACCACACCATCACATTAGCTATCTTAGTGGTTATTGTAAATGAATTCTGACCAAATCTGTTTTGATGCAATTAGTTCCGTATCTGATCAAGCAGGTTTGTTAAAAGGGAAAAAGAATGCAAAAAATCTCCAAGGACAGGGGCCACTCGGGCCACCGATTTTTTTAGTGACCAAAATGCAAAATGTTGTGGCCAGGAGCACCGAGCAGTAGGCAATATCTACCCCTGCATTCTGCCTAAATTGTTCATATTTGTGTTTGTAACAAACATGTGATTACTATGAACAAACCTCTCCCCTGATGATCCACTTTTGCATATTTCAAAGTCAGTAATGCCACATGCGTGATTCACATGTCCACTTGTGACACAGGATGATGATGACCGTGTACAGTGGGGGGAAAAATTACAGTAGTTAAACTTGAGTGTTCTCATTATGGTTACATTGCCACATATCAGATTTCTATTTGATCAAGAACCACATATTAAATTGGTTCAAATTTAATTTAAAAAGATCAGTTAGGGACATAAACATTAGGCTGGAGAAGCAAAGACTGATTGAATGATGTTTTACAGGTGAGTGGTGCCCGCTGCCAGCTGGTGGCTCTGCTCATGGGGTTGAGTGGACGTGACAGTTGTGCCCACTTAGCGCGGGTCCTTACCGAGCTGCTGGTGGAACTTGATGCCCTGGATGTGTCCAGTAACACAGCGGTCAGGAACTACAGGAAACAGGTGGTGGAGGAGATCAATGGCCTACTCAAACACATCGACCTGGAGGGGGAGGGAGATGACACTTTCAGGTAACATGCGCGTATACTTCCAAGGCAGCTAGAGAGCATGGGGAAATAGGGCTAGTGGATTATGAAACCAGAGTCTAAATTAAGACAGAAATGGAGTTTGGAATTGTTATTATATACATTTCTAGTGTGTGGCATATAGACTTTAGTATCTTTGTAACTTTGTCTCTGAAAAGTCCCTGATGCTACATCAGAGAGTTCTGGTCAGGGCTTGAGTTAGACCTGTGCCTAGTGACGGTAAACTACGCTAGTTACACTAAAAAATGTACTGCAGGTTTCAAAATATTAGTGTTCATTTAATGATTTATTTCATGCGAACCATAGCAAGACACTTGGATTCTCACACATGAGCATAATTGGACTTGTTGGGTGATATCGTATATTACTGATACATTTAGTATAGCTAGAATGGTGTAATAGCTGCGATGGCTGAGCATGCTCAGTGCTGCAGGCAGGTATCATGCCTACAAAAAGCCATCTATGTTACAATGTTAATTTTAGGATGTTCTAGGCTTCTGTGGCTTTTGCTCCTGTGTTTGCTTCTGCTTCCACTTTCAGGGTTTAAAACTGACAGAAAGAAAAAATGTTTGCAGTTGTTATTATAATTATTAGTAGTATCTCTCTAAGTACATCTGCTAAAGCCTCTGAACATATCATCACTGATGTTCCTGGAAGCATCAGCAGATGTACTTATAGACATAATAATACCAACCCCCACCCCCAGAACCTGGTCTAACCATTTACCATGGTTATTGTTCAACCAGTTATCCAAAAAATAGGATTCTGTTACCAGCAACCAGCACAGGCTTGAGCAATGTACTCGAATGCTGCCTCTAAAAGAGGCGAACACCTGACTTAATTTTCACTAAATTTAATGTATAATTATATATGTATTATATATAATAAATCATTTTTTATTGCTTCACTCTCCAAATAATACATTTTTAAACAATTTTAAGAATTGCTGTGTTCTTTAATCCAGGTTTAATAAACCACTATGCTTGAGCTGTTTGCAGTAAACTGTCCCTAAATGCTGTGGTGACTAAGTAATACATTTATTCATGGAGACAACAAGGTGTTCTGCACGAAGAAAATTGGTTCAACAACTTCAGCATGTAGGAGCACTATCAGCAGTGCCAGACATGCTGAGCTACTTTAGACACGCTCAGTATGTTTATGACTTTGAGTAAAGAGAGCACAAGTATCTTACAGAGCTCCTAACATGCAGTTAAATTAAGTAGCCTTGTTCAACATGGTTTCTCCCACAACTCATGGTGTATTATGAGTAGCTTGAGAGGTCTCTGGCATATGGAGTTAATTGGTTTCAACACAGAAACAGAAAGTAAATCTTCATTTTACAGTGAAATGTATTATTTCAATTAGGCTGTGTGAAAGAAGCCCTGAGCAGATTCTCCAGTGGGAAGGTCACGGTATTCATAGACCAGTTTAGTTACAGGGCTTTGCTAGATAACAAGGCACTGCATGTTTTGAAGGCTTCATGAAGTTTAGAACTGAGGTGTTAACTGCATTTAGAGCATAGCGTTTCACATGAAATGTGTTTTGTTGTTGAAGTGGGCTATTAAAGAAACATTTTGAGCAATAACTTGCTCTGTACATCTAGGTACAGTAGAAGTATGGTGGAAAACATGGTTTTGCACAGCTTAGGTTTAGGTTTATCATATTAATTTCAATCAATTTGATGTAGCCACTGTTTAAAACATTAAATATAAAAATATTTGTAGAAGGATCTTTTTGGTAATGTTTGCTAATGTTTTCATTTGTACTTGCAGGTATGACTTGGCCCAGAACGACTCCATCCGTGAGATTGAGGCTATCCGAGGGCGCGTCTCTGTGCTACGTGGGGAGGTCCTCCGGCAGGGTGTAGCAGGGCAGGGGGCGGAGCTGCAGAGTCTTTTAACTCATCTGGACGAAGTAGACACAGGGCGGAACCCCTGCATCAGGGAGGCACGGCGAAGGGCTGTGCTTGAGATCCAGGCTGTCATCACCTACCTGGACCTCCAGGAAGCCCTCGGGCGCCGTAATCCTGGCGCGGATGAACCTCCGCCTCATGCGGCTGTGTGGCGCGTTCTGGCCAGCTTGTCCGACTTGCAGGCCCAAGTGCTAGGCTTTGACGGTAAGAGAGCTGACAAGAGCTACATGGTGCTTGAGGAGTTGCTGACCAAACAGCTGCTGGCTCTGGATGCTGTGGACCCTCAGGGGGACCAGGGAACCAAAACTGCCCGTAAGCAAGCAGTCAAATATGCCCAGAACATCCTCAGCTACCTGGACATGAAGACGGACGAGTGGGAATACTGAGAGCGAGGAGAAGTGGTGCAGAACGTTGGAATTAAGTGGAAAAAGTGCTTTGAAAAAGTTTTGTGCCTAGTTTATGTTATGACAGTAAAGGACAAGAACAGTGCTGTGGACTTGGTCACAAACAAAAAAAACATGTAGTTTGTATATAAGAAACTTTGCCCTGGACAGTAGAACTCTTACCCCTACATGCACTGCAGTTGCTGCTTTTGATTTTGTCTGGTTATCACCCTCATAGTTGTACCTGAAAACAGCAGTTTTGTTCAATACATTTGTCTGCAAGCAAACAAACATACACAGCATTCAAGTGTTATTGTTACAATTCCGACTCCATCATGTGCTTCTGCGCTTCTAGAGGTTTCTCCTTTTCATAGCTCAACTTGTGCTGTTGATTGATGTGGTGTGGTGCTAAACCCTGTTTTGCTGCCAAAAAAACCTGCTTCCTGGTGGACCATTTGCCTGTGTGGAGCTTCTCGTAACTGGGAGGAGGTTCAGATGCAGTCTTTACTCAGTATAGATACAACACCAGACTGTAGAAATACCTACATAATGACTTCCAAAACCCACCTCACTAGTGTGGCAGCGCATAGCCACATGAGTTACACAAAACAGGCAGTCCGTATTTGAACTCTGTGGATTTCGTTTGCTGGACTGAGTGAATCTCGAGATCTCTCACAAACCCAGATGTAGTCCCAGCTACTCTGACCCAAATATGACAGCTAATCTGAGTCAAAGATAGTATGAAGTCTTTTCACTCTCATCATTCCCTGTGTTTCTTGTGTTCAGTCTTTAGTTTTTATTTTGTTTTTAAGCTCATGTTGACAAAAGGCAGACATCCATAGCAGATATGGAAAATGCTGTGTGGGAGACATTTGGGAAGTTTTTTGTTCCCATGAAGAGTGGTGTGGGAGTGGAGCAGGCAGGCCCTGAGGTCTGTTAGAAAGAGATTAGTTGGAAAAAATCAATTCTCCAAATCAACACCCAAGCTGTCTTCTGTGTATATACCATGTAATGCAGTTTCAGCATGATCCAATAGAGGAGGGGTGAAAATGTATTTAGCTGTTGTGAGCTGAAGTGTTAGAAGGCCAGTTTTCCAGTCTGCAACCAAGTCAGTGGAGGAGTAATGGAAAGACTGAAGGCTTTTCTGGTCTTCCTTACTGGTTGTCATTGTTAGGAGAAAAGTGTGTCTCAAAGCCTTCTGGGAACATGGTGTGTGGATATGTGTGTGTGTGTCTGTTTTATTTTTGGGCATGACAGTGATCAAAGCAGACAGGGGCATTCTAGAACATTCTGCACAGGAGTGGGAGAGGGTGACGGGCTATTAAAAAAGCACCTAAAAATCTTAATGCCCCCTTTTTCCGTGCTTAAATGGTCAGAGTTGTCATGGTAACTGACATTAGGGCTCTGTCCCCTCCTCCTGCTGAGGTCATAGGAACGTTCTCCTGGTGGTCAGTGAGTCATGCTGCAGTTTGATCAGATTAACACTTCAGCTCTTAGTAACTAGCCTCTCACCAGCCCTGACAATCGCTGTTTTCCTTTGTCATCAGTTTTTTTTGCTTCTGAGACACTGCAGGAGGATGTTGTTTGTTGGTCATGAAAAACAGAGCAGGAGTGTCAGCTTCATGTGTTTAAATATTCATCAGAAGCACAAGGCCTGGGGTGATCAGTGCATGCCGTGGCCAGTAATGTGGCATACATTTGCACTCAAGACTGATGAGGGAGCATCCTGTGTTTTGATATGTTTGTTTAAGTTATCAAAATGCAAGATGCTACTTTTTTGTTTGCAGTAGAGCCTGTGGATTTTTTTGGTATCACCAAATACCACAATGTATGGATTATTAGTGATGACAATGCCAGGATTTGAGCTCTCCTAACAATAGGGTGCAACCTTAGGAATGATGGTTATAGTTATCACCAGAATAACATCTTAAAACACACAAAAAAAACATGTTTCTATGAAGAGAACAAATGAAGACAGGAAAAATGAAAGTTAATTAACTGACACTAAAACTGCAAATAAGGAATGATAGCTCTGCCCCATTGTTACAATATTTGTATTATTTAAGAGGTTTGTGTTGTTTATTTGAGATTTAGAAATGTCATCATTGAGAACTGGCAGTGGTATCTTAGTAAAGTGCTGTTTAACTGAAAATATTAGTATAAAATCTAAAATCATATCAGCTAATATTACTGGTCATCAGAATTTTTAACCCCTTAATATTAGTATGATTATCGGTCACATTTTCTCATCGGTCAGGTCCCTGGTGCGCAGTCAGAGATTTTGCTCTTAGGCCTATTGATGTTGTCTTTTACTGACTGCTTCTTAAGGCTGCAAGTGCGATCAATAGATCTAAGTGACATTCAACCCAATTACAACTGAAGCAGTGACAGTTCTCTATTGAGTGCTGACATCAACCGTGTTCCAGATGCTCTGCAGGGCACTCATTGTGAAAGGAGGCTACCAGTATCAAAGAAAATGGGGTCACATTTGGAGTAGACACCAGACCTAAAATAACTTGTCCACATTCAGGAGAAGACCTTGATAATATAGCAGTTAAGTAACTGGAAGACAGAAAGGCAGAAAAATAGTTCAAGGTAGAGAAGAAGTGATAGATGTTGTAGTGAAAAGGAGGAGAGAAAGAAAAGGCCAGGAGAGTTAACTGGCCATTAGTCTGTTGGTCATGATTATATTCTAGTGTTGTCTGATGCAGTTGTCCGTGGTGGCCAGCCAGGCAGTCAGGTTGAAGGACTCGGATTTTTCGGTACTCAGTTCCTTTTTTTTCTGAAGCCAGTTCCTGAAGAAAAAAAAAGATGATTCTCCACTATAAATGTGTAATAACTGGGGACTGGGTTCTTCATGTCTGTCCTCTGTCAAATTCATGCTCTCGCCTACTCTTAGCCGACACAATGATACTTTAATAGTTGTTTAACTTTGATAATTTGTTTTGTAAAGTCTCCCAGACCCACGCAATGGTATCATACAAATGTGTTATATTTTTTCCAGTGCCAATAAGTGTGAAGGTGGTTTGAGTTCAGCCTCACTTTGCAGTACTTACGGTAGCCACGCTGGTTTTCCAACACTGCCCACGACATGTCAAATTAACCCACTGCTTCTTGGGAACTGTTACAAAATTAGACACGACTCGAGCCCACTTCTGGTTCTGAAACAGATTTTCAAATGAAGTTCCTTCCAACAGCTCTGTGCGCTCTCTATTCATGTGAGTCATGCTGTTATCACGGTGATGCTGTCTCCATGGTTACAATCAATTTGAGGTAATCTGAGGATGGTTTGTTTTGACTCTCACACTAGAAAGTTGCGACCCAGTTCCTGTTTATGACAATAACTCAACACGCAGACTTTGTGATGTGTTTAGTTCAGTCAGTGAGAGATGGCTTTGATGCCTATGTAGAATAAGCATTCCTCTTAGTCATACTTAAAATGTGTTTACATGATCCTGATGTAATGAAGCCATGCTAAATGAAGTCATACTGCAACATCACTGCTCGTTCACTCCACCTGTTAAGGGATCTAAATATGTGAAGCCATTTGGTCCAAATTAATCTTCATGTTGAAGCCAATGGTTAATAATTAAATTCAGAAGCAGGCACCAAAAATCGAGATGCATTTTGTTTTAAAATTGATTTCAGCCTCTCAAAATACTTTATTACTATTTTAGGTATCTAGCTGTTACCTGTGATGTCTATCTGTTACCTTTGATGAATGCAGAACGGTCTTCATTTTAGCAAAGTGGATGAGCAGCACTGGATTCAGCACTGGATTCATAAATTAGCACCCGGAATTATTTGCTGCTGCGTGGGATGGTGGGTGTGTTTGTGGGTGACGACATGTCTGATGTGGTGCTAAAAACTCTCTCAGATGGCACACTTGTGACTATATTATAGTTACTTGCTGGTTTAGTCAAGACTTGTCGTTGCTCCTTGTACTTTTTGATCACAGCAAGATGCAGATTACTACATGGAGACTTTTTTTTAACCTAACCACAGTAGGAAGATGCTGTGAGAGGTTTAATACATTTGATCTGAATTCTAGCTGAGTCATTAATTCAGTGAATGCATCACTAGATCTGTAAGTGCATAGCTCTGAACAATACACTAGCATTATGTAGAAATGTTAAAATCCAGTGTGTGGAACAGAGGATAATATGCAATGTCAGCTGATATTTTAAAGCACTTTAAGTTCATCCCTTCCCTCCCCTGCCCTCCCTAATGCCAAACTGAAGGCCATTGCCCTCATAGCATATCACATAAACATCAAAACCATCAGTTACGCAGATGTGGAATGTAATGAAGAATGTCCTATCTTTGTGGCATACCAAAGTTGATTGTGATCTTCCCTGTTCATAACCTCACACAATTCTAAAGGTCAACTCAGTGTCAGTATAGACAAAAAGAAAAGCAGAAAACCTGCTGGTAGTCTCAATTCACTTATTAGAACGATTGGTTTTATCAGTTCAGTCTCTCTTGTTTGAAGAATGTATTTCTGTGGTGAGGTTTGAATGGTTTTTCTCAATGTTACCTAAAATTTGTGAAATGACTGAGACATTGTTGATTGTGCCAGGCTTACTTAGTGTGCTGTTTGGGGTTTGTACACGCTTGTACAAAAGAAGCACACTCACATTTGAATTACTGTGTGAATGTGTTAATTAAGTGAGTTATTTGCAATTTATTTATCTATACATTGGTAAATAAAAGGTGAATCGGAACAGCACTCCTCCACACAGCAAAGTGTTCATTTGTGCCTGAACTCGTTCAGCTTGTTTCTATGGCAACATGCACAGAAAATAGCAGGTAAACTGTTCAATAAGGACGCACAGTTTGTAGCGGCGCAACTGCACAATATTCCCTATATAGTGCACTATTTTGTAGTCATGTCTGAAAGTATAGTAGACCATAACCAATGCCAGTAGACTGTATACCAGCTACGTTCTATTATATTAAGAACACCAGTACTCGAGTCATGTATCCTCAGTACGGGTTAAAAATGCTGCAGTCAGAACGCTTATTGACAATATTAATATCACTTAAAGGCGCATACCAGCTTAAAGCTGGCATTTAATATGTTATTTATTGTGTTTTGCAGTATACTGTAGCACAGCTTTACATCCCTCAGCCTCATGGGTCTGACTGAATTCACAATGTTTTACTGTTTTCACATTTTCATTGATCCATGTTCTCTCACTTCAATACTTAGCATATTGCTGCTGTCAGAACAAAATCTCGTATCTCCATTTTTGGCATTTTTCAGTTTTTGACATAACTTGAAAGCACCCTATATATTGTCCTATATATTGTGTGTAAATTTCATGATGAATGGACCAACAGAAATGGCCCAAAATTACTTGGAAAAAAGTCTGGTTCCATTGACTTCTGTAAAGTTCTCATTTTGGAGATAGGAGGTTTTGATCCAACAACAGTGATATATGTCATACACCTATTGGAAGCCCAGCCAAGCCACTGATCTATTGGCTAATAATAAATTCAGAGGTCAAACAAAGTTTCTTCTTCAGCAAAGACAAAGAATTCAATTAAAGAGTGGCTGTGGAGTGGAACCTGGGTGAGGAAAATATGAAGAGGCGAATGCTAAATACAGAGTGATTGGCTAGTGTACTGTTTAACACACTTGCCACACACTCGGGAGACAGTGAGCTAGATAGCCAGATAGCCTTGCTAACTTCAGCCCTCAGCTTGTCCTTCTCACTTGACAAGTCATTGTTTTTCATCTCGCATAATCCATTCTCTGATTTGAAGATAAGTTCAAGTGTACAATAAGATACTCAGCTTCCTAGCAGTCATGTAAAAAAAGTAATCAGACACCCCAAAGCAGTTGTAGTTTTTAAAAAGATTTTTCTACCTTCAGTGTATCGTTGCTGTCAGGACAAAGCCTTGTATTTTTTTTCTGTTTGGGGGGGGGGAGCGGGATATTTCTCTAGTTACTTCCATTAAAAGTTAAGAACATTTTTCCTTGTCCTGATAAGTTACCTTTTAGGAGATACAAGGTTTTGTTCCGGCAGCAGCAATATGTCACCAGAAGTCTTTAAACTGGACATTTATGTGTTCAGTGCTGCTCTGAGTTCGGCCCAGAGGCCATAGTTGGTTGGTATGTTTGATTTGGCCTGCCAGAAAACTACCCTAACCTCACTCCCTCACCCAATTAGCGAGCAAATATATTTTATACTATACTATCCAAAACATATTAAATTCTTATTTTCCTTTTAAAATTACATTTTTGAAGTATTTTACTTACAAAATATAGTTTAATGTCATAAAATGCATTTTTAAAACCTGATTTAAAACCTAATTACTTTCTTTATTTGTATACTGTTTTATCTTTTTGGCTCGTGACTCACTACAAACATTGCACTTTGGCCTCCCAAGATGACAAGACTGGGCACTGCTGCTCTAAAGACTGTTGCGGCACTGCTGTAGGAGGCAAGTCAGCATGTTTAAAATAGATATAACAGCAGTTAATTGTTTTATTTTGGCTGGAATGTCCCTTACAGCAAACTTAAATGCAACTGATTTGGTTTTTGCTTTTTGGCCATAACCTAGTTACCTACTTAAACAAATGTAAATATTACACAGAAAACAGGGTAGTTGATAAAAAAAAAAACTGAGTAACGTTTCATGGAATTCTGGAGATGTAAAGTCGTGCTAAGTGTGCAATGTTACCAACTAGAGGTTCATTGTCCTCGGAGTATGCAGATCAGATTGTGGTGTGCTTGATGCTGGTGTAGTCCGCTAACCATTTAGGACATGCTAAACGGTCATATATTATTTAAACGTTCTAATTAGAATACAAGTATGTTTATTAAACCACTGCTGATGTAGCCTAGCATGACCTATATATGCAACTTCTCCGATAGGCCAGCCCTAGAATGCTAAAGAAAATAAGCAGCATTTCAGCCTGTCTTTGTGAACAGTTGCCCTCAGAATTGTTGTCAGCGTTAGTATTTGATAAGTGAGAACTATTTAATACACTTTAAACACTT